TGATGGCCCGAGACTTAAACCAAAGACAAGCCCGCTACACAGTATACTTGTCAAGATTTAACTATAAATTAATTCATAAGCCAGGAACTTCTATGGGAAAAGCAGATGCTTTATCTAGAAGAGAGGATCATGCCAATAGCATTGAAGATAACAACAAAGGTGTCACCCTGATAGATCAATCCAGGGTTGCCAATGTTAGAATTGGGCAAGATTCAGATCTTTTGGAAGTCTTCAAGAAAGAAATCTCCTCAGAAGAGAAGGCGCGCCTTGACGGCAATGAAAAATATTTATGGGAAGACGGGCTCTTCTGTTTTAAAGACAAAATCTATGTGCCTGAGTCCGCAAGGATCAAGACATAAGACCAACATCATGACACACCAGTAGCTGGGCATCCTGGGTGGCAATGAACCATGGAGTTGATCTCCAGAACTACATTTGGCCTGGCATGGTTAAAGACATACAGGAATACTTAAAATCCTGTCTGAGATGTGCCATGGCAAAAAACTCACATCAACCGCCGGCCAGTAAACTCATGCCAAACCCGATACCAGCTGGTCCCTGGCAAGATATATTGGTTGATTTCACAACAGATCTACCCAAATCAAATGAGTATGATTCAGTAATGGTGGTGGTAGATCGCTTCTCCAAAGAAGTGGTATTCATTCCCACCAACAAAACTATTACCGCCGCTGGTACAGCAGGCTTATTTAAAGGTTTTATATGGTCTATCCATGGGTTACCTGAAACGGTTATCTCCGATAGGGGACCGCAATTTGCTAGCAAATTTACAAAAGAATTATGCCGGATGCTGGGCATCAAACCTAAGTTATCAATGGTGTTCCATCCGCAGACCAATGGACAAACGGAGAGACTCAACCAGGAGTTGAAACAATATCTCCGGATATTTATTAATGACAGACAGACAGATTGGGCCAAGTGGCTAAAGATAGCCTAGTTCTCATACAATATCAAACAGTCATCGGCTACAGGGAAGGCACCAGTCAAGGTGACGAGATTGTACCTCCCCAGAATGGGTGTAGAACCTGGCAAAAGCAAGAACAAGGCTGCTGGGAACATGGTAAAAGACATGAAGACTGTCTTAGACGTAACACGCAGGGCGTTATTCCAAACTGCAGAGCAGATGAAAGACAGGCAGAGCATAGACGGCTACTAGATGCTCTAAGGCCCCTGACTACAAGGTCGGAAACCTGGTCTGGTTAGATACCGACCACTTAAAATTAAAAGATCGGCAGTCTAGAAAACTGACCAAAAAGTGGATTGGCCCTTACCAGGTTAAGGACGTCAAACCAAATGCAGTGGAGCTAGAACTCCCAAAATGAATGAGGGTAGTACCCACAGTCAATATTAGCTGTGTGAAACCCTACAAAGGGCCGCTGCCAGGACAGCGCATAGACCGGCCCAAACTGGTTGTATTCACCCAGGAAGGTGAAGAAGAGTTTGAAATTGAACAAGTGGTGGATGCACGCTTAAAGCATGGGAAACTAGAGTTCCTGGTCCTATGGAAGGGCTATGGAGACGGGGACAGAATGTGGGAACCAAAAGCCCATCTGGACAATTTCTGTTTGCAAATTAAGAATCCCTCAGCTCCTAGGAAGCTTAGAGGCATAGATTCAAACCTTTTTAATTCCCTTTTTCAACCTATGCCCAAAAATCTAACTACTACCTCTGGTACTTGGAGTCGAGCCTTAGAAGGGGGGTAGTGTTACAATACACAATTTTCAGACTTACACCTTCTTTCTCCGCTTCAACCTTCTTTCTTAGTATTCACACACTCGTGCCATGCGGCACTTTCCTTTTTGTTCAAACTCCATTTTCTCGTGCTGCACTGCTTTCCCTTATTTTTAGATACAACTCTCTCATGCAGTGGAGCTGGTTACACGGGCTGTGCCCCATGACATCATCAGCTACTTCTTTCATCAACTGTATAGTACATAAGTACAAACACCCTGTATTAGTATATAAACCCCAATAGATCCAGGAGACTCCTCAGCGAGTCCTCCTGTTGTATACCCACAACTAACTTGGTCCTATCATAAGGGATTGATTTATCCACTCCTCCTTCCTCCTCTTCTCTTGTCACTGTGTGCACCAGAGTATTCAAACTTTGGTTGTAACATCTGTAGGTTGTCAGGGTAATCCCGGTGTGCTCACAGTGTTCATCGACAGAAAAGATGTGGTGAACAATTAGTGCATGAACATCTGACTTGCTGTAAGTACTCTTATTCACAACTTTATGACATCCTTGGGACTTTGCCTCCTTGGTGGAATCTGAAAACAGTGCAGCCTGATGCTCTTCATGCACATTCAGGTAGTCAACAAGCCTCTGAGTCCTAACTGGCTCTTTCTCCCACTGAACATGCCTCAGCCACATGTGTTGCATCTGCGGATTCCGATGTGATGCCGGGGCGTCTCTTTTTCCTTAAGGTGCTCTTAAGGAGCACCTTAAGTGAACCTTCAGGACAGCGCCAAGCGAGCTTTGAGGACCATTACAATATATCTTGAGGCGCCTTTTGCGAAAAGGCGCGCACCCGAACGGGCTCGAAGATAATTGGATTGATAAATTTACAGTGATAGGATATGCTGAATGGAGACACGTGTATGTAAAAGGGGAGTCGGATAAATAAGATTTACACTACTCTAGGACCGAGACACGAAGACTTTATCGAAGTAACGCACCATACCTTCTGCTCCATGTACGATAGCCCCCGCCACACCATCCGGTCTCACCACCACGACTCTCGTCTCGTCTCCTACCAGGTAATGCTTATATGCATACCCCTCCTTGTCTTCCAAAACAATGTCAGCCGCAGCAGAGTCTGTTTGGGTAGATGACCCAGCAGGTAACACGATGACGGAGCGCAAAACGCTCTGCTCGTAGCGGCGAAGCTCAGAAATAATGCGAGCAGCCTTGGAAGCGTCCGAAGTAAAGACAAGGACCGTATGAAGGTGCGGACGGAAAATATCAAAAAGCCGCACGTTCCCGGCACCCTTCACATCCAACAAACCAGGTGCATCCGGTGCGCGATCACCAGCCTGCAGCGATCCGTCCCGGATGAGCCCGTACGCATCTACAGGCCTAGCATCGGATGGCGGTACTACTTCGTCGAGGACGATCGGGCTGCTGCGGTAATTCACACCGAGCATGTATAGCCTCTCATTGCGCTCAAACGCCTCTTCTGCGTTCGAGCTGTTCGCAGTAGTGGACTTGTTGAACAGGGCGGTAGCGATGTTGATCATCTCGGCGATAACGGGGAGGCGCTCGCCGGTGTAGGAGTCGAGGAGAGAGTCTGGAGAGAGGCCTTTTTGGACGAGTGATATTTTCCAAGCGAGGTTGAACTGCAGTGTTTGATGAGATACATCTGGTGCAAGGTAAGTTGGTAATGCTTACGGCGTCCTGGACACTTGAGTTGAGTCCCTGGCCACCAGCAGGGCTATGGACACTGGATAAATGTCAGAAAATTACATTTACGATAAAGAAAGATGGCACGAACTGTGCAGCATCTGCAGCAACGAGGTTATATTAACAGCCAAGCTCGCTATACAGGATCATACAACTTACCTCCTGATACGAAAACCCTGCCTTCTCCAAACTTGTTCACCATTCGGGTATTAGCCCTAGAATAAACAGCGATCAGGAACATGATATATATGGAGTGCAGATCCAATACAAACCGGAATTCAGAAACCCAGATCAGCTCCTCGAAGGTGAGATTAGTTGGGACAATCGAGGCAATATGTTTGTAGACGTCCGCGCTTGATTTCACTATTGAAAAGTTAACAGCCGACCCAAACATAGAAAATTGATAACCGTCGAGGCCGACTTCCTCTGTGGGTCGCAAGACAAGGCTGAAACAGTCCATTATTATTGGCTTGGTGTCTACAATATCAGAAACCTAGTGAATACGCACAGATTGGTTTTCATTTCGCCAAAAAGATGCCAGTGCTGGCGTCCAATGCTCAAATCAAATATCAGGACAAATAAATATAGCACAAACCTCATGGTCAAGGCCTTTTAAACGAATGTCTCCAGTGATCAATCGCAAGTCGTCCTTGGTTTCTCCAAGGAATGTCAATCCAAGTTGTTTGCGGACGACGCCTGCAAATCAAATGTAAATATAGGCTTGATACAAAGTCGTAAGGAGACACGTACTTTTCGCCCCATCAGCTCCGATCAGCCATGTCGCTTTGATCGTCTCTTGTATTTCTTCGCCATCTCGTTTCTTCACTACATGTGCGACCACATGATCGGGGAACTGTTCGAATGAGCGGAGCTCCGTGCCAGTTTCTACAAAGCACGACAGCTTCTCGAGATGTGCGCGCAAGATCCCTTCGAGAGTTTGCTGTCCTAGCATACAAGGGTTGAACTACAGATCGTGTTTTTCATTAGAGCTGAAGGTGATTACATAGAGACGTACGCACATAAGGAAAAGCAGGCGTTGGATCTTGGTACGGTGTCATGGAAAACGTCTTGAGGGGTTCGACAGTGCCAGGTTTGTAGGTGCGCATTGACGGCAATGGCTTCGCTCTCTGGTCGACTTCGGGGACATCGAGGAAATGAAACAATTCCAGCGAGCGGGGCTAAGAAGAAAAGTTGTGGGTGAGAATGCGCACTAGATTGTGATTGATTGTAAACATACGAATAATCCGGCACCTCGTTGCCCAAGACGATATTTATCCTCTTTCTCGATGATGCGGATAGATATGCCATTTTGGAGCAGGGTGAGAGCTGCGACTAGCGCTGAAGGACCAGCACCGGCCTTTAAATAAAAAGTTTAGGGTAAAAGCTTATACGAAGATCAACACTCACGATGAGGACAGGGACCGAATCTGCTGCAGTCATTATTGTTGATGGTATGAATCAAGCAAGTGCGATATTTGATGAACTCAGGAAAACGATGTGTTTGTCGGATGATAATGGAGAGCTTTTATACAAAAAGTGTGTCGCCATGATATTTTACAAGGAAAGTGCATTCGAGGGTAGTACTACGGCCGATGACTCGAGTCAGCTTCCGAGGTTCGAAGCTTGCACCACATACGCGTCGTCTTCGGCAGACCGCTCGCTTGTGACCACTTGAAATTGGGATTTCTGAACGACTGCTGATGAATTTTACATCCAAGGCTGACGTGTCTGCAATGCGGCATTGCTGAGCTGGTCAGTTTCCGATCTTCATCGCGACCTGGGCCCTAACATCGGACATATGACAATCATGATTGATCTTGCTTCTGCCACAGAGTATCGACGTGTCTGGCGTTTGTCATATTGCACGAAGAAGCAGAATATGACATATCCAAGTTTTTGTGCGCTCTGCAAGGGTCATGTCTGTGAAACTGAACCAGTGAACGATTATTGAGCAAGATCAGCGATGGTCTGACGCGTAGCTCGTAACGCGTGACGTGTCTGTTGTCATGTGACTAAAATCTGCTTTTTCAGAACTTTTGGAGGGTGAAATGGTTTGCAGGATGTCTGCTTTAATTGTGGTCCACAGTGTCCCATTATCCTGCATACGCGCTTCACGCATCCATACATCAGCTGTACTATCGTCACCTGCGAAAAAAAGACCACGTAGGGGCGGAAAGCCAGTTCGAGAGCTTCCAAAACCATCCCGTCTTGCTTTCGTACGAGATGGCGTCCCCCACGAAGGTCTCCAGCCCCGTAAACCAGGATTTGGAGAGCGAAAGGTACGTCCGGAACGCCCACCCACAAGCCACAAGCCCTTTCCTCCCGCCGTCCCTGAACCCGAGACAAAACACTGGGCCATTCGCGCCCATTCAGAGCGTGTAGACAAGCGTGCTGCAGCGGTGCGACAGCGTGCTAGGATAGAGAACCCCCTTCAAGACGAATTTGATCTGTCGAGCAAGACGGAAGATTCGCGAGGATTACCTCAGACGTTCAACTCGCCGCCGCTCATGGAAGGTCTGCTCGCCTCACTGAGAGAATATCTTCCCTCTGCTGCTCGTCCGACACCTATCCAGGCGTTGTCACTCAAACATCTTTTCGAACAAAGAGATATCTCAAAGCCTTGGCGACAGTTTCTACTTGCATCTGAAACAGGCTCAGGGAAGTCGATAGCATATCTTTTGCCTATGCTTCAAGACCTCAAACAATCAGAAGCACATCTTTCGTCCTCCGTATCACAAGGCACAGGGTCTCAACCTCAGCGGGCCATCAATCCTCGCGCGCTTGTCCTAGCTCCTACTCACGAACTCTCACGTCAACTCTCCTCCTTCGCTAAATCCCTCCTACACAACATCAAACTACGTGTTCTCTGTGCCTCGCGCGCTAATATTCCTAGCATACGCAAGAGAAGCAGTACAGCTTCAAAAATGTCGGAAGAATTTGCTGAGATGGGCTCAGGGACAGAGCTTGATATGCGCAGGGGCGTAAAAGCCCATCCCGTCGATGTTCTTGTCAGTACACCGGCCAAGGCTCTAGAGATGGCCAGAGGAAAAGGCTGGGACTGGGAGGAAAGGGAGCGCAAGAGAAGATTAGATGATGAGAAGAATGCTATGAAAGAAGAAGTCACGGATCCACAGCAGCCTCTGCGCAAATTCTGGGTAGATGAACCCGAGATGAGCCTTGCCAATATCGAATGGGTCGTAGTTGACGAAGCCGACGTGCTATTTGGTATGCACAATTAAATAGCTGATTCATGGCGGTCTTATACTTATCTTTCTTTAGACCCCGATTTCCAGGAGTCGACACGGATGCTTCTGGCAGATATCAGTGCTGCTCGGGGATACCCTGTCAACTTCTCCCCAGAGATGCCCCTTCTTACGTCTACAGCCCCCAAGAACGAGCCTGCTCCAAAACCGGCTGCCGTTGACTACCCATTTAACTTCCTCCTTACCTCAGCGACCATTCCTTCCTCTCTTTCATCCTATATTGAAACCCACCACCCCCTCCTTACGCGTCTCGCTTCTCCCAACCTTCATCGCCTACCGAGCACGCTGAAAACAGAGCACGCTAACTGGACAGGCGGAAACCGTAATGCAGATATCGAACGACGCATTCGTCGTGTCTGGGCAGAGGACGCACTTGCTTCCGCAAAAGCCGGGCGCGCAGCAGAGTTGTCAAAGATCTTGGTGTTCTGTAACAGAAGAAGTAAAGTCGAAGACCTCAGTTCGTACTTGGAGGAAAAGAAGATCAAGAACGTGGCATTGTCAAGCACAGCTGGGGACCGTAAAAGAGGTTCTAATCATCACCTTGACGGTTTCCTCCGCAAGAAGTCCGAATCGACTCCCTCACTCGAAGCAGGCCCTGCACCCTCAGGATCACATAACCCGAAGGAGACGGCACACGTCATGATCACCACTTCACTTCTCTCGCGAGGCCTTGACTTCTCTCCATCTATCCGACATGTCTTCATTGTTGACGAACCTAGAAACATGATCGACTTCCTACACCGCGCTGGACGATCTGGAAGGGCTGGCGAGCAGGGCAAAGTCGTGGTCTTTGGAAAGCAAAAAGGAAGAGGCTCAGGCAGAACAGTAGATGTCAAGAAAAGAGTTGGGGCATTGGTTGCGTGAGCTGATCACGGTACGTCAAAAAGGGGTACAACATGCAAAAATATAATAGATACATCGACAACAAAACACAATAATAATGAGAACAAAAAAAAAACACGATACAGTAGAGTCAGAAACACATGTCGAAAACGCGAAAGCATATACCGGTTTACACTATTTACCCTGGAATGTTTGCATTAATGTTCTTATTCCACCAAACTTATGTTTCGTAGGTGGACGAGTGGGTCCTCCACTAGGGGGTGGCTGCCACCCATCGCTAGTCGAGAACCCCATCCTCGTCAGTTTATTGGCGCTCATGATATGTTTCGCTTGATCATTTCCTCTTCTTCTGGACGGTATATGAGCACTCAGCGACACTTGCACAGGAGCGGTCGCCACTCGAGATAGCGGCACATGCATAATCGGTCCTTCTGTTTCAAGTGGGCTCGACTCCGGGTCTGGAGTGCGGGAACGGGGCGCGAGGAAAGCATTCCCTGATGAAAAGACCTGACCAGTAGGTCGATCCATTGAGTGAAGTTCATCCGAGGCGGAACGACTTGGGCGCCTCAGACCAGGTACAACAATTAAGCGTGACGCGGTTTCGCTGGATGAATCTGAAAAATCATACAAATTAACAAAACAGTAAACGTAGAACCATAATGTCTAAGCTTACCACTTCCACTGCTGCCCCGAGAACCAACACGTAATTTTCCAGCCGACTGACTTCTAGACATCGCTCTAGCAGAATGACCTCTGACAAACTGCGTCGAGTCGTAACCACTCGTAGGGGTGCGGCCTGCAGAAAACTGATCTATACTGGGACTAGGTATAGAGAGCGACGTCTTTGCATCTTCTTGCTCCTTGAGCCGCCGTTCGATAGCCAGACTTTCACCGTACGCCAAAAGCTTACTACTAAGTAGCGTCCGACCAGCACCTTTAGGCTTTGGAACATCAGCAACAAAATCGTCCATGCTTAATATCGACTGCTGAGTACGTTGTACGAGTTCTTCGGCCTGTGCATGCGAAGAGATGGATTGAATGTCAATTTCAAGGGGAGACTTGACCTGTCGCCCAGGAGACATTGGTGGTTTCGGAGAACGGGGACTATCAGGCCCTAGACGTCCCAAGCTATTCGAGGCGATGTAAGGACTAGAAAGAGTCAAATATGGTGTATTGGGCGTAGTCACGCTCCCACCATTGCTAGTCCACGTCGCACTGCTACCACTAGACTGAGGGTTATAACTATCTGTGCTCGTGCTACTTACAGACTCTCCTCGCAGCCTATTTTCGCGCTGCCTGGGAGATTCGTGGGGAGGATGCGTGGCGGTAATGTCATCACTGGGAGGTGGCTCATTTATGTTGAAAGGGAAATCGGAATTATGCACGTGAAGGGGTTTCGAGGATTGAAAGAGGGGTGGAGATAAAGATGCAGAGATTTTTCGTCCTCGCGGCTCCTTTGGTCTTTGGGAGTCAGTTTGACGGTTAATGGGTACACCAAAATCTTCTGCATCATCGTCCGCATCGTCATCGGCCATGCCCACTATAATTGGAGGCGCTGAATTTGGAGGTTGTGGGTCAAGCATGATAGAATGTTCTTCGATGGGAGTAGGTGCTATTCCAAACCGATCTTCTGCAGCTTCCAAGGTATTCGACCGATATCTTGTTTCCAATGTCTGATTAGTCCCAACGTAGCGCGAACCCGGACTTCTCGTTCTGCCCGAGAGCGAAGAAGTACTCGACGAAGGGTCAAAGCGAATAATGCGTGAAGAGCTCTGTGGCGTAGATGCCTGACCTTGCGACTGACCAGATGATGAAGAACGATTGTGGAGCCGCAAGATCCCTGGTCTTATAGGAGGACTAGCAGCCTCGGATTGTAAGTCCTCATTGGGCGTCATGGATGCCCTACTGCCTCCTGATGCAGAGCGGTTCCTCGACTGCTGGCCCGGGTAAAGCTCCATAGCGATCGGCAGATGACTCCGCGCACTAGAATTACTGCCTATCCTGCGTCTATGCTGTTCAATTGATGGAAAATCTTTAGGAGAGGACGATAATGGCGCCGTAATACTCCTGGGTGATACAGGCAAGGGAATCGAACCAGATGCAGGAGATGGTGTAGGAAGAGGTATGGAAGAGGCGGATGAGTTATGCTCTGAAGTGACGCTTGAACTTGAGCCATCAGCATTAGATTTCTTAAACAGGCTCAGCAATGATAATTTGGAATTGAGTTTGCGAATGGGTGGTGCGGACTCCGCGCCAGTCCCTGCAGATCTTGGCCGACTGACACGAGTGTGCAAGGACGAAGTAGATGGCCGCCGAAGACTTTCGTCGAATACATGAGGAAAGGAGGGTCGTCGGGGAGACGAGGAGTCTTCAGGAAAAGATGGAGAGGCGTTATGCAAGGCATATTGCTCAAGCGAACTCGAGTGGGCGTGATTTGAGGAGAAATCTTCTGACAAAGATATTTGCATTGGGAGAGGGTTTATTTCGGGATCTGGAGTTCCCGAGGGCCTGAGGACATTGAGAGCGTGGTCGATTGAGCGCTTAAGATGGAGTCGCTTGCGTATTGAGGTCTCGATGCATTCCATTGCGCCACTCGAAGAACTCCTACCCCTAAATTGCTGCGCCTCACCACTAGCGGGCGATTCGCCTCGTTCTCTGAGACTCCTTTCCTGATTTGCCAACCATTCCTGTAAAACGTCCGCACATTCCACCCAACCGTTTTGCCGTGCAAGCGTCTGTGGAGTAACCCCGTGTTTGTCGGGCTGATCTGCGTGTGCGCCGTTGAGGAGTAGAGTGCGGATGACCATAGAATGGCCGTTTGCAGCTGCGAAATGTAGCGGTGTTGAGCCGGATGTGCCAACTATGGGCGCTGCGGTGTCTCGATTACGATCAGAATATCGTCTTGGAAGCCTGATGGTCACAATTAGGAAATAGGAGGACAATGAGAAATTCAGAGTGGGCAGATAAGGATAGGATCAAGCCTACCTGGGCGCATTGACATCGGCACCTTGTTCTATGAGAAGTCTGACAACAAAGTCATTGCCGCCCGAGCATGCAGCATGTAGAGGAAGAACGCCGTCGAGGACTGAGTTGACTGGTTGGCCATGAGAAAGGGCGTATTTGACGAGACCAACGTTGCCTGTCGCGGCGGCGGCGTGTAAACCGAGATGGGGGACTAGAATGATGAAACCAAAGTGCTTAGGACGATGTGTAAACAATAGGATGCGATGACATACATTCTGTGGTGACATTGTACTTTGCTTCTGCGCGATGTATACGCGAGTGAGTAGGCATTTTATAAACCTGATTTTTGGTAAACCAGGTGGGCTTTCGAAGAGTGAAAGCAAGAAAGGCAAGGACACGAAAAGGCAGCCGAAGGAGATAACGGATGGATGAAAAGTGTAGCGCTGAGGCGGTGGATGGGTGATAGAACACAGCAGATTATGCAAACAAGAGAGAAGCGACAGAGCCCATTAGGAACAAGGAAATGAACAGGGAAAAGCAGTGTTGATGCTGATGGTGGTTACTTTCGAAGAGCCAGTGTCGCCTCAGACGACGACAAAGCCCAAGGACGCCCGCCACAGACGCTCGCCATTACCTAACCTGCCTTATCCGTACCGCTCTTTTGTTGGTACCCCTGGTGGCTATCCATGCATAATTATCCTTTCGCATCTCAAATAGCTTCAACCATTCAGAAAATTAATTTTAACCGGTCATTAACACCCAGAGCACACTATGCAACCATCCAACAGCAATCAATCATACGGGTCGTCATTCATTCAAAAAAACAATCATCCTCAGCGTGGACCCCTGACCGTGCGAGCCCTTCCCAGCCGTCATCATCGACCAGCCAACATCCATCTCCATCAGCCCTGCTTTCTTGTCCACAGAACAAGGCTCCTCTCGCTTAGATCAAACTATGATCTATCATATCATCACCGTCAATATCACCCTCGCACTGATGCGTTCCGTTCTGTCGAAAAGGACATCGTCCTGTGAAGATTAGCAGGCGTCACTCCCGCGTGAAGATGCCGAATATCTGGAGTATGCGAGTGAGACGTTCGCGGCGTACCAGCCACAGTCGATGGCGGCAAAGGCACGCCAGCACCTGTCAGTCGAGAAGCAGTCGACCGCACAGACCCTGGCGTGCGATAGTAAGGGTCCCCCGAGGCTTTCACCATATTGATCTTCCGTGCAGGAGGTGTCGTCAGTGAACTGGATATGCTGGAAGACACCGATTCATCTTCAGAGTCAGCGTACTTGGCAGAACGAGGAGGTATAACAGCAGGATGATCGCTTGACCCCGATGCAAATACATCATTGTAACCCCCAGGCATGGGTACAGTGGCCGTACTTCCAGTATATTTGCCATTTGATGGTAATCGATGATGGTGTGACCCAATCGTCGATGGTGGCAGTGGTACTCCCGCGGCAGTGTACGCTGTATCACCACCGCGCGAATATGGGGAAACAGGTGGTCCCGAGGGAACGAATCCCAACGGTAGCCCTCCTTCTGGCAGACTCATTGGAATTGTACTAGATGTCGCAGGTAGGGGAACCTTAGAAGGCGTCGTTGGACCTGCGGACGTAGAAGGTAGGGGTATAGGACGATTAGCATCCGCTGGGCTGAGCAAACTCGAATGAGGAGTCGTATCCTGGGAATTGTTAGATGCTGGTCGAGACTATGATAAGATGTACATAAGTTGATTGTTCAAACAGCGCTGGAAATGAAAAGGTACCGCACCGGGGGCACGACAGTTATGTGAACCGAACCGTTCGATACGACACTGGCACGATGGGCTCTTTGATCAGATGCTCTTTTGGCATTTTGCTTACGAGTAGATGGAAGCGAATCAGATGGTGACCTTGGCCGCTGATAGATATCTTGCCTCGCTCTGTTTTCTAGTCCACGTGTATCAAGTGCGGCCCTGGTAGGCACTGGTATATGGAAAGCGCCGTGCTAAAATAAAGCATCAGTATAGGTCCTCCGGTCACTGGAATAGCACAACCAATGACACTCACATCGACCGTGTGCTGTTCCGGGTCGGTAATGATACTACCGTTTATCACCTGACTGGGTGTTCCCTGCGCACTAACCACTTCCGGGATAACACTCAAGCCACTTGCCCTGCTTCCTCGTGAGGCAGGGGTATACTCTGGCGCGCTGAGAAGTTCTAATTCTGAAGTTCGGCTAGAGTTCACAGAATCATTCGATGACCTGCGACGAACGCGGGGCGGACGACGAGGGGTGCCCGAAGCGTACCCATCACTGAAAACCTCTTCCTGGGGCCTCGGCGGTGGTACCATGAGAACGCTTTCCATGGGCAGAGGGGGCAGAGGGGGCGTTGGCGTAGTCGTCGAAACCGGTGAGCGAGCATCCGGCGTTGGTGGTGGGCGTGACAGCTCGTGAGGAGCAGGGAGATGTATCCGTAAGCTATGATCTGCCTCTGGTATCCAACCATCAGTAACAAGATCGACTGAGCTACGATGAGGAGAGAACGCAGAACTGCGCGTAGGAGGTGGGCGTTCATCTGCAGAAGACGACGCCCCAGGAGCCAAGCCACTTGACTCAAGAGATGAATCACGGTAGCGTTGCGTACCTCTACCTCTACCCCGAATTTCGGGTGAAGGACCCCGACTATCTATGTATTCTTCCACTTCAATGTCTTCATGCTGAAGAATCTTGTCCAAAACTCGATCTGCACTTGTTCGGCCTTGGGCATAACCCTTCGAGCGACCATGCAGATAACCGATATCTTTGCCCATCTCAAGACCCTCCTGCATACCCATCTTCCGACCCTCCTCACGCGCCAAGTTGAGCCTCTTCTCCTCAGTCAATTTCCGTGTTTTGCTCCGCGCTTTAGCAGCATCCTCCTCAGCTTCGCGCCTCCTCCCCTCGACCGCATCCAAGACCGTCTGAGCCCTAAAAATCTCCTTCTGTGCATTCTCCAGCGCAATCTTGTACAACTCAAGCTCTCCCTTTACACGTGTGCAGTCCTGCTGCGCTACTATTCTAGCGTCGTTGGCGTCCTTGAAGCGGGCCGTCGCTTCGAGGGCTTTGCGTTCAGCATCGTCTGCACGTCTTCTTTCGCTGTGAAGCTGGTCTGTCGCGTTGTACAACATCCGCTGGAGTTCTTTTGTCTGAGATTCTTCGAGTAACAAGAGGCGTGCCAGCTCCCGACTTGAGGTCGCTGTGGCATCGCGTTCGCGAGCTTTGGAACGACGGACCGAAGACCTGACGGAGGCCTTATCCAAAGGGCCATCTAACGGACTCTCTAGCGGGCTATCCGCTAGATCTGAATCGTGGGCAGCCTTTGGTAAAGGCGGAGGACTAGAGGGTGAGTCAGAGACATCCATGTGTTCTCAGCGCTTGCAGCTGGGAACATTAATACCCTGGAATGCGTAGGACACGAGTATCGCACTCACCAGTGTCTTCTTGATTGATGCGGTGAGAATGGAGGATCAGACGTAATACACAAAATATCTAAGAAAAAGACAGTCCTGCTGGTATTATCCCCCTACAGTTTCCGGAATGCGGTGGGTTATAATAGAAAGAGAACAGACAGTTCTCCAGACTGAAATGCTTTCTGAAGAATGGCCTTGACTCAAAAGCCCATACAATGGGAGAAAAGTGAATCTTCCCAGTTACGTTACATACAAATCCGAACTTGTGTTGTACGGCATATACCCCTGATTAGGGTTAGGTCCCTAACATACTAAAACAAACAAAATATAACATATGCTGGTAGCCCTACATGTGTACAGCAATGCGGATAAGAACAACAAAGTGGCTAGTAGAAAAACAATGAAAGATTGTCGTGAATGAAACTCTGGCCTAGCTCAGCAACTACAGCTCTTGCCTCCAAGGAGGAATGTCCTTTCTCTGGTCATACAAGTCATACACCGGAGCAGCCCCGGACTCTTGTAGTTCTCTCGACACTTGCTCGGCACCAGCAAAGACCCGCAAGAGGTTCCCTCCAGTAAGGCCCGCAAGCTCATACTTGTTCCACCCACGACTGTACAATTCGGCGATCTACGAGGCGTTAGTACCCGGAACCCCTAAACGAAATCAAATGAATTACCAGTGCTGGATACTTTGACACATCTTCCAAGCCCTTCGGCACTTCGGTACCAATTCCATCATAGTCGCTTCCAATGCCAACGCTGTCGCACGGAGGAAAAGTAAAAAGGTTAAATTTGATCAAGGTACGCTGCGTGGTCTGACTGACTGTTTCTTCCCGGCAACATTCGCTATATGTTCAACATGGTTGGCGACAGCCTTCACGGTTGCTTTTCCTTCAGGAGCGACAAAACCGGGAGCAAAGTTGACCTGCACCAAATTATAATGTCAGAATACGTCAGGAAATGGCTATCAGATACAGACCATGACAACACCATCCCGTTGACCTTTCCCTGTACCGATAAGCCTCAGTACATAATCAGGGACATTACGAGGGACGTTATGAACAGCTCGCGCGGAAGAATGGGACCAGATAACAGGAGCTTTAGAATACGTCAGGGCCTGGGCAGCAGTGTCGTCCGATGTATGCGAGAGATCAACCAGGACACCAAGTCGGTTCATCTCGTCAATCAATTTTCTCCCTAAAGCACTGCAAATTGACCGGTGATCAGGTCACATATGATACTGTTTACAGGAGATACAGACCTTAGACCCCAGTGTAGAGGCTCTATACCGTCCATCATCCCACACGAGTCGGCAAACGCATTGTGGCAGCTGTGAGTCAGAGTGACGTAGCGAACCCCCAGGGCATGGTACTGGCGAAGCACAGCGATAGAATTACCCAGTTGATGGCCCCTGAATATACTGGTCAGAGCGACCTTGATGCAATAGCTGGTTCGATCTCTTACCCTTCAACACCCATGAGACTGGCAATCTTGCCATCGCGGATAGACGACCTGATGTCCTCCGTGCCTGTCGCGAACTGGAATGTCTGAAATCGAATTACAAAGTTAACAATACAACACATGAATCCAGTCCAAAGACTAACATCGGGATATTTTTGGATTAGGAGCTTAGCAGAATCGATTTGCTCGAGTGTGTCCCTAGAGTATGGCATATATGTATGTCAGTTGCAGAATACTATACCTTATTATTCGTCGGGACAATACGCACCGAACACGCCAACTGGAAGTAAGGAAGTCGTCGTCGTCCTTGCTATCTTTTGGACATTCAACAAATACTGACCTGTAATCATGAACACACAGATTAACTTGATTGTAAGCACTAGCGAAGCAACAAAAAGCTAACCAGAAAAATCCCCCGACCATGCCTTTTCTCAAACGTGGAATGTCGACTTGCAAAGGCATAGGGGCTTCGAGGTCTACGGCAGAAACATTGTTGCGGTAACCGAGGCGAACGACATAGGGTAAATCTGCAAAGAAGCAACAGCATGAAATTACAACTACTAGAATAGACCTCATTTCGATACAACATACCAATGTGACCATCCTAGAAAAAAAGGGGGGAGTTGATTAAAGAACACAAAGATATCAAGGTGATAGGGTCGACGTACAATAACCGGAGCGGACCTCATGATTCTCCTGGCAGCCAGCTCCGGATCCTTGGGCAATCCTCCTGACCACGGGAAGTGCGAAAGGAAGTCACTGAATGCGAAGACAAGCACGAGACCGGCCACGAAGAGAAGTATCAACACACTCCAAACCGTGGCACGGACTATCAGAGCACGAGAACGTGTTTTGTACGCTTCATGTTCGTCGTCGTCGTGAGCATAGTTCCGTTGGCTACCATTTTGAATAAGCGGGTCTGTTTCGCTTTCCATGTTAGCTGATAGCGAAGAGCCAGCTGAGACTATGGTGGTTGACTTCAGGAGGTCTCTGCGTCCTTACAAATCGGGAATCGGAGCCCTTGCGCGTAGGCTCATGATCACGTTAGTGCGGCTTTTAAGCTTGCTGCCTGGCGCAGAGGAAACCTCCAGTATTTGAATTGCCTAGAGAGAAGAATTACAATACATGGTTCACAAACACGCCGAACACAACAGGTAGGTAATGAGATATATAGATATGCGAAAATGAATCAATGCTGTACAACTTCCTACTTTTGGCGCCCGAGGTACGTACACGGGAAGTGGTCTACTTCTTCAGCGTGCCAATGACAGCATCTGGTGCATATCTTGGGATGACCTGTAACGTGGTATATTTCAGAATGATACGATTGAGCACGCTCCATAATGCTCACCTTAGGATCGTGCAACATGTTGAATTCCTCGGTAGCATCACGACCGGCATAGAGGATGATAGCTTTCTCTCCTCCAGGGTGGTCTGGCAAGAACTAAACATGAAGGTGAGACAAAGTCTCTTTTGAGCTGGAGGATGCACAACTTACGTTGGTGACATCTAACACCTGGCCGTTAACAATGACCCAGATATCCTCCTTCTTGTTGTGCTTAGCAACATCAGCTGACGTGAACTCCTTCGATGGTGCGGAAGAACTGCTGGCTGGTTTCGGCGCTGGTTGTGAAGATGCTGGCTTCGACTCCAGGTGACCAGCAAGAGAACCCAAGCGGCCTCCCGCCTTTTCGACAGCAGCGGCAGTTGTTTGCAGGAGGTATGCAGCAGCAGAATCGCCTGATACTCGTCCAAATACTACACAACCCAATAGTGATGATCCTCCAAGACGGTTGGCACCATGTACACCACCAGCAACCTCGCCAGAAGCGAAAAGACCAGGTATAGGCTTGCCCTTCGAGTCAACGACTCGGGATTCTGGGTCAATTTCAAGACCACCCATGGTGTAATGGAGTACAGGGGTCATCACGGCAACGTTGAAGTAGTCGTTCATACTCCACTCTCCTGATGAGAAGAACTAAACGCAATAGACTTAAATTCCTGGATCGAGTATATAGAACAAGATATATTACCTTCTTTCCGAAAGGATCTTTCTTAGCCTTGACGCCGGCATTGTAGGTGTCGAAGGTTTTCTTAAGAACTTCTGGCTTCAAGCCCATATCCTTCGCCAAAGCTTCACCGCTCTCAAACCTCTTCATGAGACCACGGCCAACGTAGTGCTTGCAGTGCCATTCAATCTCGCTCGAAGCTTGACCGTTCAAGATAAGTCTGACGGGGTACTAGGCGCAAAGTCAATACACAAACTACAATGGCAAAGATTGTAAACCTTACCTTGCCGTTCTCCCAGATCTTTCCAGTGACGAAGTCACGGTGCTGCAACTCGTCAACGAAACGCTGGCCTTCGTTATCGAGAAGCAGACCACCGACACCACGGAGTGCCTCTGCAGCCAAGAACTTGACCTTTGCATCTGGCTCGTTGGGGTCCACGAGACCGGTAGGGTGAACCTGAACCTTCTCCAGATCGATTGCGCTAGCACCAATGGCCATGGCCATCTTTTGGCCATCACCGGTACAATGGTCACCGTTAGTGGTGGGAAGCGCGTAGTATTCAGGACGATGTTTCTTCAATAGGGAATCAGAGGTGAAGTCGGCAGCATAACCACCGGTAGCAAGGATGACGGGACCGTAAGCAGTCTCAATCTTTCCATTACGCTCGTACTCAGCACCAATAACGCCGCCGCTCTCATCTTTCACGAGCTTGGTGACACGAGACTTCTTGTAAATCTTTACGCGCTCGGGGTCGCTAACGGACAAATCCTCAAGACGCTCCATCTGAGCGTAGGTGATAACCTAGAAGTCGTTGTACATTGTAAGTATACCTTACAGATATATTATCTCCAGACACGTACCATACCCGGGAATTGGGCATTACCACGATGCGTACGAGGTTGGCTGTGACCACCAAGACGAGCAACCTTGGAAAGATCAAGACCAAACTTGTCTTGCAGCCAGTTGACGGCATCACCGGAGCGACCGGTCAATACACGAATGAGATCATCCCGAGCGAGATCACGAGCCTGTGGAAATGAGATGAATATCACAAGTGTGTCATAAATGAGCGCAGTCACATACAGATTTCTTTGTATCTTCGAAGAAGATTTTGGCATTGTCTGGGATGCCATTCTCTACCTGAGTTTGGGTTCCGGCACCGTTAATACCAGAGGTAGCCTTTGTGGAGTTACCGCCCATGAAACTGAAGACGGAGATTAGAAACTGATATCACTCGACCACATTGCCACGCACCCTTGTTTGTCTAGGAGCAAAACATTTGCACCACGCTCAAGAAGGGTGTGAGCAGCAGAGAGACCGGCGAGACCGCCACCTACGACGATGACCTGAGCCATTTGGGTATGATAGAAAACAAAGATTGGGAAGTAGTGGAGGTAAGGAAGGAAGATGGGACCGCGTCGGGCGAGCGTCTCCCGAGAGAAATACTTATACCGACAGCCAATCACAAGGTTAGGGTTGCCGGACTTAGGCATGTGATATCTTTATCACGCCGCTTGGGACGGCACCGGACATCGCCGGTTATCCCACCTGCTCGGCCGGCGTTCGCGGGGTGGAATCGCTGTCCTCCGTTAGTCTTGCCGTCAATGTCCCCCCGCTCCGTCCGTCCGTATTTGGTGTTCACTGTCTTTACCATATGTTATTCACTTCAATGTCTCAAAAGCTACATCAAGGAAATATACTTTCTATTAGCTTCCCCATGTATAGAGCTTGTTGGTGGTACTCCACAGGACATGAATGGTATAATGCAGTAATTACACAGTGCGTGTGAGAAGAGCTTTCTCAAAGGCTCTTTCCCCTGATCCGCTCTCGAGGTCTATTTCGACCACAGCCAAAAACTACACTCCGTATGCCAGTAATTCTTCGAGGCATCTTTCTACAATTTCAGACATAGACATCTGAGCACCTTCTAACAGGATTAGTTTATCCACCGTCCCCTTTAGCTTTCCTTTTTCCACGTCCCCATTCTCGAAAATGTGCTGGTGAGCATCCACATACGCCGGGTAGGCGATGCCGTCCCAGTAAAATGGCGGATCCTTCCAGAGCGTACCCTCTAGTGTAACAAGTGACTCTCCAAGCGGGCAGCCGTGGAGAGATGGGCGTGTGGACAAAGAGTGGGCGTTGTGGGGTTAAGGTGGGTACGCAACAATTCAATTGGTGGAGCAAGGGAATTAGAAGTGCACAGTGAACATGGAGGGAACGGAGAGGAGAGCGAGTCAGCCGTCGAATGATATTCGAAAATAGAGCGGAGCAAGTAAATGTTTTTTGATCATTCTCACCTGCAGTGAAGTACCCAGAGCGCTCTTCTCTACGGCTTTTCAGTAAGTCACGTGGAACCCGTAACATGAAACGAATATCGAATTGATCTATCACGTCCTGCAATCGAACAGTTCAGCAGCTCGCCGTCAATTGAATCCGAGTCCTTTGATCTTACTTGATCCCAATACAGTAGAAATCCATCTACTAATCCCCAAACTACTTCCTCGCCTTCTGCTTCCTTCTGATTTTGTACATTCTCGAAGACTTTCTTCCACTTGGAGAACGTCTCGTCCGAAACAGATACGTCCCGCTGTTCGTTCAAGTGATCGTGACTCTGGTAATCGGGCGGGATCTTCCCTGAACGTTTGACTTCTTTTAGAACAGAAGCGAGTCTTGGCCATTCGATTGCTCCTGCGGCAGAATCCCAATCTTCAACTTGATATATGGGGTGAATGGGAAGCGAGCCTTGTTGAGGCTGGTGCGTGCTTGTCAAACCTGATCAATTATTTTTCAGGAAAGTTATCTCACTGACAGCAAAATCCTATTTTCAAAAACCACTATCAATACACAAAAGCATCGCGTGAAAGCAGAGTAAACTTCGTTACGCACGTCCTGGTGTATGATCACGCTATTGGGTAATATTCGTTTCAAATGTTTTGCCAGAGTCGTCTTCCCAGAACATGAGGCCCCTCTGATGATAAGAAGATAAGCGTTAAAATTGCCTGTGGGACACCCATGATCATGATACACCGCAGAAATATTTCTTACCCAACCCCAACAAGGATGACTCTAGTTTTTTTGTTTTCAGCTTGCTCACTCGCCACGTCTCCTGCCATTTGTATATTCTCTGATTATCGAGTTGGTTTTAGGCGTCTCTGAAGTGGTCTGGGACTTACATTAACGCTCGTGCGAGTCTACACAGGAAGACAAGGAGAGATGACTCTTTAGAGCTCTTTCAAGTTAGTCACCGTGACAGTACTGAGATAAGATAAGACCGACGGAAATTTGCGCAAACTCCGCGCCACTCTCCATTTCTTCATGTTCTCTTCATCGATGTCGACTTCTTCAGACAGGATGTCGACCAAACTCTCGAATGGGCGAAACCCAAGCTTTTACGAGTTTTCTGTGAGGTTTATCGCGACTGCAGCCTGAAATATCGGGATATGTTGACAGATAATCGAATCAACGTACAGGAGATAAGAATACGTGGTCATGCAATTATTTGTGCGGTCATGTATGTTTCTCTGCTCTCTTCTTTACATCGTCTGCTGTTTCTGCAACTTTCTCTGCTCCGTTTCTCTTGGACTCGTCAGCCTTATTCTTTCCCCACCCTAACACATTCCATCCAGAGTTCTTCGCCTGCTCTGCTCTTTCAGCCATCGAGTCCTTGGTTTCTTCGTACGTTTTCTCCGACTTGTTTCTTGCATCTGCTATGGACTGTTCTGCAGCACTCTTGTAACTGCCAAGTTTTCCTTGTGCTTCATTGGCAGCCGAACGAGCTCGTTCGGATAGCTCATTGGTAGTATCTTCGGCGCGCCCCTTTGAGGCAGCATATTTCTCCTGCGCAGAGGCCTGCAATATGATCGTTTCAACAATCGTTCATTGTGTTTCGTACAGCGGACGAAACCTACCTTGGTTTCATCATATGTTTTCTGACCCTCTTTGAGAGCCTCTTCTGCTCTGGACTTGCCTGCATCGGTGACTTCTCGCGCCTTCTGTTTCATTTCTCGCTCCTCCCTCTTCTTTCGTTCATTGAGATCCACATCTGCACGAGAATAGTAATAATACACCCCGCCGATGGCAGCAGCGAGACCTCCTGTTATGAGCCATACATTGTTGCTGCTGCTTCCACCTGGTGGAGTGGAACCTAACTTCGATTGTGGGTTTGGGGCGCTTTGACCTGACGGAGGGGGAGGTACGGTTGCAAATGTGCGAGATGCCTGTATAAAATGGTGAGGGTGAGATGCATCATGGATAAAACGTGTACTGACGACTGGCACGGAGAGTCTAGACACTGAGCTTGGTCTGGAGAGTGCGGTGAGGCGAAATGCTTGTGAGCGGAACATTGTATGTTTTATGGGAATAAGAAATTGATAAGTGGGTTTTGATTACAGCGTGTTCAGATGCGACTGGCTTTTATATTACAGACTCTTGAGGTGTGTTTCTTATAACTTGCTGCTTCAATGACGACAGGTGTACGGCTATGACGTCGGGTCATGTCACGTGAACACACCGTCTCACAGGTCACGTGCGTGCCCATACCGAGCCGACACAAGTGGTTCGCGTGGTTCGGCATGGTTCGCACATAATACGGTATAGCTTCGCCGCAACTACATAGACCATCATTGATGATGTGAAAGCCAAGATGAACAAACAATCTTGGGCTCGAGTGGTGTGTAACTAACCATGATGTTGTTCGGTTTCGTAGGATTGGCTGTCGCAGTCGTAGCGAATGTCGCTGGTGCAGCTGCAGCTTCAAGCCAGCTCGAGGGTCTCTACAGTCTTGTCAAGAGACAAATTCCAGCTCACGCAGGCGCCTTCACCTTCGAACTCTCTGCTGCAAATACCACGAATGCTACAGATACATTCACTTTGAGTGATATCGGAAAAAATGCTACAGGGAATGCCACGATACTCATCGAGTGCTCTACAATCAGTGCTTGTGCTCGTGGATTATACACGTAAGTCTCCCATCCTCGTTCATCGTACCTGCAGCCATCTCATCTGCCATGAGAACAGCTACGTGACCGAGTTTGGAGGCGTAGACATCTGGTGGACAGGCTCGCGGCTCAATGAGCTGCCATCTCAGCTTCCAGAAATCGGAGAGCCAGTCACTCGCACATCGCTCGTGCCATATCGCTATCATTTCAACACAGTCACCTTCAGCTACACCGCGTCCTTCTATGATTTCGACGACTGGTCTTTTCTACTCGATTGGCTCGCCCTGCGTGGTGTGAACCTGCCCCTAGCATGGGTCGGGAACGAGTACGTTCTCGTCCAAGTCTTCCGCGAGGCAGGTCTCACCGACGCGGATATCGCGACTTTCCTCTCCGGCCCAGCGTTCCAGGCGTGGAACAGGTTTGGAAACATTCAAGGCAGCTGGGGTGGCGACTTGCCCGAACAATGGATCAATGATCAATTCGTTCTGCAAAAGCAGATCCTCGCGCGAATGGTTGAGCTTGGCATGACGCCTGTCTTGCCCTCCTTTACCGGCTTCGTTCCCCGTGCTATGCACACCCTCTACCCCAACGCTTCCATTGTTAACGGAAGTCAGTGGAGTACCTTTACGATACAGCATACCAACGATTCTTTCCTTGAACCGTTCGATCCTTTGTTCAGCACCCTACAAACGTCTTTCATGACTAAATATGCGGCTGCATACGGAAACGTATCTCACATCTATACCCTCGATCAGTACAACGAAATGATGCCTTATAGTGGAAACACATCATACCTTTCAAGCATCTCGTCAGCTACGTTCGCCAGCTTGCGCGCAACTGACCCCGAAGCGGTGTGGATGATGCAAGGCTGGCTGTTCTACATTTATGCTTCGTTCTGGACCGACGAGCGTGTAGAGGCTTACCTGGGAGGCGTTCCAGGGAACGACAGCATGATCATCCTTGACCTGTTCAGCGAGGCATACCCTCAATGGCAACGTCTGAACTCGTACTTTGGCAAACAGTGGATATGGTGCGAGCTGCACGACTTTGGTGGTAACATGGGATTCGAAGGGAACTTTGAGAATGTCACCACGCAGCCCGTCAAGGCTCTGGCTACACCTGGGAACACGATGGTCGGCATGGGGTTGACGATGGAGGGTCAAGAAGGGAACGAGATCATGTATGATGTCCTCTTTGACCAGGCGTGGTCACCCACGCCAATCAACAGAACATCGTATGTCTCAGCATGGACGTCGCGTCGGTACAATGTCCCCAATCTTCCTACCGCTGCTACTGAAGCATGGGAGATCCTTGCTTCGACCGTTTACAACAATCAAGACCCGTTGCTTCAGGCTACAATTAAAAGTATATTCGAGCTTGAGCCCGCGATCAACGGACTCGTCAATCTCACGGTCCTGCAGGGGATTCCAACTGGGCTTTTTTATGACACGAATACGACTATTGTCCCCGCTCTTCAATCATTGTTGCAGGCACGCCAAGAGAGTAGCGCGCTCGATGAGGTCCCGGAATTCCAGTACGACGTTGTTTACATTATCCGTCAGCTGCTTGCAAATCGTTTCATCGATCTCTATACCTCACTCGTTGATACATATAATTCGACGACCTCAAGCAGCTCTGATGTTTCCACAGCTGGTGCACCACTCATCACACTCTTGAAGGACGTTGACTCGGTTCTGCTCACAGATACACATTTTCTCCTCTCAAATTGGATCAGTGCCGCTCGGAACTGGGCACACGATAACTCAACCTACGCTGCATACCTCGAGTACAACGCCCGCAATCAGATCACACTCTGGGGCCCAAGAGGAGAGGTCCACGACTACGCATCTAAGCAATGGGGTGGGCTCGTTGGCACGTATTATGTCCAGCGCTGGGAGGAATTCGTGTCGTATCTCTCAGGGAGCAAAGCAAACGGGACAGCGTACAATGGCACTGCCGTCGCCGATGTGATGTTCAATATTGGCCTTGCCTGGGACAACGAGACATGGGGGCAAGCGGCGAACGAGACCTGGGGGACTGTGGGTAATACCTGGGATGTCGTACAGCAACTCGTGGACAAGTACATTTGATTCTATGATGTAATCACAAGTTCATCAACCACGCGTTGTGATTTTACGTGTGGAACAGAAGTCATTCTAATCGCCCCTCTTGTGGCTTACAACATTCTTGACATGACTCGTTGCAATCCATTCGGGATCGTTTTCATACCGATTGATGACCCTAACTTGTTATAGTGTTATTTAACTCTGTTTTTGCGCTCAAAGTAGTGGACCTTGTACCCTATAATAAATTATGATTTAGCTTGCCACGATGATGTATTGTTCCTTGCCGAGTCCCTCGAAGACGGAGGATGGGTAATGCGACGTCTGCTTCCATTTTTTTTCAGTTGTTATCTTTTCTGGATTTCATACGGACTTCTCTGGTCCATAGTATACTTATATGTGTGTTGCCAGTCATGTTCTAGCGCATAGGCACTTGGATGTATTACAGCCTCCGCACGTGGTGCAAGAGCACGTGGCTTTACTTTAGTTTCCGTGAGGCAGCCAGAATTGGGCGTGAGGTTGTCAGTGGGCACTCTGGCTAACAAAAATGTCTGCATACGCTACTACGCGACATCACTCGCCCTCAGCATTCTCAGCTTCAGCATCGACAACATTATATCGTCGTCTGACATGGGAGGGCACCGTTCCTCTCGAGATTCGTGTCGATCCAAATGAACTCCCAGCCAATTCAGACCGTGGTCTCGAATGCTACTACATGCAAGCACCAAGAGTCAGCTATCTGCCTCTCTTGGTGCCTGAAATACGTCGGTTTCTGATGGATGTCGTCTTTGACGAGGCTGCATCCAAGATGCTCAAGGAGGAGGACTGGTGGTTTGAGAGTGAATCGCGCACATTGATCAAATGGTGAGCTTTTTCCTCTTGGCCCGTGCAATCCACATCGCGTGCGGTCATTAATATGGTAAATATCACCAACCGCGTTTTGTTTTACATAGGCACTGGCCGATAGGCCTCATTTATGATAACCATATTATTTCATCTTCGATCAAACCATCCGCTCAAGGGTCTACATCCTATTTGAACATGCAGGTCACGCCCCTCAAACTCATCCTGCATCTCGCATCGCCTCCTACAGATAAGCTCCTCCTGTCACCTAGTGCCGAGGCATGTAAGCAGGCGTTCATGGGTCAGCTGAAGGAAGCCGACTTCCTCAGGTGGGGAAACACGAAGAGAATGACCAGCTTAAGGAAGGCTGAGCAAGACGGTATTTGGGAAGGCGTTAAAGAACGTGAGTTTCAATGCTATGTTTAACCTTTTTTTTGTTTCAATATTACTCTTATCTCTGATCCGCTTTGATCTCACTTTTTCCCGCAGATAATTTCGATGATTACTGGCGTGTTGCAGCCAAAGTAACACCGACGATCGCACCTGCTCGACCGAACTCGCCCCCACCTCCGCCATCGGGATCCATGCACACTCGCCCTCCTTCCGCCGACCCTCAGGTGGCACCTGACAGAGACGGCGCCTACAATGTCCGAAGTGTACCGGTAAGGCTATACTTGCCTGATGGTCCGGTATTACAGGATCTCGTCCCACCCATGCTCGAAGATGGTATGTGCTCGTGTTTCCCAGTACCTTAGGCTTTATCGCGCGATCTTCCTTTTCTTACGTGTCATCTATATACTAATTGATAAATCGTAGGATCTCCGCATACCCTCGGGCATTATTTATCCACGCACATTCCCCTGCTTTTCCCCCCTTCGTCTTCTTCCGACTCGGATCTCGCTTTCGCACTGATTCACGGTGTTCTCGCGCCATCTGAAGCTGAAATGGCATGGCTTGGGGCTTGCATGCCAGGAGCTGACGGGTGGATCAATGTTTGTGTAGGTATTGCTCAATAAGATGGACATCTTAGATATTTGTTCTCTCCAGTTAGTTTACTTCTCGCTGTTCATAATAGTGGTGTTGTTTTGATAACTCTAATGGATAAGTATACCCGTTTTTCTCGACTTGATTGGTCCGTGCGTGCTGCGCAGACCGGAGTACCGCGATAACTAAAACACAATGACCGCACGCCTTGGAGAAAATGAAGATATTCCCTAACGATAAAATACTGCTGTAGCCAGCCTGTGTATGAGTTCAAAAAAGATATCACCTTCACAGCAATATATAAATCCGTATGATATTAAAAGATAAAGATAATTACTTTCTATAATGCTGAAACAACATGAAGAAAAATTATTTGTCCATTGAGATATCCGCCTTAGAGTCGAACGGGTCAAGACAAAGGTGACTCTTAAAACTGTCCACCGATGGATAATGCTGTAGATATCTCCACCAAGCGGATGAGTGCCAATTCAAATTGTACGATTTGGAGCAGGCGCAGGGGCAGAAAACAAAGAACGCGCGCTTCAATCTAGTGCCATCACGATCGTGGCCGCCTGGTGCGAAGACGCTGGTAAGGCTCACAGCCAATTCACAGCAATGCCAGTAGTTTAAGGGGCTCCTGACGATTCGGACTTTTGGCGCCTGCACTTGGCGAGGTAAGGTTCAGGAATCCAGCAACTTGGTAGGAGCTGCGCATCCCAATCGCAAGGCTTGCCACCGAAATGACTAACTTGAAGGAGAAGAGGGCGCGCCGGTGAGAACTGAACCCGAACTGAGCCTCCTGGATCCTGGTGGTGTTCATCGAAATTCCATCTTAGGGTCAAAAACAAAGTATTCGTTCTTGACGTTAAATCTGGCAGAGCCCCCTGAAAATTTACGAAATGAGTAGAGCTGTACCTACGATTTGCCCCTGATGAAAAGATAGTAGGGCTGTCATCGGCGCTATGCCAGGACAAGCATAAGGAAACTGGAACTAGAGAACCGTATCACTTCCATGGCACAGAGTGACAGCTCTCTGCATTACCATAGCTGTTATGCACCTAACACTGTTCTGTCGCAGTGTTATCTTTTAATTGCGAGGGACCGCTGAAAACGCCAGTGCCATATGCGATCCTTAAGAATTTCTATATAAGGACCTAGGTATGCTTAGCGAAGCTAGTCCCAAAGGAAAAATAATATGTGGACAGCACTCAACATTGCGTGCACTGAAAGAGCGGCGAATTTAATCCAGGTAAGTCGATAAGTATCTGGTATCTTTCTTACAAGTTAGTGCGGTGAATCAAAGGTCGAACATGGGATTAACTCCACGCTCTCAGGCTAGACTCAGGCTACGATACCGAGCACCTTATTCAACTCCGATGCTGGGCGCTTAGCGCTTTCCATGACAGCACAATTCGCAACTTACACCTGGCTTACAAGTGAGCTTTTTTTTTTGTTACGAGTATCAAGACTGTATTGAATGGCGTGTTCTTCGTAATTGCCTTCTTGTATCACATGTATACAGCATCGTGATGGAGAGCCAAGTGATACATTTCAACCAGTTCACCCAGGATTACCAACTTCGCAAAAGGGAATAGGAAAGTTGCGTTGGTCCACCAATCAACGAGGACGCTGGGCTATGCATTTTCACGAACTATGTTCTCCCTGGTTCAACTGTCAGAAGCGAAAACAGGATACTGAATTGCGAAGGTACTTCTGACAGGCGTCCGAAAGTTACGGTACGCCTTACTTCGTTTCAGTATGTATGCCTCCCACATGTTGACCTCTCTAAAATAGCTACGGTAACGATCAATCAGTGTTTGAGATTTTCTTGCCTAGTTTTTACAGGAAGGCTAGCGGCATGAGAGTCGACCGTCGATAATGCGCCCATCACTGCCGGCGATGACCGTCTTTCAGGCTCCCGAAGCCTCTGCAATTATACACCGTGACCTACTTGTCATCGTTGTCTGATATCAAGCTACCTTCGTTTGAAGCGCACAAAACCCGCCGATGCCTCGCCAGCTCATTGCCGAATCCAAGGAATTTCAATAGGCAGTCAGTCACACCGGGCAAGTATTTTCGACTGTATTAGCCATACGGACGCATACCAAAAAGAAGAACAATTCGAAGTTGCTTCAAATGTACGAGATTCGGACGCAGGGCCGATGATCAGATAATCCCCATGGCTCGTCGTCCATCAAATACTGGTTAATACGCCTCTACACAACAAGCACAATAACTAAACTTATCAAACCCGAGGTGGCTCGAAATGTAGTGTGGACTTGCACTGCTATAACCAACCAAACCCCTGACTAACGGCCTTAATCGGTGCTGTATTTGGATGGTCGTCTGACAGTGATTTGTTGCCACTTGGAGGAGAGGTGTTCTGGGATTATGGCACCGACTCGGATGCGGCCATTCGGTAATTGGAGGTATGTTACAGGATGGACCCACAAGGAGAGTGTCGTGGCCCACATAGAAGAACGAACCGTTCACAGACGATGCTGCGGTACCGGAATGAACATCTCACCTTCTAAGGATCATCCCCATCATGACGAGTCTAGGGGCGCTGGGCGTTTCATGACAGTTTTCGTCCGTGATGCGGCGGTACTGCATCGTGGCAATGAACAACCAATACTAAGTAGCTAGACTTAACGTGAGTGCATTCCCCGGAAGCCGCAAACAGTGCCAATAGAAAGATAGCCTGATAGGCGAAGACACTAAAATAACCCGGGGAGGACCGCGAAGCCCTGAATATCACTCACTGCATAGCACAGCATAATCATAACAAGATCCGTTTCCTCACTCCACATGCCTAAAGACCAAAACTTTACTTGATACCACGGACACAGGATAGATAGTGATAACTTCAAAGCACTGTTACAAAGAACTTGCGAGCGATATGTATCTAATAGAACCCATTGAATGGGGAACGCAGCACATTCAGATAGCACGGCTTTCTCTTCCTCGATGAGGTGCAACCAGTCCAGTGGAGTCTTAGATCTCGTAACGGGCAGAAACAGTATATTCAGAGAAGACTGCATATGTACATGAACCGTAGCAACTTCTGCGACCGGTTCCTGCATATGGCCGGACGGCTTTCTGTATTTCTGTATATAGGACGAGACCGAGGCCCTTGGTGTTTCCACTGCGTAGGTTCCATCTGAATGTTCCATTCACGTCTAAAGACCGCTGAGGGTGTGAAGCAGCAGCATGAGATACAGGGTGTGTAGATGGCATCTACATACACACATAAGACATACGGAATAACAATAAACGAAGCCGTGTATACTCACGTGCTAGTGTCCGCTATCGTGCTCGATTACTATTAATGTTGATATGAAGGGATATTATAATAGTCTATGGGTTCACTATAGATAGATTATCAGTTTATTGGGTGTGCCTCTTTGGGAGATAGTAGTCCATACTGGAAGAAGCGTAGTAATGAAGCTGAACGAGGCTCGACCATGTCACACGCAAGTGATCTTGGTCAGTACCATATGAGTTTACAGCGCCTGCTTCGGATAATCCTAGATCAACGGCCATCGTCATGGCCATCTGTGAAAAGTTTTTTTTAGTATATGCATGCACACCACAAGCGCTCAAAAACAGGAAGCCCGACCTCGCAATAACCACGAAAACCTGGACAAATCATTAGGAAACGTATGTGAGATTGATCACCCATTGCAACGTACCAAGAGCTCTACCGTTCTTATATTCAGACCAGGCAAGGACCATCAAAGCATGGAGGCTATCAAGAGATGGCTGATGGACAACTGCGGAAAGTATGTTCTACCAGGAAGGGTCAGATTTAGTAGACACGGGTACCCAAAAAGGCCAGTACTTTGGCATTATCACCGTAAGCCTCGGCAATACTATGAAGTCCTCTTGACGTCAATTCTGGGACATTTGAAAACCTAATCTACGCATTGGAAAGTTGGATCAAAGCTACGGTGAAGATTCGTACCTCACAGCTATGCTGGCTATGCAGCTCGATAACAGTGCCGTCAAGCTCCCATTGGTGAATTTCTCCAATATCTCGTCGTGGACAATGAAAGTACACTGCGTTCCCATATGTTGAAAGAACAGTTGGATGAAGTGAGGCATTAGGTTTCGATGAGGGCATTGGAGGTGCGCTGGGTCAAATAATTGAAGTGATCGACGAGGCACGTGGGCGTTAATTGGTGTAGAATGGTTAGAGGCCCGGTACACTGTTGATCCAGGGGATGAATTGCTATAAGGAGAGTCGTCTTCCGAGCTTACAATAGAATCCGAAGGAGAGTGTCTGCAGAATTGGATGCTTCAAGTTAACGATGAACGCCATAAAGGCAAAGAAAGGCACACCTTTGATGAGCTGGAATGGTACGACGCTGTTCTGAAGCGTATGTCTGATATCGTGCATGGTTTTCTGATTCATAACCGGAAGATGCTGGAGAATAGGATGATGAACGATGGAATGAAGGATGTGGATGTGGATATGACGGTGTTGCACTGTATGGTGTAGGGGGAAGCGAAAAGTTGCTGGTCGATGAAATGCTGCCTTCAAGACGTTTATACGGATCTGGAGTGGAGCCTGGTAGCCGATCACTGAGGTGCTGTACAGGTAAGCCTTTGTTCATTTCGTAGGGCTGGGATGTTGGGCCAGCCAAAGGGCCAGCAATAGCGCGACTGCGCTCCGCAAAGTATCGTTCTCTATCGCGAAAGCGACATGGTATTTTAGCAACTTTGCAAGCTTCACATTGAGTTTCGGGCGTGGACTGCAGACATTTTATTTTCTTGAGACGGCTGGATCAGTGGGCGATAAGTAGTGTGATGAAAGGGAGTGCCACAGTACGTACCAGTTATCGCAGGACGTGACAAGGCGAGGGCGCTTCTTATGGCCCTGGGTGGATTGGGGGGACTCGATGATGAACTGAAAGTCTTCCATGGGGGATAAGTAAGAGTATTAGCTGAGAAAGGAGCGATCGGCTGACTTTTATACTACGCAAGGCTGCACCTCGAGGCGGTAGTATGTATGGTCACGGCGTAACGATATGTACATTCTAATGCAGAATAAGCCGCGAATAATGAGTCAGACATGCGATCTCAAGTTGAGGTCAGCGAGTTGGAAATCACACCCAAAGAACCTGCCGTCGCACCCGTTCTACAAGTGACCGAGGGCTCAGGGCAACACCCATTGACTCTCCCAAGCCGCCGGTCAAGCCGTCAATTTCCGAATCGCATCTGTCTGTTTCATGCATGCCGTAAACAGTTTCTGGCCAATCTCTCTGATCTTCTGCTGCGGTGTGTGGCCTATAAAATTAGGTAAGCGTTCAGAAAACATATGACAATGTTTAGTTGTGTCCTACTACTGTAGACCATTCGACACCGGTGTTGCCAAGTTGTCACAGGTAGCATCCTCGTGTAGACAACCTTCTTCGATCCCAGCTATATTTTTCTTGGCCTAGTTCCAGAAAAGACAGGCTTAACACCTTCCCCGCAGGTGGATACCTGTTCGTATCTGTCACTAAATTCACACCGTTGCCATCGCCTCAGAGCGCCCAATAATCTGCCCGCTTGTCCGCTGCACTCCCGCTGCGCTGACTAAAGTCCTTTTCTAACTCTCGGCAAGCATCATGCCGATGTCATTACCACTACGTATACCGAGCTCGGTAAACCATTATTAATCCCGGCCTTCCTCAAGAACTCTTCCTGGCTCCAGTCTATGTATTTCTTTACTCTTGTCTGTCCACGAAAGTGGGTGCAGCGTGTTCTTCCGTCCATAACGGCGAAGGACTGTAGCAAACAATGCTAAGCGTTTTCCTCGGATCAACTTTCGATCATACCCGATCGCATACTCAGTCACTTCCCCCACGTAAATTCCCTATTCCATTGTGCTTCCCAAGGGACAGTAGCACTGCATGCCCCTTCTCATTTTTGGCTCAGCGATTGCCATGACTGGCCTTCGGCCTAAGAAAGCTTCCCTGGGAAGCTTTTCGTGTCTATTTGAATCATTTCGTTCGAAATGCTTTAGCCTGACTGCAGTGTCAGAGCATACCTACTAACGATTGTAGGACTAGAGTAACTCAACTGTTCCGATCCGATTAATATTGATGTACTGTACTCTCCTCGTTACTTTCCCTTCTTCCCTCCATATTACCATCTTGGGCAATCCATCTAATCTTTGAAGACCTCACACTTCGGACCTCTTCCGCATCTTCTTCGCCTTCTTCAAGGTCATCAGCAGAGAAGAGTAGATGTTGATTGACTAACTGATCATCCCGATGAGGCTTCGTGGCGCGGCGTTAGATCACATCACGTCTACATGTTAATAAAAAAAGTTGCTCACTGCTGAGCGATCATCGCGGCGTATGTCTGTTTCGAGTTCTACTCCATCATAGTCGTTAACAGAGAAATCTCCATTGATGTCATTACGAATTGGTATCGGATTTCCATGAGCGTCGAGAGCCACATTGGAATCAACAGACTTGCGGTATTTGTGATACGTAAAAAGTGCGATTCCTACAAAGGGATATTAGGTGTGAATAATGCATCGATGAATAGGAAGAGCCGATATCTGACGTACCGCAAACAGTTATTCCGACGCCGGTGATGTTTAGGGGTGTGAGTTCATCACCAAAGAACCACGCCGAGATAGTAATAGTTGTGACTTCTTTAGCAATTCCTGCAATGGACATCGGCACAACACCTGCACGTTGAATGATGCTGTTGAGCCCAGAATAACACGTTCAGGATCAGCCTGTCATGCGAATTTTGTACCACATCTGAAATAGCGGTCCCCGCGACGTACTAGAATTCACTGAGAACCATACAAAAGGCCAGGAAACCAGGAGAGACCAGAAATAACGCAGTATTCAAACTTGAGGCGGTATCGTGGAAGTAAGAGGACTTGAAGACATTGCCCCAGCCCTCCCAAATTGCGCTGATGACAGCGAGGGTGACGCCCATCATAGGCGCTAGCCAGTACACAGTTGCAGCAGGATTGTCCATCCCCATGGTCTTGTTCTTGAGAAGTAGCTGAGTAAGACTCCATCGAAGACCACCGAGCGCACTGGCAGTTAGCACCAAGATGAAGCCAGACAAGACAAAGGATGTTTCTGTGGCCACCATTAGAAGCACCCCACCAAATATGAGAAGGATGACTCCGATAAGGCGGAACGAGTAGACTTCAAGTCTGAATAGGAAAGCAAAGAGAAGCACAAACACGAGGGAAGATGACTTGCACATGGCTGTGAAAGAAACAATTAGCGAGACGAATCAGGAAATTAGACAAAGTCGTCAGTTCGTGGTTCGCCGTAATTCTATAACCTCTCTATGAGCCACGTCGGGTGCCTGTTAATTTCGGCAACTCAAGGATAAAGATACAATGGCATACGACGTGGTTTGAGCTGTTAGAAGGAACATTTGAGACTCACTATAGAACGATAACGTAATGGTCTTGAGGGACAGGTTCGACAGGCCAATGTCAAGTCCCGTTGTGATAGCAGTTGGAACTGCCTTCTTACTAGAAAAGCGGGGAGTTCGTCAGCATAATCTACAATCTGATATGATGACTAGTTTTGAGGTGCGGCAATAACCACGTTTTAGCACCTGAGTGCCCCATGACTTGACACCTGCGAGAAGCATGTTGTCAAGCGGTCAACACGAGACGCTTGTAATACAATGCTAAGTTTGTAGTGTGTAAGGCCAGGGGGGCCGTGTAAGTGTGTTCCGAGCGATGTCACAAAATGATCTTCCGACCCCGCGATTCCTTGCTATCGAACCAATCATGGAACCAGCAAAACTCACCCATAATCCGCCATCGTCGGACTCCGTTCAGGTCGAAAAGTTCGCGGGAAGAGTGCTCTGATAGATGCCGCTAACAAAAACTGCACGATCATGTGGAGGGTGGTCACAAAAAGAGGGAAAGGAAAACCAAAGTGTTCTGGTGAGAACATCCACTTGTTGTATACGGATAGAACTGTTGCAAAAAGGAACCTGTGACCCCAAACAAGCAAAGGAATAGCAAATTCATTACAAGTCAAGAATGAAACAAAATAGAACACGGTAAGCTTGTGGAACGCGTAGGGAAACTTTAAAACGTACCACGAAGCAATGAAAAGAGCATTTATGGCAGCGTTTCGCCACCAAATCCGCTTTTTCTCAGCGAAAGACGCAATGTGAGCTGGTGGAACATCTTCTTCGTGCTCTTGGTCGTCGTTTGTTCTGTGTATAGGCTGGTATTCAGCAGACTCTAAGGTATCTGCGTCCGGACCGAGGTTATGAGCTGGAGCCATGAAGTGCCAGTGAAGGAAACGCATGTCACGGCTAACACCAGCAACGAAGTGGCGTGGAACACTACCATATATGGAAATCTTTGTCATGACCGAGCCTTGACCGAATCCAAGCTGACTATCGCACACCACCCAGAGCACCATCAAGCAATATCATCCATTACCATGCCTCATTCATACCAGCGTTGTCAGAACGGTTTAGACAAGTCTCTACACTTCGTATTGTAGGTGTATATGGGGTCATACCATTCATAGTCTAGTCAGGATCGCGATCGCAGGACAAACTATTAAGCTTTCTTTACCCCTTGCGGAAACGTCCTCGCGAACCGTCGTCGCCTCGAATGCCCCTTATGAAAGGCCAGCATTGTCACGATATACGTGGCAGATACGGTAGCATTTGAAAGCCAGATTTACTGTCACTAAGTCAAGATCCTTTCGTTTCCTGTTCTTGGCGCCTGTCCTCTGCAACTGTATCAGACGATGTGGCCGGCGGTGGATTTCGCCTGACACGAATAGGTTCAGTGACAGGGCGCCCAAGAAAGGATAAGCTCACCATGTCCGCCAGTGATCAAATTGCTTTTGATTCAAGTACTCCCGCCACTCGTCCTTCTTCATCTCTGACCTGAACCGGGCATGTTGTAGCAGCTCCAGGTGATGCAAGGCATGGGGATAACTGCAGGTGGATCGAATTCGCACTCACACCGAAATATCTCAGAAATAAAGGACAGCATACTGAATAAAGCGAGCGTAGTCTTTCTCCTTCCAGTACTGCAGATAATTCAAGTAGTTGATAAAGGCGGGTTGGTCGAGAATATTTTGTTGTGCAAGCGAGTGGAGATAGTACGGGTTGGCAAGGGACTGTACAAATTCAAGCTCTAGTTCGAACCTTGCACGATTAGCGGCTCTTGTCTCTGCATCAACGGCTGGAATGGCTGGAGTGGCTTCTGCCATCATGGTAATGCGCAAAAACGAAATGGTAGTTTGCAAAGAATGAGTATTGTTAGGATCCCAGGCTGTTGCCAAACAATGGCACGTGGCGTGTTACGCGTTCTGCTCTAAATCCGAACTACAGTTCATCTCAGCTCCTGCTTTAATCCATTTCGTGTCCTCGTTCCCATCAACTATCAATGTCTGGCGACGATGAGTCCAGTGGTTGGCAGCTGACAGAGTCTGACCCAGGTGTATTTACGTGAGTATCCGTCAACTTTTGTTGCAGTTAGCTTGGAATTAAATGTACTTGTGTCAGTGAGCTGCTAAAAACCCTTGGGGTGCCTTACATAGTCGACGATCTGTACTCCCTTGATCCCGAATCTCTTGCTTCTCTGCAGCCTTTGCATGCGCTGATATTTCTTTTTAAATGGCTTCCGTCGTCTTCAGATGAGCCTGCTGTGAACGCAGGCCACTATGACGCAGAATTTCCCGGTTTTTTCGCTCACCAAACTGTCAATAATGCTTGCGCAACTCTCGCTGTCATTAATGCCTTGGGAAATATCCCCGAGATCCCTTGTGGGTCTCAGTTGAGTGACCTTCTTAGTTTCACCACTGGGATGGATCCACAGACATGCGGGATGGCCATTACAAGCGCCGATTGGCTTAGAGAGGCTCATAACTCCCTGTCACCGCCCAGTGCTATCTCATTGGATGGCCTGGGCTTGCCAAGTAAATCTGAGGAGGCCTACCACTTTGTCGTCTATCTTCCAGTAATGGGCAGTCTGTACGAACTGGACGGACTGAAGAGATGTCCTGTGCAGCACGGCGCCTACGAAGAATCCGGTGAAGGGTGGGTCAAGCGAGCCAGGTACGCTGATTCTATAAAGGGCACATAATGTCCCATGGTTTTACACGGTACTTACTACGAAGATCTACAGGGAAGTCATCGAATCCCGGATAGCCACCTATCCAACCGGTGCAGTATGTTATTTTTTCTCTATAACGGGCTATTTTGTTACCAGAACTAAGGAAGGATCATTCATGCAGCTTGAATTCAGTCTTCTCGCGCTTCGGAATGATCCATTGCCGTCTATGCAAATGCAGCTGAAACACTTGCAGGATTCCAGAAGAGAATCTGAAGCTGCGGAGATCATTGTAAAGCTCACAAACGAGACTTCCAAACGAGAGCGGTGGGCGGTGAGTGGAATAATTATCAAGAATCGGCAGTTGCCCGATACTCACGTCATTGTGCATTTGACAGTTCGAGAACAGCCTTCGTCGACATAATCACGTTGGCTTGGCCCATGCGTTGCTCGTTGCTCTTGCCAAAGCTGGCAAACTTGATTCTGCGAAGGAAGTTGCGAAACAGGTAATGAAGGACCGCATTGAAAGGCGCAAAGAGATTGGGGACATGGATGAGGATTAGCATGTAATGCAGATTACTCATTTATTCAGCAGGTCAGTTGCGCTAAAATCGGCCTATTGGATGTGGCTCGTCACCCCTTTCGCTCCATGTTCATTACAAAAACACAACTGTCGGATTTATCCTTGTACCCATGCATGAACTGGACAATTGTTTTTTGGACTTTCGCCGGTGTGGCCTTCCAGAAAAGATTTATCAGAAGTAGGATTCCATTATACTGGTTCCTGCTGTTAATAGAATGATCAACCAGTCCAGGGAAAGGGCTGCGTGCGCACTGACAAATGTTTTTGAAGCGCAGTTGCCATGATTGTCAGGTTCGATCAGAAGTTCTGGTTGGGGCGTTGTTGACTGTATTTAAGCTCACTGGACAGCATCACTTGTCTTGTACGACATGCCAGTGTGTCAACTCTGGCTAGCACCTCCGCGGAAAAGCCATTGACACTTGCCAATGACCGGGATATAGTCTAGGCAGCCTAACACATACAAGGAAATCCAGTTTGATCAAGGTCCTTGTGAGTTTCACCTTTTTGGCCTCTGGCAGCATCTTTTCCTTTATTGACATTAATATCAATCTGTCAAAAAGCCGTGTCGAAAGCGGACAATCTCAGATAGGTGACTTGGCGGGGCCTACAGCACAATGTCGGCAGCAAACAGCTTGAAGTGTAATTTAGTTCAGTCAAATGGCGATGCTTTTACGCAGTTTACCGTAACGCAACATTGCGTTCTGCGAGTCGCCTTGTGCGTGATTGGCACGTGACCAAGCGGGTGCCGTTATAACGTGATCTATCGGCACGTATCAATCACCGTCATCCAACTTGACCTTGTTCTCATTGTCTTCGGCGGTCATGTCTAATTTCACAATCAACTCAACTGTTCGCTTAGCCTCAGGTATACAGATGTGAATGATCGCGTCAGTGAAGCTAACTGGCCTATCTCCAGGTCATGCTATGCCCCTTCTTGGCTTCGGCGTGTATCAGAATTACACAGCCAAGGCGTCTGTCCTAGAAGCATTCAAAGCGGGTTATAGGTAAGCATCACGTCGATAACTAAAATATGGTCCTTATGCATCAAATCGTACATGCAGGCATGTAGACTCCGCACAAGTCTACCGGAATGAGGCAGCGGTGGGAGAAGCTGTCAAAGAGAGTGGCATCGATAGGCATGAACTGTTCATTAGTGCGTCTTCTACGCACGGTGCGCGATCTCGTCGCTCACTGTTGTGCTTTGCCGTCCGGCTTCATTTGTAGCCTCCAAATGTGTCAGCCAAAATCACGGTTACGAGACCACACTGAAAGGAGTCGATCAGTCCCTCGTCAAATTCGGCTTTGGTGAGCTATGTTCCTTCTAATCCCCCGTCGGTATTACCATTTGCTCCCCCCAATAGATTACATTGATTTATTTTTGATCCATGACCCCATGTCTGGAACTGAGAAACGATTGGCTACCTACAAGGCACTTCTAGAATGTCAGAAAGCCGGAAAGATACGTTCCGTGGGTGTCTCCAACTAGTGAGTCGGCACTGCATTCGCGGCTGGCGGTATACCTTGAACCTTCCGTGCCATTAGTGGGGTCAAACATCTCGAAGAAATCAAGAATGCTGGACTTGAATTGCCAACGGTAAATCAAATAGAGGTGTGTTCTAGTATCCCTCTCGATAACATTCAATAACTACAACGATTACCGCAAAGTTGCATCCTCTTTGTCAACAAAAGCCCATAGTTAATTACTGCCGTGAAAATTCAATCATCGTGCAAGCGTATTGCCCGATTATTCGTGGTAAAATGGACCACCCCGCTATTCAGGCTGTGTCTAGGAAGGTATAAATAGGCCTCACTTTTCTCCCAGGATGAACCAAGCTGACTGGTTTATGGCTGGACGTAGCATGGCAGAGACCCCGCTCAAGTCCTTCTCCGTTGGTCCCTCCAGAATGAGTGCGACAAGCTTTCCTACTTTTTTGTCCTTTCCAACCGCCCTCTGATGTTCCCTCTGGTACTTTAGGTTCGTGCCGCTGCCGAAATCGGCCACGCCATCTCGGATTGAATCCAATGCCCAGCTGTACGACTTTGCACTCGATGCAGAAGATATGGCCAAGCTTGATGCCTTAGATGAAGGAGACACAGGTGCTATCAGCTGGAACCCCGTGAACCATCTTTAGGTTGTCTGTCATCGTACTAGACATGATACTGTGATGTAGCATATTACTGTAAGTACATCGCATGTAAGAAATGTAGCCGAGCCATATGATGCTGATGCGGCAGAACTGATAAGTGGTCTAAAAAGTGCAGCACACATCGGAGCACTTTTTCTCGGTTAGTTTCGCTCGCGGACTCTTTTGTGGCGCCACGGGTGTGGAAGACGCCTCAGGCATCTGACACTTGCAGCTGCGACGACAACCACTAGCCACCAGTGAATACGGTATCGAACAGAAGAGGTGATGGAATGACGTCATGGCGCGTCATACTAGTCATGTGCAAGCACGTGGTTAGCCGATCACTCCGATCAGCGATCTCCCATATACAGACAGTTTTCAAGTTCGAACCAGCCAAGTACTTTCCAGCGAGAGAGAGACAATAATGGCAGGAGCATGCATTATCACCAATCAAAGGTATAGATAGTATCAGTATCAATCTTAGAAGTTCTTCGCTGACTTTGGGGCATAGGTTTCGTCTCAAGCGACGGTACTGGATTAACACGTAAGGTGCGTCATAGGGGCTCCAAGACATGGCGCCCCGGGAAGTTCTCAGCATCAACTCCAACCGCCCATTCCTCGCGGTTTGTAGGGTATTGTGTGAGACACAGCCTGACCCCCCCGCAAACGCACAGCAACTGGTTTCGTTCCGATGGCCCAGCGCAATCATAGAAGCTCAAAGCTCGGAGTGCCGGATACCGATGCGCGGTCCAAACTCCAACGGCCCCCCGGCGAGATCGAAGTTTTGGATCATATAAGAAATTTGTAAAGGTTAGCTAATGCATTTAACCCCACTACCACCCATCATCCCTATCGCAAACTTCCCCTCTAACCTCCAAGTTACTCACTCCTCCACATCGTCACGCTCCGGGGAAGATATGTCGCAGAACGAAAAGATCGACATGTCAGAGTTGTCCGGGAAGACGGATACGGAGCATCGCGAACATTTTTCGTCTGTCAATTCCTCTAGATCGATAACGATACCATCAAGTCGTCCCAACGAGAAAGCTCACAATGACCTCGCTAACGAAGCTGGCGAAATAGAACACACAGAGGAGATCCCCCCATTGCCAGAATGGTGGTTAAGCAAATATCTTCCGGTACGTCGACGATGTTTACTGCCTTATGACATCGATATCCATGCTAATCTACGTTGCTTAGGGTTATTCATCCAAGAGGATGCTAAAGTTCAAGAAACCTCATACATACTACTGGGCGATAAATCTGCTTGCAGGTCTCGCGATATTGTTTTATGTACGTCATGACATGAAGAGAAATTTCTGTCAAACAAACCATTCTGACTCATATACAGGGCTATGACCAAGGGTAATGTTCCACGTTTTCCGAGCGGCGTGGTTGCTCATAATATGATAGAGTCATGTCGCAAGTCAATCTCAACGACAACTATCTTCAGTTAATGGGAATCTATCCCACAACAGGCAACTCCCGTAACCTCGCTGCACTTGGGGGCATAGTTTCTGTACGTCCAGTATACCCAACATAACATGTGCAATTGCCCACGAAACATTTATAGGTTTACTACGGAGGGTCACTTATCGGGGCCCTCATCGGCGGAACTATCGCTGACCGTTCAGGTCGTATCACCGCCATAATACTAGGCGTGCTCACATCCATCATCGGTGCTGTTTTCCAGTCGTCAGCAATGAATATCACATGGATGTGCTGTGCACGGGTAGTTACGGGTCTAGGCGTTGGTGCTATTGATGCTGGTATGTTTATAGCGACCATCCTGGCTTCTATCTGTAGCGTGGTGAGAACATCGTTAATGTTTCAAATATTTTAGTCATTCCCGTATGGAGTAGCGAAGTTTCATCCCATCAAGCTCGGGGTAGCTTTCTTGCGGTTGAGTTCTTCCTCAACATAGGGGGTTTAGCACTCGCCTACTGGATAGAAATGTATGTGTTTTGTCTTTGGCCTTTGCATTTGCGCGCTGATCAGGCAACTTCACTAGTTTCGCTGGTTTGAACTCTAACAAAGTAATGGCGTGGCGTACTCCGATCGCTTTGCAGATTGTATTTTTACTCACCATACTCGGTATGCAACGGCCTTCCGTGCCCCTTGACAAAGGCTAAACCAGGTTTCACTCGCAGTTTTAATTCCATTCTTCCCCGAGTCGCCCCGTTATCTAGCCAAAGTAGGCCGTGTTTCGGAAGCACGAGCTGTTCTTCAAGCTACTCGTTCTGGTGATGTGGAGGCCGAACTTCGACTAATCGTTCGCAGTGTCATGCATGACCGCCAGAATGCACATGACAATCACTACACGAGTATGATCTTCGCTAAAACAAAGACTCAGCGAGAACTACGATGGAGAGTCGTACTTAGCGTGTGGTTGCAGATCATGCAGGAGTTGGTTGGAATTGGTGTCATCACAGTATATGGTAGGTGTCAATCGCCAACTACCGTGGTTAATCCGTATATTGACCTATAGTCGTTCTCGTCAGCTATCGACCTCATCCAAGGCGCTGGATTCAGTTTGTCAGAGTCCAAGCTCCTTGCAGGCTTCAACGATATATCCTATATGTTTTGTGTTCTTTTTGCGGTATTCACACTCGATCGTTGCGGTAGGCGAAGTACGATGGTTTGGGGTGCCGTAGCCATGGCATTATTCCTGCTTATCGGAGGTATCCTAGATAAATGTGAGTTAAGCATCAGTGCATTGTAAGACTGAGCCTGAACATCGTTTGTATAGATGCTCAAGCAGAGGGACCCAATAAAAGAATGTTTGGTGGCGCAGTTGTTGCATTCACGGTAATTCTTTTTATCTAATGCTTCTATTGCTCTCGCTGAAGTTTCCCCCCGACACCTACGATCAGTTCCTATACACCGGTACTTTCGGCGCGACATGGCTGGTCACACCATGGTTATACCCTACGGAGCTTTTCCGTGAGTACACTCCTCGATTCGGTTAGCAGAGCACAAAGTTAACAATACCGACAGCCACATATGTGCGTGCCAAAGGTGGTGCATGGTCGGTCGTCGGTTGGTCGATAGGAAATGGTGTTGTCACCATGATTACTGTCAGTACGAGATGGTTTGCATGGTCCGGTTTTTACTCATGACCGAAACTTTAGCCTTTCCTATTCCAAGCCATTGGGTATGGTGTCATGTTGCTTCTTTTCGGGTTGAACATCTTCGTGATTCCCTTCATCATCTTTATGTGTAAGTTCTCGGTGCCTTTCGTTCTCAACTTGGGCTAACTACACCGGCAATCTTCTGCAGACCCTGAAACTTCTGGAAGACCTTTGGAACAGATTGATGACTTCTTCAGCAATGCAACGTCTTGGAACGTTTTCAAGGCTTCGCAACAAATTCGGGATCAAGGATTCGTGGACTGGCAATGGACAAGGAAGTACAAAGGAGGCATTGAGCATGAGGATGTTGCGTTGGAAACCATCGACACCAAGGACGAATCCAAATCAACGCAAGGTCCTTTCACGCGTTTACGAAGGAAAGCATCGGCAGCAGGCTTGTTATAAATTGTAAGTATAGTGACAGATCGACGATAGGGCTGTTGTCCCATTGCACCACATGCATACCGTTCTATAGGTTTTTCAGTTGTAGTTGTAAAAGAATGATCACAATGATGATTGAGACATCCAAATAATTTGTATTAACACTACAAACATGCTACATAAATAGTATTATAATTAATCCATCAGACAGACGCTATCCCCGCTGGCTTGTCATTATCAAAACTGCAAAAGCAGTCAGACAACAGAACAAACCAAACGTCCTCGAGACCCTTTGCAAAGAAAAGGCCATGTTCTCTGTTGAACGAGGTAGCGCTTATATCATCGACTGGATTTGAAGGATGCGGCATGAGTAAACATGCGAGACTCGAGTTAGTTTCTATAAAATAGATCCTAGCTGAGTATGTTCTGAGGAAACAAGAGTGTAGGATGCGAGGTTTATGTACTTTTCCTGGGTGGCCCGTGCGTGAGAACCTCGCATCGCCCGTTTCAGCTGTGGCGGTCAGCCTGACTTTAACTTGACCATGTCCTCAGACGAAGTCCTATCACATTTTGGAGTACTCGACGACTTGATACAGGTCATCTACCAAGGATTTGACCGTTTTGTTATTCTATCCAAAGTAGATGATTCCAACTGGACGACGTATGTGGGCCTTAAAGGTTCAGGATCGTGGTGGCGAGGATCGTGGTCCGCAAAGGATATCTTGCATATTGCCGTTCGTGTTCATTTTACCAGTTACTTGGGAGTCGTATGAAGCATCTAGTTTGGTCAATTCCTGACAGGGATCCGGTTCGACTCTCATTGTATTAGAAGCCTTCGCGGATAAACTTGCACAAGCGTTCATTCAGGGCGACCTGAGTATTGGGAACTGGGCTTCCAACAAAGTTACAAATTTAAACGTGATTTGCTCGTATCTTCTGACTTGGTATACAACCAACCATGGGTTCCTTTGTTAGCTCATATTCGGGGCTAAATCCAAGACACCTCTCCAAGTTCCTCTCGTCGAGCTAAAACCACAAGAGGTGGCAGTCTTTGCCAGCACCATCTTCATTGAAGTAGGAATAGTGGCCTTCGTATATTTCTGCTGAAATGTTTAAGAAACGTCAAGATTGCCCTCGAAGCACAATCGCGAAAGTGTCGTTTAAATCCTTCTCCATTTGCATCTGTATCCGCAGTTTCAGAAGCATCTCACACGGCTACTGCAGGTAAGAATACCTGATTTATTTCTACCACTAACAGTCTTCCAAGAGTGAACGTGACGATAGCACCTGTGAGCATGAGTAGATCACGAGTCGCTGCGGCCTCGTCACCCGATCTGGAATCACAACGGAGAATTAAAACATTAGAAACCGAGCTGGCCCTCAGTAAAGAAAAGAAGGGCAAGTCTCCCCCCAACGAATCCGGTTCGAGTAAGTCTGACATATTCTTGCATCTGAATTCCTATCGTCTGCTCACGATCTGGGCGTTGTGTAGAACCCTCTACCACAGCTGTTCGGCCTCCGAAAGGTGCATCACTTGCAAACCCAAACAAGAAAGCACGCAAGTACCAAGCCCTCGAATTTGAGAGCGACGAAGAATAAAGTTACATGTTGACTTGATAATAGTAACAATGCTCTTCTCGAGGTCGATTAATGACTGTCATGTCGGTTGGATCCGATGTTTATCTCTAGATCCTCCCGAGTTGTCTCCAAGGTAGTAGTGTAATTTCGGCTGGATTTCGCGTCCATAAAAACATGGAGCGTAACACATATGGCTTATTCGTATAGATAGCTCCTGCATCAACGTTGCATCAGCCCTTGATGCCACATGCCTTTGACTTTGTGTGAAGGATTCGGATTAGACCCAGAATTAGAATCCGAGTGACCGAGACCCACCAAAAATAGTAATAGCAATTTCTTCATTATAAGCATCCCCGTTACACGTTTGCACTTTACACGACACTCTTTCAAACTCCTTGAAACAACATAGCCTCAGGACTTCTATCTCTCCCTCCACCATGACCTACAATGCTGGATTCGCCGCAAAGTCTGCTGGGCAGGCTAGTGAGGGTCCAAACGCGCTCGGTGTCGAGTACATGTTTACACAGATCATGAATGCTGTCCAGAAATCGGTGTGTCTTTTTTTTCTTTTTCGCGAAACATAAAGAATATACTCATAGATCCACATAACAGCAATCAGAAATAGCTGATCTTCGTCAGGAATGCTCAGAACTGAGGCAGGCTAATTCCAGCTTGGAACGTCAGATACGAGAAGGCCTCCAGGTGAATGTTTGCCGTCAAAGTCACTCATTATAATATGAGCGTTTAGAGCACAAAGCTTTAGCTTGCTTTTGATTTTGGTGGCGAGACATGATTGTTTTGGGCATATGAAACAGAAAAAAGCATTTGCATTTTCTGTGATACAGTCGCTATAAGCATTTCTTCCTTTGATACTCGTACTCATTCCTTCTTTCGACAGAATGGCAATTATTATGGTAGTTCTCGGATGGGGACTCCAGGTTTTACAACACCAGCGCCAGGCAGCCCACAACTTCGCGCAAAATCTCCCTTCCTATCTCCGCATAGTATTCCAGCTCTGGCAGTGCCTCCATCTATCCACGTCCCCTCCCCACTCGGTGACAACGCCCTTACTGCCTTTCCTTTTGGAACACGTGATATACCAGGTTTCTACGTTGTAATTCCTGCTGGAGGTGCAGGTACCCGCTTGTGGCCTCTTTCACGCGAGGAGCACCCGAAATTCCTCCTCGACCTCACTTTGAAAGGTCGCTCTCTAATTCAGGCTACATGGGATCGTCTCCTTCCTTTGTCTTCTGCCTCGCGAACTACTGTTGTCGCTGGTCCTGGGCATATCAAGTCGATTCGAGACCAGTTACCGGATCTTCTCGTTCACAATCTTTTTTGCGAGCCCGGTCCCAAGGACTCTATGGCCGCCATTGGACTGGCTGCGGCGGTTCTTGCCCGCCGCGATCCCGATGCTGTGATTGGCTCTTTTGCCGCGGATCATATGATTTCTGGCGATGATGCCTTCCTTTCTGCCGTCGCTGAGGCAGTCGAAGTCGCGAAGAAGGACTATCTCGTCACCATTGGAATCGCACCTTCGCACCCTTCGACAGGGTTCGGTTACATACGCCTGGGAGACAAACTAGGACTGAAGGAAGCGCCTAACTCTAGGCTCGTATCTAGCTTCAAGGAAAAGCCTGATGCACGCACTGCTGCTGCATATATCGGAACGGGTAACTACCGATGGAACGCTGGAATGTTCGTCACGAAGGCCACATTCTTGATAGAACTATTGAAAGAGTACAAACCCGACTTGTACGATGGTTTACAGAAGATTGCGGCTGCTTGGGATGACGAGACTTTACGTCAAAAAACCTTGAACGAAGTTTGGCCTGGCTTGGAGAAGATTCCTATTGACAACGCTGTAGCAGAGCCAGCTGCGGCCGAAGGAAAAGTTGCTGTTGTCCCTGCTACGTTCGGTAAGTGTACGACGGTATGACGACATCAGGGTGCGATCTAACGTATCTTCAGGTTGGGATGATGTTGGTGATTTTTCATCGCTTGCAGACCTTCTGCCTGCAGAGTCCAACCAACCTCGTGTCCTGGGCGATACCAATTTGGGTTAGTTCTTTGTGCTGTTTCGAGATGTGAAAATTTTTCTGATGATGATGTCCTTTGGCTTTCTAGTCCTCACCGAACAAGTGGCTGGTGGGATCGTGGTGCCCGGATCGGGGCGACTTATTACCTGCCTGGGAGTGGACGATCTGGTCATCGTGGATATGCCTGATACTCTCCTCGTTACAACTCGTGCACGTTCTCAAGAAGTCAAGAGACTGGTCAAGAAGTGTCGGGATGCTGGTTGGAAAGAGCTGCTATAAGTCTTTATCCAATTGTACGTTTGATAACCCCACAAGATTTCTAGACATTGGTTTATTTGTATATTTTCTCCTTGGAGTTGCGGCAAATGACTTTTTTTAATTGCAATACCAACGTGTGTGGTTCAATTTCAAGCTGGTGGTGTTGGTTGGATATTCGTGCAGCGTACATACCGGTGACTTAGTGATACTGATAGTGTTCTTTCTTCTGTCTTTTATCTTTCCTGCTGTCCGTATTATTTATTCGTACTGATACTTTCGGACTGGCCTTGCGAGTTGTTTCAATTTGTGACCATGTCTGTAATATATCCTGGACCTGGGTTAGGGTCACCTCTATCTTTGCATCTTCGGATTTCTCCTCTTCTTGATTCCGGCGACCAAGACATAACTGCATGAAACGCATGATGAAACGACATCTTCTGTCACAAGTGCATCTTGTTCATCGCCATGTTGTTATTCTGGGCTGGATGGGCCTCCCATAATACGGGGTGTACAAATTTGTAAGCTGTCCTTTTTGTTGTCGACTAATAACTGTAGACTAACGAGCATCCATGCTCCTTTTCTGTCTGCCCTAGTCAGAGTATCTTGTTCTTCAAATTAAGAATCAACCAATATATGAAGATGTCCATGGATCATGAATACTTGCGGTGAAACATCAGCAAGAACATGACAACTGCTCCACAGCGTCTTCCAGTCAACAAATTACATGAGCGATGTGTTCGAAAGATAAGGATGTGTAATAGGGTATGCTTGGATAGCAATACAGAATACAGATTTCCAAGGTATTTGAATCGAGTTACACGAACGCCAACTCTCTACTCTGTTTTTGACCCACATTTCTTTCTTCTTTTCCAATTAGCTCCCTTGGACCCAGCGAGGTACTTCCAGGAGATATATGAGATAGTCGAATAGCGTGATCAGGGAATGAGAGTCCGAATATCGGGAGTTTGAGAGTGCTAAGTTGAGGGAGCCGTTCTTGAATTTAGAACAGGCTACTGGTACGTGGCTTCGGTGCTATCTATCTTTCCCCCCCGCTATTTTTGGCGCTCAAGTGTTAGGGTGCTGCGGTGAAGCGTATACCATGCGGTTGTGAGGTGTTCTGGGCGTTGCTTGTGTGTTGGAGTCAGTATTGGAGTCAGTCGAAGCCGTTCCCATTCGGCTGTAAGGATGTGAGTCAGTAGTGGACTATTTCTGGCTGATAAACGCTGCGGTACCTATGAGGAAAAGTCTATATAATGGGTTAATCTTCACTATTTTTGAGCTATCCTTTTCTTCCTGTAAGATCGACAAGCACAAGCACAATGTCTAATATTCCAACCTCTACTCCAGTGTTGATTGTGAGCGTTTTTCTCTTTACATGTCAACGTGTTGGCTTATGCGTGTTTCAGGCAGGTGCAGGTCCTGCAGGCCTTGTAGCAGCTTTAACGCTCCTGCGGAATGGTATTTCTGTCCGGATTATCGAAAAGGAGGCAAAATATCGTGTGGGTCAACGAGGTCCTGGAATTTTCGTATGTTCGGAGCGCTTCTTTCTAGTGATGTGGTCATTAACTTTGGCTGTGGTAGCCTCGTGCATTGGAACTTTTTCACCATCTTGAAGTCCCTGAAATTGCTCAGACAGCGAAACTGGCACCTCAAATGCGAACGTACAAATTAGGAGGTGTTGAACTTCTCAAGACCTTCCCCATGTCACCGTACACAGAGCCTACGCCCGCCATTCCCTACGTACGGATTGCATTGTTTTACAGTTCTTTTTTCTTTCCTTATGCTTTTTTTCAGTATAATCTGGTTGTTATAGGCCAGGAAACTCTTGAAGGCATTTTACGTTCTCATGTCGAGAAACTATCTTGCACTGTTGAACTAGGCACAGAGCTTTGTTCTTTTGAGCAGTTTTCTGACCATGTAGTGGCCCATGTCACGAAAGAGAAACATGGTGAAGTAGTACATGAAACGATCAGAGCTAACTGGCTAGTTGGGGCTGATGGAGCCAAAGGTAAGTGCCATCCTAAAGTTATACCACTCTCGTCGTCGTCGTTGATATGTATATATGCGCAGGTATTGTACGCAAGCACTTGGGCCTGACATTCTTAGGAGAAACTCGAGAAGATATGCGCATAGTCACGGGAGATATCTATCTCGCGGCGAAAGGAGTTGACAGAGAAGTGCGTAGGGTCGGGTATGAGAGATGGAAACTGGGTTAATGGCTTGGTATAGCATAGGCATGTTTTTGGAGAAATGGGAACAAGGGCGTGCGTGCTTTCTTCGTCTCTTGCTATTGATTAGGCTTATCTTTCCCCGAAGTGTCATTTTACGGCCTACAGATGAATTTGGTCCTGATGGATATCAATTCATCATGGCTGGCCCGGATCTCGATACCACTCTTTTGGCTGGGAATAAAGATGAACTTTTTAAATGTATGTCTGCTATCGTTGGCACGGACATTACATTCGGCGAACTTCGTTGGGTTTCCGAATTTCGGTTCGTCCTCTGTCGACGTTTGGTTTTCTAATACATCTAACATAATCTAATGTAGACCCAATATTCGCATGGTGAATACATTCGGAGAGGGCAGAGTTTTTGTTGCTGGAGGTTAGTAGGGTTTTCAGTGGGCATATTTTGGGTGTTGATTTATCTTGGATTAGATGCGGCACAGTTCGTCTTGTTACATTGATATACTCAAGTTTTGTTCTCACTGACGTTCATTCATAGTGTCCATAGTCCTACTGGTGGCCAAGTAAGTGCTATTTCTGGGCGTATATTTTGAAACTTAGTTAAACTCTACTTCTAGGGTCTTAATTCCAGTATCCAGGACTCTGTGAGCATTCGGCCGTTTGTAGTTGCATTTGCCCTTAATTTACACATATTCAGTTCAACTTAGGTTGGAAGATCGCGCTGGTGGAGAAAGGCTTTGCTCCGATCTCATTAATGGATACATACACCGCTGAACGCCTGCCCGTTATCGCGGAGATGCTCAATATCACCACCACCATCTTAGACAAGACAACTGCTGCTACACGATCGACTGCAGAATCGGCTTTTCAGCGTGGCCAGAAGATGTACATGCTTGGCGTGAACTACCGGAACAGTCCTATTGTTGTTGACGAGTTCGTGACGGAATTCAAGCCGGCGGATGCCTATGGGAATATTCAGGATGGTTGTCTCCAAGCTGGTGATAGGGCTCCCGATGCTCCAGGCTTGATGGCCATTGATCACGCGGCGACCGTAACCAGTGGAACCACACGTCTCTTCACTATCTTTCGGCCGTGGTATCACACTCTCCTGATCTTCGTCCCAGACGTTGAAAAGTCAACCTCGTTTATTTCTGCCCTTGAGCGCTATCAACCCGGTCTTGTGCGCTCTATTATTATAGTTCCTTCTGTAACTTCTTTGCAACCCAACCCAAGTGCCGATAATTTGTTGGTTGATCGGGATGGGCATGCGTACAAAGGTTACCTGGTAAACGAAGGAGAAACTAAAGTTGTCGCTGTTAGGCCGGACGGTGTGGTTGGTGCTATCGTGCGAGGAGCGGAAGGGATGGTTAAATACTTTGGAGGAGTCTTTGGGGTTTGAAGGAGCATGTTAGTATTAGCTATGTGATGTAAGAAATATAGAGTTTGGTTGATTTGGAACGTTGGCAGGGCATATATTGGCAGCAAGGAGGAGGCCAGCATATTTAATTTTATTCGAACATCATATATGGTGAAATGGCCGAGCGGTCTAAGGCGCCAGACTAAGGAGATCATGTCATCAGATGACAAGTTAATCTGGTCTCTTCGGGGGCGTGAGTTCGAATCTCACTTTCATCAAATATTTTTGATTTTTAGTTTTGACACCAATATCTCCATGTCGATTGTTCCGGCGCGGCACTCACTTTTTCAAAATTTCTAACTCGAGTCACTTTGTCGCGGTCTCTATCAATTTTGGTCCACAAAACACGCAGTTGTACTCTGAGCAAGTCCATTAATGTGTCGCGCACAACTGACAGACGATGATGCTATGCTTGATCTACGTGGCGGTACAATTACTAAAAGTTGCTTTATCTGTTGAAGTAACGGTACCGGTATCGTCTTGGTCAATCCTATAACGTTGTCTCAGATCAGTATCATCATCAACAAATGGCTGCAATAGATACAATCCCTGTCCTCATCGTAAGCGTTGACCTTCATATGAGCATCATCTGCTGACCTTGCATTCATAGGTTGGTGCTGGTCCCTCAGCGCTAGTTGCAGCTCTTACCCTACTGCGTAACGGAATACCCGTCCGTGTCATCGAGAAAGAGGACACCTATCGCCTTGGGCAACGCGGTTCTGGATTGATCGTGCGTTAATACATAGTACTACAACCCTAGTACAGAACTCATCCTCTCTTTAGCCTCGCTCGCTGGAGCTTTTCAGATTCCTCGATGTCCCAGAAGTGGATGAGAATGCCACAGAAGTGTTCCCCATGCGCTTATACAAGCCTGGAAGTGTCGAACCTCTTAAAACGTTCATGATGTCGCCTTACCAGGATCCGACTCCTGCGCTTCCTTATGCACGTCTACCTCGCCTAGATTGAACTCTCCAGTCACTCATGTGTATCTAAACTACAGTTCAACCCTCGTCTACTAGGGCAGCAGAAGCTAGAAGGGATTTTACGCTCTCATCTTGAGAACCTGTCGTGTTTCGTCGAAACTGGGACTGAGCTCCGCTCACTCGAACAATTTCCTGATTATGTGGTCGCACGCGTACTGCGAAGGCGTAATGGCGAAGAAGTACAAGAGACAATCAAAGCCAAATGGCTCATCGGAGCTGACGGGTCTAAAAGTACGTTCCGTCTTCTTCGATAATTGGTCCTTGTTCATGTTCCCTATGTAGGTGTCGTGCGGAAAGAATTAGGACTCACATTTTTAGGAGAGACTCGAGATGATGTGTGTTCGATCACTGGTGACATCCGTCTTACAGGCCCAGGGATTGATAGAAAGGTCCGTGTCACAATCTGTCCGGAAATTTGAAGCTAACCGCTACATGCTCTAGCATTGGCACATATTTGGGGAGATGGGAGCTACTGCGTACGTATCTGGATAGATTTTAACGTGCTGTACGCTCTGGCTTAATAATAATGGTCTATTACAGGATTATCTTGCGGCCCACAGACGAGATTGCCCCTGATGGTTATCAGTTCGTCATGTTCGGTCCAGGGGTCGATATCCCAAAACTACAATCAAGTAAAGATGAGCTCTTTAAGTACATTGCTTCTATGGTTCACGCGGATTTAACATTTGAGGAGCTTATTTGGGCTTCCGAGTACCGGTGCGCATTATATCTGCGATATCTAAATGTCATTGTTTTAAACATGCGGTTTCTTCTCCAGGGCCAACGTTCGGATGGTGAATAAGTTCGGAGAGGGCAGAGTTTTCATTTCAGGAGGTGCGTTGCATGTTTTTTTTTCATCACACAGCTCAGTTTTTGACTTGGTTGCAGATGCTGCACAGTTCGCATAATTCCTTCTGTCGTCGGTATAACCTGCTAATCCTTTTGCCAGTGTTCATAGCCCTACAGGTGCCCAGGTACGGGTGAAGCTTGTTGCAGTCAGCATTCACTTTCTCACCTTTTCTTTTAGGGTCTCAATTCAAGTGTTCAAGATGCTGTAAGTTTTACTAGCACCCATCATTACTATCTTACCATGTTCTTGTCAGTTCAACCTCGGCTGGAAACTAGCGCTCGTTCAGAAAGGCCTTGCACTGCCCTCACTGCTCGACACCTACACCACCGAACGTCTTCCCGTCATCGCCGAGATGCTCGACATCACCTCTTCCCTGCTCAAGAGAACGAACGCTGCGAATACTTCCACGGCGGAGGCAGCACTCAAGCGTAGTCAGAAGCTATATATGCTGGGCGTGAACTACCGCAACAGCCCGATTGTGGTCGATGAGGTGGTGCAGCCGTCTGAGGCGGAACCTGTGGACGCGTATGGATCTATTCAGGACGGGTCGTTGCAGGCTGGTGATCGTGCGCCCGATGCGCCCGGTTTGGTGGATGTGAAGAGTGGTGAGGCCGCGCGGTTCTTTGACATTTTCCGTCCGCGATACCATACCGTCCTCATCTTTACTTCGAACGCTTCCGATGCTGCTCCCATCATATCTGAACTTGGTCACTACGACAATAGTGTTGTGCGCTCCATCATTGTTCTCCCTGCTGGGGCATCTGTACAAGCAGAGTCGACTTCGGCTGATGTTATTTTGGAGGATAAGGAAGGGCATGCGTATAAGAATTATTTGATAGGAGGCGAAACAAGAGTTGTAGTCGTAAGGCCAGACAGCGTAGTAGGTGCGATCGTACATGGAGTGGAAGGTGTGAAGCGATACTTTGGTATCATTTTCACTTCCTAGTGGCATTATAGTGCTGTATGATTATTGGGTTTTCCTTTCTTTTTGCTCGATTGCAGTTGATCCACAGTGTAATTATAGCCTCACAAATATATAGGTTTTGGTTTATCCATGTTGGAGAGATTCATAGCCATCGACTTGGGTATGGTTCCTTCAGACACCCTTCTTAAATCAGTAGTTACGGAGCCCACGACGCACCAGAGGCCCACATGGGTAGAATTACAATGACTGATATACATTTAATCTGCAGACTTTTCAATTTTACTCGATGCCCTAGCTGCATATCCAGTCCAAGACTGACATAGTATATAGTCATGAGTACACAGCACTTCCTAGGGCCGAGGGTACTCACTTCGTCGTAAATGGCGACCTTTGGTGTTCCTAGCAACTTCAAGCCGAGCCACAACACACCTGCGGTCATACCGCTCCCACAAGAGGTAGTGACCGGGCGCTCGCCGTTGATGATCAGTTCCGCGTTTTCAGGTCCTACGGCGTTCACGAGAGTTTGGCGCAGCTCGGGGATGGGGAGGAAGGTGGTGTATGATGCAGAAGAGTTGAGAGGGGTGTTAGTTTGTAGGAATGTGTTGAATGGGAGAGAGAATGAGTGTGGGATGTGGCCTGAAGAGAGCCCAGGACGGGGCTCGGGGTCCGTTCCAAGGTACCTGTGTTTGTGAATTGAATTATAAGCTATCACTGGCAGATTGATACGAGATACACGAAATACACGTACCTTCCGCGAGATCGTGCGTCCAACACTAGCTCAGCACTCGGGTCTGAGGAAGGAGTGAGATTTGAGTTGGAAACCATCTGGTCGTAGCCTGGAATAAAGCAATAAGGATAGAAAAGGCATGACGCGAAAGTATTGGCTTACTCTTTATCACGTCCTTATCATAAACGGGGGAAGGATATGTCGATTTCGGGACTTGTGCGGGAGGTGCACTCTCCACGGAGAAGCCTTCAGCCTCCCAGCGAGGTAAGCCACCGTCAAGGACGCTGGATCGTTGATGTCCAAATGCTCTGAACATGAAAAGCGCGCGAGGAGACGAAAATACGCCTTGTGTGTCATAGCTAAGTAGATAATTCAGTGTCCTTATTTCATGAATGGAAATACAGTATAGCGGCGCACATAACGACGTGAGACGAGGGGTCAATTCCAAAACGTTCTGTAGTTCAAGGTACAGTATCTTGTGAAATTGGGCTTTTCGTACGGAAGCAAGATCATACCACATGCGTCCGCGAAAATGCGCTCAGTGGGCATCATGTGCTTCAGACCGAGCTCGTTTGGGCTAGCTACTTCATCAAGGCTAAGATAGTTGGCGCCAGCGATACGTTTCTTTGAGAATTCTTCTTGAGGATTGCGAGGAGAATTGGGCATGAACCAGCTTGCATCGAGGATTGACACGGCGCCATTGGAGGATAAGAGTTCGCGAAGGTGTGAAGGGGATATCAAGTACGGTGCAGGCGTTGAGGACGACATCGATCTCGTAGATACGGATAACGAGCTCCTTTTGGCACAATTCAGCAGCTGCCTGAGTAACATATGGCGAGTCTGAGAAAAACGCAATAGTATTTCAAGCTGAAGCCAGTCACTTGGTAAATAATAATTGCCTGCTTAAACCCGATTTGGTGGTCCGTTGGTCCACGGTCATGTGAATACACGGTCCATGGGCTCTATTCTGCCATTTCTAATATTGCGCAATAGTGTCTGTCTATGCTCCGAAGAAGCAATTCAGGTGTGTAATGCAGCAAGCCATCACTCAATGCTATTCTCGCTTTCTTCTTGCCTCCATCCTCGTTTCGCGCTTTTCGACAGCGCGTTAAGCATTCAAATCAATGAGTATTCAAGGCTCTGACGACCAGCCGCAATCATCATCCCAAACAGCTACAAAAGCGTATGGATCTACTAGAAACATACCAGCCTGCCCAGGCGAGGACGTGCAATCTAACAGTCCTCACGGTGCTCTCCCCGTCCCACCAATAGATAAGATACATGTGGATTCGCATGGACGTCTCCATCGAGGGCTGTCCGCTCGGCAGGTCCAGATGATCGCAATAGCTGGTAAGTAAAGTTTACGGTTACATTCAGCTTTACTTACGCTCGTGTGTTAATATTAATAGGTACCATTGGAACTGGCTTGTTCCTCGGTACGGGACGCTCACTGGCGCAGGGAGGCCCAGCTAGCATGTTGATTTGTTATGGCATTGTTGCCTTCGTGGTCTACGTGACGCTTTTACTTCTTGGAGAGATGGCTACGCAGTATCCGGTTGCAGGTAAGTAAACTTCGATCATTCGCCTTCTCAAAGGACTATCAGTGTCAGGATATATGACTTCATCCTGTCCCAAGAAAAAAGTTGATGTGCGATTCTCATCGAGTCGCACAATTATGCACATCTCGTTTCACTTCTAACACGACTTTAATCATGTGTGACAGGATCTTTCAACGCCTACGCCACGCGTTTTTTCTCACCGTCTTATGGATTCGCACTGTCGTGGAACTATTGGTTTAACGACGCCGTGTCTGTCGCTTCCGACCTCACCGCTGCCCAGCTAGTTCTTCAGTATTGGACAACATGGAACCCATGGGTTATTAGTGTTGTATTCTGGGTATTCCTAGTTCTAATCAATGCTACTCATGTCAAAGCGTATGGAGAATTAGGTGAGGTCCTTCTTATCTGTCGCCTGTCCTCCATTTACCGACAAGTATCCACGTAAATAGAATATTGGCTTTCTTCATTGAAAGTGGCGACAATTCTGGTCTTCATCATTGTCGGTATCCTGGTCAACGTGGGGGTGAACAGTTCGCATACGTACATTGGTACACACAACTGGCATATACCTGGTGCTCCTTTCGTGGGCGGCTTTGGTGGATTCGCGAGAGTGTTTGTTACCGCTAGCTTTGCGTGTGAGTAGCGCAAGTTCTATGCTGATCGAACGTATGCTAATTCCTAGGTTGACCTTGCTTATAGATGGTGGAACTGAAAGTTTGGGTATCACTGCGGGGGAAACGAAAAATCCTTCACGAAATATGCCTAGAGTTGTGAAATTCGTTTTCTGGCGGTGTGTCACTTCCAGTGTTCCTCTTTCCCCAATATTTAGTATCTCATATATTTGATGAACCGATAGAATTCTACTTTTTTATATCCTTAGTATCCTACTTATAGGTTTGAATGGTGAGTTCATAATTTCTTGTCTCAGAACTAAGGCTGATTGACAGGACCGTAGTACCTTGGGACTATCCTAATTTGTCAAACAAAGAAACTACGACTTCCCCGTTCACGATTGTCTTCCAGGAAGCTGGATCTAGTATGTCCTATTCGATAACGAAATATTTTGCCATGCTTCATACTTAACATTTTTCTGCATCTAGCTGTGGCCGCATCTTTCATGAATACCGTCATCTTGACATCGGTTTTATCAGCAGGGAATCATGCTCTTTTCGCCGGAACTCGTGTTCTGTACGGTCTCTCTGTAGTTGAACCCCGTGCGCAAGCACCACGAATATTCTCGCGCACCACGGCTTCGGGTGTTCCATTGCCCGCTTTACTCGCCACAAGTAGCATCAGCGCGCTCTGTTTCGGCAGTAGCTTTATTGGCAGCGGTGTCCTGTGGGGTTGGCTGCAAAATATTGTTGGTGTGTCTAATCAGGTTGGTGCTGGCTGTTCCCTCTCGATAGAACCAATTTTGATAACGTGTGACTGGCGAAGATTGCTTGGCTATCTATCGGGATAGCTAGTTGGAGATTTAGGAAAGCTTGGATCAAGCAAGGACGTCCGCTGCACGAGATCAAGTTCCGTGCAGCATGGACCTGGCCCTGGGGACCACCGTTTGTAGTATTGACGGTTACTGCCTTAATCATCAGTATGTGTCTTACTCCGTGTAAGCCTAGTACTGCTATTAAAAAACAAATACCACCAGTCCAAGGCTGGTCATCGATATTCCCTATCTTCTCAGCTGTCGATTTCGTGTCGTTCTACGTCGAGATACCGGTTATGGTCGTCATGTATATTGTTTGGATGCTGACTAGACGTCCCACATGTGTACCGACAAGCTCAGGTAATGCCTGTGACTCCATCGACGAAGGGACTCCTCTAATACGTACTCAAGGCCAAAGAATCCGGTGGTGGCACAGTGACATGGTCGACGTACGGACTGTGGACCTGTTCAAAGACGAATATGAAGAAGAGGCCGTTGAAGGGGCTGACGATGAAGAGAGGGAAAGAAGGCTGCGGAGTAGAGCTGGGCTTGCTTGGAGATTGTATTATTGGATCATATAATATAGCATTCCCATGGTGCCGACCGCCACGCTGCTGCGGTTTGATCATCGGGTATATTTTGTCTCATGGGAGGAGCGCATCATTGTTTTCTAACGAGCATGTCTAGGAAAGTCTTAGAGAAAACTATCGGTGTACTATTTCTTCGAATGGCGCTGGAATGAAGATGTATGGAATATGACTCAGTTTAGGGGGTGTGCAACGTATCAATAATATTATCAGTTCCGACGTATGTTTCAGCGAGTTGGTTTTGAGGGGTACGAACATAGGCTGGCTGGAGGGGAGTCGGATTAGCAACGCCGACAAAGAGTCAGGACCGGGGAGTTTCGGGGCCAAGCCAGTGTTAGCCGGTGCCTCTGAGCCGGGATCTTCCTGTCGCATTGTCGCATTCTCCTATCTCTTAGATTCATCCATTCTTTCCCAAACTTATGGGCTAATATCTCACTTTCACCCACCACGCCATCTTGAAAATTGGCCGATAAGACACGCAAATACATCTGATAAATCCAGGTTGTGAGGAAGATCGAACATTGACGAGTTTTCCATGCAATGTCATTATAAACACATGTCAGCTTCAGAATGTAAATGTCAGAAATCCCACCAGAATCGTGTTGTGCCGAAGACACGCGTGTTCCGTCACCATCGCGTCCATGATTATGACTCGGATTCAGTCCAGGTCGGCCGTATACGTATTAGTATTAGAGCTGGTGATGCTCATTCAGGTTATTACGGCGGTGTATACTTGTCGTATAAAAGCTCTCCGACTTTACCCAGACAAAGCCATCGCCTCTATCAGATTATCACACTTGCATAGTTTCATCGTTGAATACCGTCTACAATAATGGCTGTAGTCCCTGTCCTCATAGTGAGTGTCCGTCATTAACCATTGCATAACCCTCGCCCCTAAACCTCTTGTTTACAGGCCGGTGCTGGTCCTTCGGCGCTGGTCGCGGCTCTCACTCTTCTCCGCAATGATATACCTGTCCGCATCATCGAGAAAGAGACCAAATTTCGTCTTGGACAGCGTGGTGCTGGATTATTCGTACGTTGAGAATCAATCACCCTCTAGTGCATAGTCTGAACCGCGACTTTGCTCAGCCCCGCTCGTTGGAATTGTTTAATTTCCTTGACGTCCCCGAAGTCGATCAAAGAGCGAAGCCATTGCCATTCATCCGTACATACAAGCCTGGAACGCTGGAGCCCCTTAACACGTTCCCGATGACACCATACCAGGATCCAAAACCTGCTTTTCCTTACGTGCGTACACTTTACGCCAAATTGAGACTTGACTTCTGATGTATACATGTCCTACAGTTCAACCCCCGTTTACTTGGACAGCAAACTCTCGAAGGGATCTTACGTGCCCACCTCGAGGAGCTATCGTGTTTTGTAGAGACTGGCGTCGAACTTTGCTCAATTGAACAGTTCCCTGACCATGTATTAGCCCATGTAGTAAATAAACAAACCGGCGAAGACGTGCCAGAAACTATCAAAGCAAAATGGCTCATCGGAGCCGATGGAGCAAAGGGTATGTTTCTCCTCATAACTGTAATCCAACCTTTATTCACACCCGATTCACAGGCGTCGTCCGCAAGCAACTCGGATTGACATTCCTTGGAGAAACTAAGGAGGACGTACGATTGATCACCGGAGATATCCGTATAGGGGGTCTCGACAGAGAGGTTTGCACTTTATGTCTTTGTCCTTATACCTGACTCAAACGACCGTGCACTCTAGCATTGGCATATCTTCGGCGAACTGGGGAAAAATGGGTGCGTATCCATGCATTTGTGCATACTATACCCACCAAACTGATTACAACGGTCCTTGCAGCGTTGCTTTGCGGCCCACGGAGGAGGTTGGCCCCAATGGCTTTCAGTTTATCATAACCGGGCCGAACGTCGGGTTTGCAAAAATACAGTCAAGTGAGGAGGAGGTCTACAAGTACATAGCTTCGCTGATCCCCACCGAACTGACTTTTGAGGAGCTGATTTGGATTTCCGAATTCCGGTTCGTGTTGGATCTGCGCTCTACATATATCCTTGCTGATTGATATTGCTCCTCCAGGGCCAATATCCGGATGGTGAACAAGTTTGGAGAAGGCAGAGTCTTTGTTTCGGGAGGTCAGTTATGTGGTGTTGCATCCCAAACTCAATTATTGACATGACTCTGTTGTTACAGATGCCGCACAGTTTGTGCTATTTTTCTCTATCTTTGGTAGCCTTCTGATCCCTTTTCAGCGTCCATAGCCCTGCTGGTGGCCAGGGACTCAACTCAAGTGTTCAGGACGCAGTAAGCATAAACCTTCTTACCCCCCCATGAACTATAGCTCATTACTCTATAGTTCAACCTCGCCTGGAAACTAGCACTAGTCCAAAAAGGCCTAGCTCCAGCGTCGCTCCTCGAGACCTACACCGCAGAGCGCCTCCCCGTTATCGCCGAGATGCTCAACATCACTACCACGCTGCTCAACAAAACGACCTCAGGCAAAGCCAGCGTAGAAGAGGCGTTCGAACGCAGCCAGAAGCTATTTATGCTCGGCGTCAACTACCGTGGAAGCCCGATCGTGATTGACGAGGTGGTGCCGCCGTCTGAGGCCGTGCCTGTAGACGCATATGGGCTCATCCAGGATGGATCACTGCAGGCTGGTGATCGCGCGCCGGAAGCGTCTGGTTTGGTAACTGTGAAGAGCGGCGAAGCGACGCGGTTCTTTGATATATTCCGTCCAAGATATCATACCGTGCTCATCTTTGCTTCGGACGCTGCCAAGGCTTCTCCGATTATTTCTGAGCTCAGTCGCTATGAGCCGAGCGTCTTGCGCTCTGTCATCGTGCTTCCTGCTGGGTCTTCCGCCCAAGCAGACTCTGCTGCGGCCGATATAGTGCTAGAAGACAAGGAGGGGTATGCATACAAACATTATTTGGTAGGGGATGAGACGAGAGTGGTGGTGGTGAGGCCGGACGGCGTGGTAGGCGCTATCGTACATGGCGCAGAAGGCATGGTACGGTACTTTGATGGAGTTTTCGTTTCTCGGTCGTAATGTAGTATACTTGTGAGTACTTATCTTTTATTTTTTGTATTTGTCATTATACCCATCCCCCCACTCAATCTATCGTGTTACATTGCTTGCAAGGTCTTCATTATGAACGTGCAGAATGATCCTTAGGCTGTAAGAACTCTGGACCACTGCCACCACGCCTCAGGCGAGAGTAGCGACTTGAGAGTAAAGTACTTGATGTTGTTCCGTCCATTTAAAGGCCCTTCCTCGAGTACCAAACCTTAGCGTCCCAAGCTCAAGTGTTAGGCGATAGTGTGACGAGACTTGGGTTGGAATTATACAGCACCTGCGTCCTACGACATCCAACTTGGGAAGACGAAGAAAGCTGAAGCTTACAAGACACAATGATCCCTCACTCTCTTTTCTTCTATACATACTACTTGCCGCCTCTGAGACAAGATAAAGACGGCCTGAATGTTGAGATTGTCGGACACTTATTATCGCTAAACCAAGGACAATATTCGAGTCCAAGCATTTGACAAAATTGGCAATAATCAGAATAGATACAAGTAAGCATGGTGAAAGGATCCCAGAACCCCATGAGAGAATTTGCGCCCCAAACGAGATTCCTTCCTTCCAGCTCTCACATATGTCCTCTCGTTCCTCCTCCCTCTTCACCCTCTCGCGATCTAACCTCGGCCCATCTCGCACAAACTTCTGGAAACCAGACGACCTCCAGCATGACATTGAAAATAGGTAACCCGGAACTGACTAAAGAGAACTCGTAAAACAGATACTGTCATCCACACTGAGTATGCACCTTGTGTAGAAACCCGAGCATGTAAAGGACGAACGCATGAGATTCACGGCACTTCTATGAAAAAGGCGCCACATATTGCGTTTAGCATGGACATGGCACGATTAACACTAGATCTAACCTTGGATGGCTGATTCTTCCGTCTGAAAACAGAAACCAACATCTCGTCCTCGTTTCTTTAGATATGCCTGAAATGGTAGAAAAGTATAAGGATGTATCAAACAAAATTCGTAGATCACATACTCGCTGGTGATAGAGAAAAAATTAGAGCATGCGCAATTTTAAGCCACTGTCCTCTAGGTTAGACGGTAGGAACATACCCACTAACATTGAATGGAACAATGAGTAGTTGGAAAATGTATTTTAGCAGGACACACGTACTTCCTACGATGTAATTAAACATGGTCAGCAAAGATTTCAATTCCTACAACGCATAAAAGGTCACAAGTCGACTCCAACAAGAATAATTATGCAAACAGAAAGAATAGAACATCAGAGATTAACATGCGATCAAAGAAAATGCTTACATTCTAGTAAAGGAAAGTCAAAGAGTGTTGTAAGTATGTCACGGAAAGAGCATAAAACAATAAGACATACCTCACGTAGTACCTGGCAAAAGCAAAAGGTGTACAACGATCAGTAGACAAAATAATAAAGGATAATAGTAGCGCCTAACATGTTGAAGACGTAAAATAAACAGGAAAATTAGTCAAAAATTGCCAATAAGAAGGATGAGAGTGACGAACATCCTAAAATATGAATACAAGATCGATCAAAAATAAACGTGGCAAATGCGAAAGGATCAGGAGGACATACATCCTGACAATATCACGGCAAGTATGACAGTCGATTAAAAGTCTGGTATGCAAGGAATGAGAGCAACATACACTCTAAGAATATTACAAAGGACATGGCAATCAGCCAAATGTCTGGCGCAAAAAGGGACGAGAGCAACGTACTTTCTGAAATGTCAGTAACGTCATGACAGTCAGCCAGATGTCTCGCGCAGACAGGGACGAGAGCGACGTACATACTGAGTATGCAATAAAGTTGCGGTAATCAGAAAGCAGATTCCCAAAATAATGTATCAGCAGGCAGTTAGCAGAGTGGTGTGGGGACGTATGAGCTTACACTCTGAAGAAACACGAAGTAAGATACCCTCAGCAATTGATCTGTGGTAAGAAGTCTCAAGAACTCACATCCTAAGAAATTTGGAGAAAAGACACAGAAGTTCATGAGCCAGTAGGTAGTATGGTGAAAGAACAAGCAACGCACAAACTGATCCATTGATTGGATCAATCAACGGTCTTTCAGAGATTGCCTCTAGGATAGTTCATTACTTACATCCTAGGTGAGTTTCAACATCTTCAAGGGCAAACTATAATCATCACACGTACTTCCTATGTTTATGGGTAGATGCATGGGATCAACTTTAGACTATGTTGTTTTGAATCGACTTACTCTCTGTTGACCAAAGTGCCATCACACAGATTCGTAAGGTTAAATAGCCTTCTTTTGCAAACCATGATAACGCACCGGCTGTTAACATGAAAAAAAGTTCGAGTGAGACTCATGCTTTATGAAGACTGTGCGTACTTTCTGATTTCAATCCCGATATGGCAAAGGTTTGATTTGTCTCTGAGTCATGTACCATATAAGATGAGAAAAATTCGCACATTTGAATGGTCCTGCATATTATTTAGGCTGGTTAGCGTCGGTCGTAAATCTCGAGGATATTGCGAGAGATCCTGTAGAGCTGTGTCAAATATATTTCGTGCTGCATTTGTAACTTATTTGTAGTGAAAAGCGTGATACAAGATAACCATAATTTTTATGGCCAGCCCTAATGATGGAATGCAGATAAGGATCAAATGAGTTAGAAGCGAAGTTAGTCAGAGAATCTTTAAGTGAGACAAATAAAGATGCGTCCATACAATATGCCTTCCCGTCAGACAACGCCTCGTGAATATGACCCCACCACTCTCGGCAGACATACGACAGCGGTTCATCTTCTATGAACCAGAACTCATCCTGATTTTTTTTCATGATTTGCAGACAAGCGATGGCGATGGAGAGGTGGCAAGTAGGAGGGTTAATAAAATAGCTTCCAGAACGGGTCGGATTTATCAGGAAATCACGCAAAGACGTGTGGACCACGTGCACGGGTTCGTCATCAGATTCAGGAATGAGGAGGATGGGCTGAATGCTAAGGAAAGACTTCACAAGGATTCGTGGAGGAAGATTTAACAAGGCAGCGAGATGCTTGATGGATAGTGGATATTTGAGAGGTAGGAGGACGCCCATTATCAGTTTGAGGTCAACCGTCTCACCAGATACAGATACTTCTGCTGGGGGTTTGGAATTTGAGAACACCTGGGTATACACATCGTCCAAGCCATGTGCCTTCAACGCGTCGAGAAGTTTTTGATGCGGCATGCCCTCAGCTTGACGAACGAAGTTCACAAACATGGACGCGTAAATGTAAAATCCCGCAGCTTCTCCGACGAGGATATTGAGGACGTCAGGTGAAGGCCAAGGCTCTCGTATGCCTTCAGCGGTCAAGGAAAGGCGATGGGCATCATATATTCCTTTGAATTCGGACCGGAAAAATAAGCGAACGTCCTTTGCAGCTTGGAATTTTTGTAGTTTCAACTGAAGAGTAACCCTTCTGGCGTTTGACGTTTCTAGTCTGATGCGAAGGTGTTCTTCGATCCTACTCGTGATGAATAGACGAAACGGGATCTCGCCTTTCTTGGCCTCGCATTCATCAATAATAGCATCAATAAAATAAAATCGTCCATAGAAGGACCGCCGTCCTCATATCCGCACTCATCTAGTGCATCTATGACTATCACCATACGTTTAGGCCTCAAAAGATCCTGTATAGACTTTGAACGAGGAGCGGCGAGAATGGGTTCTATGATTAGTTTTTTTAACTGATAGTGAATACTCTGGGTGGTGATGGATGATTCTTTTCGGAGGACATCTTTTATCGAAAGTTCCATTCCCTTGACTGTCGACGAGAGCTGGAAGGCAAGCGTGGGGATCAAGTGGGAGATATCCTCTCGGTCTCCTGTTCCCCTGAAGAAGAAGAAACTGGCGGCAAGTCTCTCCCGTTCTGCACACCACTCCGCTATGGTCTGTGCAATAGTCGACTTTCCAGATCCAGCTGAACCATTAAGCCAACAAATTGGGCGAGAACCATTGGCCCATTTTTTGATCTTTCTGAGCACTTTCTTTCGAGTGCCTACCAAACAACGGGCAACATTGCCAGTGCGATTCTCGTATGAGGCATTGACTGGCCGCAGCAACTCGTATAAGCCCGGCATAGCCGAACATCTATAATTGTGTTTTAAAGTTAAAAGGTTGATAAAAGTCACTCACCGCCGACCGCGCCATAGTTGACGACGTGACTAGCATGCAGGTTTACAGAGGGTAGAACACACCCAGAAAAATCAGCAAAGTTGCTATGTTGAGCCTGGGTGTTATGGGCATTGTTTAGTATGCCAGTAGTAGGCGCGGGGGCGGCATGTTCTGCGATACGGTGAAGACCTCCCGAGGTTGTATTGGAAGTGCTATTATAGACCTGTGTGTTATTGAAATTGGGTTGCTCGTTAGTGGACATTAGAGATGGTGAAAGAGGATGGTGGGGGGAAAGAGACGATGAACGTCTCCACTTGAAGTGGAGTCGACCGAAATAACAATGACATATGCATGGCACCAACAAGCGCTCACACTGCACTCACTGGTTCGATTTCACAGATGGCACACGCCTTGGTGCATGATACCACTGGCAAACAATAGTGTACGACGGAGCGTACAACTTGAAACCCAAACCCCGATATGTAGTTCTTCGTACAGTATAAGACACACAAGTATTCTGTGGCATAAGCAAGATTCTCCAATGTCAGTACACAGCTTGCGATGAAGATCGAAAACTGACCACCTCAGCAATATATTAGGTTGTAGATGCAAAAGTCCTGTTAAGTCACTACAGAAATCTTGACAGAAATCCTAAATGGTTCAGTTACAAGCGAGGTTATAATTACTTCCAGCGAAAATCTGCACCACCAGAATGTTGAACCGACGAAAAATAATATCTATATTTTATTCACTCCAGACCAATAAATAATATTCAAATCGTGAGATATACAATGCCATCAAGGATGGATGGAGCAAAATAAACCGACGCCAGCAGGATTCGAACCTGCGCCCTCAAAGAGGAACAGATTTCTAATCTGTCGCCGTAACCACTTGGCTATAGCGCCTTATGAATTTGTTAAATATAGAGCGTAATATTGTCACTAAAGTTACATAGGTAAAGTTTACTTTTGAGCAGTACTTTCTCGTATCGACCTCCTTCCATGCTTGCCTGTCGTCGTCTCCTACCATATACTTCTTTCCTTGAAAGGTCCTTTCAGCGTGCAAGCTCTACCAATGCACCTTCCGGAATCCCCAGTTCTTCGCAGCGTCCAGACTCAATTTTCTCAAAATCGGAATCTGCATGGGACCATGTCTTCAGTGACATCAAGGAAATGCCTCCCCTTCTCCCATCCACTGTAAGAAATCCTCTACGTGCAAACGCCTCAGAGTCACCTGCATCAGGTCGGACAAGGCGCCAAGCCATGACAGCTCGAGAAATCAGCGCCTTTGACGACATGTTCAACACCATTTTCAACGCCGTTTCCGAGCAAAAAGCTCACTCGGGCGACGGAAGCAAGGCACCGGATCCACTGTCGACTTTTGGCATTGGAAGAAGTCCACAAAGTGGCCAAATGGGTGATTTGCTGGGGAAACTTCGACGACACTCGAAGCGGCTGAAATGGACTTCGGAGTCGGATGAGGAGTTGGACCGCAAAAAGGAAGAAATGGATCTGTGTGACACAGACCATCAGCTTCTTGAGTGGGCTTTGGCGGAAGTGTTTGGAGAGTCTAAGAGGTATGAGGAAGCCGCTCGAAAGGCTATCTCATCTGGAGAACAGGAATCACCACCAATGCTACAATCGTCGACATATCCTCATCTTGTCGCTCTTCTCATACGGTCTTTCCGCGACAAATACCATGACCCCCATCTTGCTCTATCTATATTTGAGTACGCCCGTCATCTGTCTATCCCCTCTTATGTCTTTGGGTGCACTACCCCAGCCTACAACGAGCTTATCGAGACACGGTGGACGTGTTTCCGTGATTTGAAAGGCGTCCACGATGCTTTGGAAGAAATGCGTGTCAACGGTATTGAGCCTGACAACCGCACACGGAAACTGGTTGAAGCATTGCGACGAGAAGTGGGAGAGCGTAATTTGTGGGAAGAGGAGAGCAGCCTGGGTAGTGGAGGCATGTGGTCAATGCTCAGCAAGATCGAACAGCTAGTTCGCAGGGAATCAAAGAAGAGGGCGACGAAACAGAGCTTAAGGAGAAAGAAATGGGTCAATGACGACGAAGCCTGGAAGAATGCTGCTTTGAACCCAGACAAAGCTGACGGTTGGGAATTTGACCAGTGGGACTCTGACCAAGTCAAACAACTATCGACAACATCGAGCAATGTTAGTAAACAGGGAATGGACGGTTGGCTGAACTTGAAACAGACAGAGGATAAGCTTGATTTCAGATAGAACAATAAGCATATGTTTTTGTAATTATTCCAGGCTTGTAGCAAACGTACGTCTAATGTTTATGCGTAAAGTAGGTGAAAAGGTGACCATATAATGCACTATGAAATGGGGAATATAAGCAGATTGAGGTTCATGTAAAAGATCCAGGCATATACATAACAGTACAAGAAAAGAGATGGACGAATAGCAGTGAGAAGTCAGTGATATCCAAGACGAGACTTTTGAACAACGGTGGAGCACGAGAAATAGCACCGATTATCAGGTTTGACGACGAGTGCGAGACTTGGAAGTTCGTGCATGGGGAGATGTCGGTGGACTTGCACCAAGACCATGCATGGGTATATAATCCGGATCCAGTTCATTGCATTTGAGATGCAAAAGAAGATTATGCACGAATATCTGTTCATACCTAGAAGTACCAGAGATCAGAAGGTAAGAACCACCAAAACTCAAAAACCAAAACTTACTGTGCGTTCGTGAACACGATTGCCATCGACTCCGAATTACAGCGCAGCAAATTGGGAGCCATGACCAGTGCTAGATTGGCGGAAGTCATCTTCGTGATTACTTGAACTTTATCTTCCAGGAAGTGCTGCAGGAAGCTAATGATGAACAGCACGACCCGTCTATTGATGGTGGGAAGTCGGCGAACTAGCTCAATGCACGCCTCTGGCTCCTTTGATTTGGTAATACAGTCATTATACATCTCCTCTGGCACGAGCGGATCACATAGCTCCCTCAACCAGAGCTTCAACAACGAGGCAAGAACGTGTGGGTCGTCAACGCCATCCAAGGTGTAGTAACCGCGGTCGATTCGCAGTTTAAGCTCCGAAACGGAATCACCGTCTCCTGGCACACGAAAAATGCCTTCGGCTTTGGTACCACCGAGAGCGAGAATACCATCTGCAAGGAAAGGTAGAATGATAGGAACTTTCTCGTGAGGGTAGTTCCTCTCTTGTAACCTAACAGTCGCGTCGAGGGACTCTCCGAAAGTTGAAGGATTGAAAGCAGCGTCCTGAGCTGTCCGTCAGTATCAATAACTTCGCATATAGTAAAGGACGCACGGATGCTGTCTCTATCTCAGCAATAGTAGGTGGTTTGCCTCTCGGCCCTTTCTTTGAGATTGCTGCTAATCTACGCAAACAATGTTTGGCCATGACATCTACTCTTCCCTCTTGCATAGTCAATCGCTGTTGCATGAAAGAACGCAGATATGTTTCGAAATTTTTGGAAGGAGGGAAGGCCACCAAGAGTACGCAGAGCATCTGCCAGCCCTTGAACACACTTTCACTGAACGAGCCTCCATATCAAAGCTCGAACGAACGCAGATATATGTAATCACGTACGGGTTAGGATTCTTATTCAGCTGCTTCATCAGCTGGCAATATATTTCGTCTCGCAATTCTCCGTGAGTCAATCCTTCGCTCAGAAGCCAACGCTCTTCCTCTAGTAAACCAACCGTCCCGCCTATTAAAGAACTCGTCGACCCATTTGCAATAGATGAGATGTGAGAATCAGAGTGTTGCACCCGTACCCCGATGGATCTGTCTCGTTCGCGATCGCCCATAATGTGCTGTATGACTCGGAAGATCTTCACCGCGTCTTGCTTCAAAGAGCGGTTCAATGTGAGTAGTGGCGAACTAAGTGGTGCCTTTGTTTGGATACATTAGCTATACATGCAACATATAATAAGCCCTTACTAGTAACACTCACTTTTTGCCATGTCATCATCTGCGCTACTGGAACCTTACGTCTGAAAATGAAGCCCGTTCTATGAATTGAGAAGTATTGCCTTGCATAGTCAGACTCGACAAATTGTTGAATGTCTGAAGCCAAGTCTTGCGGGAGGACAGGGTATGTTCTAAAGAGACAGTTACCCTTAGTTTAAGCGTGACCTACGAATGCTAATTGCATACCCAGAGGCCAGAGTTGCCGTTGGGCTCGACGGTTGTTTTGACTTGTGATTCACCGGTATAGGTTTTCCAGCTGCTCTATTTTTGACAGGACTCATACTGAAGGTAGCCTCTGTTGCGAGACGTGCGTTAGTGAATGCAATCCGTCGTCACCAATGATGAATCAGACCTTGATTCAAGACTGGACTGCCGATTTCCTTTCCCGAGATATTAGGCGCCGAGGTACTCCTCGCTGACCAAAATCCCCCACTACCCGGAGTCAAAGGCCTACGTGGTGAAGATGGTACATCTAGCTTATTCCTGAATTTATCCTTGGTAGGACTCGAGGGGTTGATGGTCAGCCGAGCTCTGGAGACATCTATGCTCTTGGGCTGTAAAGGGGAAGATGACTGCGTTCCATGACCGTGATCAGACTTTGGACGCTTTTCTGACTTGGATAGTAGCTCCACAGCAGCATTCAAACTCTGAGGAGGTGGAGATTTGTGCGATACGTACGAAGATGACTTTGACCGAGTGCGTGAAAGTGCTGGATCCTCGTCATCTAGTTTCCCATTTCCAACATGTTTTTCTTTATCTTTGTGACTTGATCTTCCATTAGCGGGAGTGGATGACATGGATTGACGAGATGTAGGTGAGGGTGGTGAAGATACCTCTGTTCCGTGGGGAGATGCGGGTATAGTGGGTAGCTGGTGGCCGTTTGACCAAGTTCGCGGAGAAGCCAGGGGGCCGTACTGGTCACTCGTGAAAGATCGTCGGACTACAGAAGGTGATTGTTTCTTAGGGGAACTTGAACCTTTATCAGCTATCCTAGCTGGCGAGCTGCGTGTGGATGATTGGGAATGCCGTGGCTGGATCGGCTCTGGTTCGCCAAGACGAGGAGAACCATTCCGTGCGTCCTTATCGTTCGTGTATGAGCGTGAACGTCTGTACCCTGGTTTGTCAGGCGAGTCGGGGTTCTGGAGAGACTTTTTTCCATTCACCGGATCTTTACGCATTCCAGTCTGCGACAGTCGACGTCCTAAAGCAGTTTGCTGGAAAGGCAAATAAGGAAATATTAGCGCGCCATGGAAGTGACATGTCTCAGTTGAGGAAGTGGAGACTTGCTTGTATTATTCCAAGAGGAATTACAAATCCTTCTGGACGCTCCCAAACCGTCTCACCGGATTTTGTTTGGTAGTAATATGGGATGCCGCCCCGAGACTCGTCGCTGAGTTCCCACCATTCTCCCTCCGCGTTGGGGGGCAATCTGGACAACGATCGATGTCAAAAATGGTGGAAAAAACATATTTGAAATGCTGACATCACTCACACAAACGTTCCAACAGGGGGATCCCAACTGACTTGACCAGTTGCAGGACATGCAAAGAACAGTGCGCTAGTCTTTGATAGATAGCTTCAGTTCTTTGTCATTCAGAAATAAGCTGGCTATATGCGCACCTGTGGATCAACCAAAGTGACCCAGAAGTTGGATCCCCACACTGTTTCATCATCTGTCCCGTTCGAGCCTGTCGAAGGCCTTGGACTGTGTATTGGCTCGCCATTGACGTTCACCTCGGGCACTGTCGTTGTTGGCGACGCCTTTTCGTCGGGCTTTGGAGAACTGGGGTCAGCTGAAGAGGCCTGTGGATGCTCCTCGTGTGTAGCAGATGATCGAGGCAAAGGTGACCGGGAATTGGCATCGACAGGAATGTTTTCAATAGTTACGGACATCGTTTAGGTTTCGACAAAGGGAAGATAGCCTAAAGTCTATATCGATGTCTGGCGTGAATGAAGGGCGTGTGGCGGAACGAGACAAAGGGGAATGCCAGGAATACAAAGGCACTGGCTGCGCTTGGATTAACCTGCAATCAGATGGATTTGAATGCTTTCAGGGCGTATTTGCAGTGCTTTCAGGCAGAATAAAGCTGGGATCCTTGCAGACTGGCAGGTTTGTTGGGGGAAAAACTGTAGCGAAGTGCTATCCGCCGTAAGGGCTCTTTGGCCCTCGCGGCTTACCAAAACAGGCCGTAATCATTATTGTGAACCTGTAAAAGGTCATCGTACCAGAAGATCTCATCGTATCGGGTGCTTTCTCGTTCTTATCATACAGTTTTTACAGGGTTTCACCGTGACAAGACATATAACCTATCAATATGACATGCCCATGATTCGTGCTGCGTCTGCTGAGGTGCACTTGCAAAGTTTATGCAGACAAACATCAATGGGTAAGGAATAGAGAAAAGGGCGACCACGGCATTACTTCTTCTCGATCAATTCTTTGGCGCCGTCCACAAATTTCTTCAGTACGTCCACATCTTCCTGGTCCCCGCTCACGGACCGCTCAATCCGGTCGTACAACTTCGCCATCCCTCGATAGATATCTCCTTCCTCTCCACCCATAAAGTCTCCAATCTCCTCCATCTCACCAACCCAGCGGTACGCCTTCGGAAGCATGGGAGGTATACTCTTCGCAAGTCGGTTTAGAAGAACCGACTGGGATATGTTTAGTTCATTTAGCAGCGCATCAGCCGTTGCCGGCGACGACGCATGCGCAGCTGTTCTCCATGGTCGGCGATCTCGTAAATTTGCAGACCAAAAGTGCAAAACTCACCCAACACCATGGCCGTCAGAAGCCCAGTCGTGCCTTTTGATATTCCCTATAGTAGCGATATAAGGTAAGTGGGGAAGTAACTCGTTAAGATGAATCACGTACGGCGTAAGACATCTTCAACGCACTGGCATCGCCTATGCCCGCACCCTCACCTTTCAAAGGCGCGACCTTTAACCCGTACTTTGATAGGGCAGTAAATTCATCCAACACTTTCTCATCTTTGGGGTCAACTGATGCATAAAAAGTGGGGTTATAGTTTTCGGTTGGTGGGCCCCCGATGATGCCAGCATCAATAAACTTGATACTCGTCGATTCGAAAAGCCCAGCTATACGTTTAACCGTGGCCGGGCTTACAGCGTTGCAATCAGCGAACACAAGAGATTCGGTGAGATGTCCATTATCACCGATTAGCGAGTTTGTTTCAGCGCGGATCTTCTCAGCGAATGAGAATGCATCGCGGGGCGGAAGTATGCTCAGTATCCAGCTGGCCTTGCGCACGATGTCGGACAGAGGAACGTCAATCATCCCTGCGTCGAGGGCCCTTTGGCGGCTGGCATCGGACCGACCGTCCATGTTGGTGTAGACTGTACAACCAGCCTTGGTAAGTCTTTTGGCGACAGCAGAGCCCATGGCCCCTGCTGCTACAACAGCAATGCGAGGTATCGCTGCAGTCGACATGAGAGTTAAAGAAGACGTCGGGAATACGTATCGTCGTTCACCAAAGATAAGGTGCCACTGATGAAGGTCACGGTTTTGGTTATTTCAGGACCTATCATGATCTTAACCACCTGATAAGTTTTGTTTATGTATAGCGATTGCACTGGGCCATGCATGAAATACACCGAATACTCAGGTGCAGCTTCAGTATTGAGATGATAATGACAGCATTTACGAGTGTGGAGTACTGCCAGTGAGCTCAGGGAACCGTATGGGTCAAGTTCAAAGAAGTTGGAGTGCTTGCTTACTTACGAGTCGCCGATATAGATCTCTCGGAAAATGCCGTCTGCCATCGAGATTATAATGCCCGATGAGTGACCCTGAGTGGAACTGCTCACCTCGACTGCGACTAGATCTCAGGCTCAGCTGTTGTCAAGAAGGAAACTTCATCGAGCGAGAAAAACTTCGAGGCATAGTTAGGACGTGTATATATTAGCACAAACAACAGGGGATTCTCGTAAACGAGGGGTATAGGAGTGGTAGAGGAGATATCGAAAACATTCTAATCTGCGCGCAAATAAACAGCTATGTAAGTTATTAGGTTGGCTTGGTACAAGTTATGTTTGGGTCTATCTTTGCGTGCTGCTACCAAGCATGAAGGATATATGACAGAGACCTTGCGAAAGAATGTAACTTATAAATAACATCATAAACACCATTACAACAGAGAAAAAAGGACATCACAGATGCTAAGTATAATTCGCTTTCCAATCCCACTGAAGGGCGTCGTCGGATTGAGTGCGTTGAGGCCCTCGGGAGGGTGGGTTTGGTTTTCTTTTGGAATCCAGCCACGACGCCTTTGGCACCCTGCGTTCCTCGAGCTCGTATTCGACGTCAGGCAATTCATCGGCATTAGGGAGCGCGCCAAACGGTGACATCGATCGAGGGTCGAGGGGTGGTGCTTGCCTGAGTGCTTCCAGTACATCAGCACGTCTCAGGTTCAATAACGAGCGGTTGAGGATGAGCGTGACCATGGACCAGACAAAGCTGTACAAACGATATCAGTCGATCAATATGATAAGCAGATGATAAGGAATATAAAGACCACTGAGACGTACTAAACAGCAAGGAGCACAAGTGCAGACTTTCGAGTCGCAGCCAGAGCTAGATTCAGTATTCTCAAACATGCGATTGCCTACGGTAGTAAATGAGGACCGAGGCGACTTGCGATATAACGACGGACGCTTACTATGAAAAACATGATGCCATCTCTCCGAAGAGCCTTTACCAGCATCAGGTTGGCTCTCCTAGGACGAGCGATAGCGTTGACGACCGTGAATGCGAGAACAACCAACTCAAAAAGTAACTGCAATAGATGATGCCATCAGGAAATAAAGCATAAGCGTGGTCAACCCGAAAACGTACTGGTGCGGCCCAAACCGCGATGAGAGCAGGAGAAGTATTAGTGACGGCACACATCTTCGCTATCGTCGAATACTCTATTCCATCTGTTGAAAACGAAACATGTTTCAGAACCTCAGGCTGTCCGGAGAACCCCCTACTTACACCAAGTTCGATACAGAGTGAGTGCCATCATTGAAATGGTGACACTGAAACTTGCGAGGAATCCGGCTGACAACAGAAAGACGATACTCTGTAGAGGTTTTAGCCATATGTAAAACAAGGTAAAGAAAGCTAAACGAACACGGTCGTTATCCCAGAGCATAGCCACCCGGATAAGGACGAGCAGGTTGGCTATGCTAATGGAAATGATGGCCAAAATCGAGCTTATTGATAGGAGTACGCGACATCTACGTAAAAAAAAATTGTAAAGAAAACACATGAACGATGATTTAAAACAGCACTGTACCCCTACGAACAGTTATTGCAAGTTTGACAGAGTTTTAGGCATGAACTCACTTCGTCGGTGAATTGATATCCGGAAAAGCCACACATTTCTAACGACAAAGCCAAATGAGTATCCAGAAACATGACCACAAACACTGAACATACGGTACGCGGTAACGATAAGAACCTGCGGAACAAGATAACGATTCATTAGGTAGAGGTACTTGGCAAAGGATCGTGAACTCGTCCAGATGAGGGCCACCTCATCTGCGAACGTAAGTAAATGGTCATAAAGCAGAATAACAAGGCCTGCAGCTACAAAATGAAGCGCCCTACGTCAGCAAAGGACGAACCCGCCACTGATAAAGCCAGCTTGTCACCTACCACTCAAATATCTCACAACGTCTGCATCTCCCTGTGTGGCCTGCAAGAGCGAGATGGTAGCGGGAGGTAGATATACAGGTGAGGCCATGCAATGGATACACAGTGAATACAAACCAGAGAAGATGGAAAGAAAGAAGGAGACCTATTGTGAGCGGTTAGACGCCGAACTCGAGGCGTCAAATAGCGCAACGCGCATCAGGATCAAGAGGATCATAGAGTGGCTATGGCACTCGCATCAAGCATCTACGTTACTTACTATTTTAAGCAGTCGAGTCCATAAGTACCTTGATGGCAACCGCCGGCATCGCACGTGCCAGCTGAATGGAGCCACCCTTAGTGCGGTTTGCGCAGTCTGAGATTAGTACACTCACAGAAGAAAAAAAATCTACACTTGCAACGGAAAGCTTGTTTCTATTACTAGAGCGGCGGATTTTGCCTGCTCGTCCTTTTGGCAACAATTGGTTTCACTTCCAATCAAGTGTTTTTACGAACAGAAACGTGAAACGGCACTCTGCTGAATCTATGGCCCGGGCAAGCACACTGAAACTAGCATTCCATGTCTATCGTACTGGTCAAATAGGCCTCAAGTCAACCACAAACACTGGATTTACCCAGTGCTCACGTCGATACATCCAGACTCGTGAGTGTCGTCAGGATGTCTGGCATGTTTCAGTATTCTACGACCAGACAGCTGATCACATACCTAAATTTGAGAAGACTCACAGCGGCCCAATAACTTGCCCTTGGCGTTTGCTTTTGACATCGTATGTGAAGGTTCCCGAGTTATCTCGCTTGACTTCAACTGTTCGGCCTTCAGGATGGTGTTCTCATACGAGGCGAAGAAGCCTTGCCAGCCGCGAAAAAGGCATTCTCAGTCTTGCATGGAGACAATCCATTGGGAGTGTATGTTGTTCCGTTTCGTTCATCATAGCCACGGTTTTGATTGTCTGCCTGAAGTGAGATACCATTTATCCTAGTGAAAACATACCTGTTATTTCTCTCTATCCTGCGTCACTAACAGTGCATACTAGTTAACGAATGGCGGTGGTGTTAGTGAAGAAACCCGCTGTCAGAAACTCAGTGCACAGCTTGGATTTCAGGTTCATACTCGACCGAAATCATGAAATTGATATCGACTAACTTCCTTGGCTTCATTGAAGATAAAACCAGAACAATACATTCAAGCCCATACAGTCCTCAAGAATATCGTCAGTAAATACGTCAACCAACCAGTGTTGGTATTGGGTGGCAAAAACGACGCAGTGCGTAAAGTAGCTGAAGGGTGAATCAATTATTTCCGCAGCACTTCATATTAACCGATCAGCTGACGGTATGTGGAGGTACGGTTTCAAGCAGGTTTACAACACTCTTGACGTTCTCGCCTGGAAACCGTCGTGAGCTGATATCTCGATTTCTCATTATGGTGCTGAGGTACTCATGGGCACCGCGTTTATAATTTTCAGGGCCTGGCCTTTTCATGACCTGACTCCGGAAGAACGCGCATCGGCCAAGGTTCGGTGTTTCAAAGCAGCTCCATAATCTATCCTTTTGGTCCCATTACTTGACCTTTTTCTGATTATTTTCGTCCAGGAAGTAGATTTCGCTCAGGTTCCGATCGCTGCCGTTTTTGTCTTTCACGACCCTCGCGACTGGGCGCTTGATATTCAGATTATCTGTGACGTGATTCAATCAGGAGGCATCATTGGTGGTCCCCATGTTCCTTATCTCAGGCGAAAGCCAATTGACCTGGTATTCTGCAATCCTGATTTGGTGTGGCGTTCTGATTTCGAGAGACCGAGGCTGGGTCAAGGGGCTTTTAAAGATGCCTTCCAGGCCGTTTTCAAGGTAAAATTACATTGACTATGTGTCAAATGGAAGCTAACCTCTAGGCGCCCCTGACTGAAACTTACTTCAGTCGTTGACAGGATCGACATATCCTCACGTTCAATTCGGAAAGCCCACCGAGGCCACATACGCATTCGCAGAGAACGTGCTTCAAGATCAATCACAGAAGCTGTGGGGGCATAGGCAGTTTCCGTCGGTGTTTGTATAAATTCCATTTTGTCGTCCTCGTGACAATTTTTGATATCTCACATACTGGCAGATACATGATTGGAGGTGAGTTTGCGAACGGATCGGTCTTCGGATGTGATGATCCTGACTGGATGTCGAAACTCGTTATTCCGCAGATAATCCAGAATCCGACATAGCAGGGGCCAACGCCGCTCGGTGGAAATCCATTCTGGTTCATACAGGGGTGTACGATCCACAGATGGGCCCCCCTAGCCATAAACCGACTTACGAAGCTTCGGACGTGGCAGAAGCTGTTAATATGGCCCTCGATCAAGAGCTGGGGACAGGCAGGAAGCCAGATGCTTGGACTGGTTAGCGTCCTACCTACAGACGTACGAAGCGCATCGGTAGATAGAATTGAGCGAGGCTCTAGACGTATTAACTGGGGAGGCGTGTGCATCGTGTCTCAATTTTGCCATGCGGCGGCTATGCAGCTTTAGATCTGAATGCGGTGTAGGATCTTGAAAGAGCATCGATCAGCCACGTGGCGTAATATTCGTCCTCCCCGGGGGGCTCAGTCAGCAATCGGAGTACCCACTGGGAATGAGCTGTACTTTCGGCAGCTAACGCGTAACTATACAGAACTGGTATAGCAGGAAATGATCTTGGCCTGTAAGTCCGAGGATGCGAGGCTCTAAAGCGTATGATGGGCCGCTGCTTTTGTCTCAGAAAAAAAGATATTTCATGGGTCCTCTCGTCCCAAAAGCTGTTGTATGATCGATCTGCAAACAACGCTTATCATTGCCTTTCTTGGCTATTTCTATCAATCCTTGGGAATTTGCAGATTTTAGGTTAGCTGTACATGAAGGTCAGACGCTCCGTCAAGGGCGGGCGTTACTATATCGCGACCTCTTACCAAAGGAGTTCTCCAGAATGTAAGCAGTATAAAAGCACGCGATATGTTTCTGCGTCCCATTTCTGGGTACCGCCGGTCGTGCCTATTGCTTCGCCATGACTTCCAACTCCAGCTCAATCCAACACTACGAGGACCATCAGCCTGAAAAAAATAACACCCATCCCGGATCTTCCACTGACGCGAGCCATGCTTCTTTGGTTGAATATAGAAAGGATGGGGCCATATCCAAAATGCGTGCACACAGAGGGAACATCCCTGTTCTCCCACAGACAAAACTTTGCCCATATTGTCCAGCCAAGTTTACGCGCACTACCCATTTGAATCGTCACTTACGCACTCGTACGTTTCTAATTATTGGCTTTGTAGAATATCGCTTATGTAGATCCAAAATATTACAGATACAGGAGAGAGGCTCCATCGTTGTGATGTGAGTCTTGCATGATGGTGGATTCGATGTTCCTGTACTGACACCCCGTTTCAAGACATGCGATGCTCAATTCACTCGCAGTGACCTCCTGACGAGGCACAAAAAGACATGCGGTGACTCGTGAGTATCCCAATACTTAAATATATCCAAACCTAGGTTTGACGGTGGGATTTTCCTGTAGTTCTCATACAAATCGTTCACGAAGGCGATCATGTCAAGCTTGTGCTGACTCCAAAATCAAGTGTGATCTTCAGCAACCCTGTGGGAAATGTATATCACGAGGAAAAGAGTGTGTCTTCGTCGCTCGAACGTCTCGCTTGTCGACGAGGTCAAAAATACCAGGTAACCCTATCGCCAATGATCGGTATCAAACAGACGATCTATCGAACTTATTTGGCGATGCTCCTGCTTCTGGGCCTCCGAGTCGCTCAAGTTCGACCCTTTTACCTGATCGTGCTCAGGACATAGCCACTTCACAGGAGTCATTCTTATGGAATTCTTCTCAGCCAGAAATCCCCCAACCCGTCGATTTTAATCGAAGGAGCACTGTTTATTCGCCATCTGTTACAGAGACGGTAGATTCTACAACCAATTTCGGCTCTTCTGTGGTTTCTGGACCAGTTCCAGTGCAGAGTCACTTGCATTCTCTGTACTCAAGTGATGTCCTTGCACCATTCTTCAACGACATCTTCTCTAATTATCATCCAAATCGAGTGGACTCGTCGCACATGGGTGATATCAACAACACCCCTTCTCCGGATTCCTCTTCGTCTGTGGAAGAGACTTTCCCCTTTTCAACTCACCATATATCCATCACCAATCAACCTCCCGTGGTCCCATCGGCAGATGGGACCACGGTATTTGATGAACCTTCTATGTTCGTTGTGCCTCAACAAGATCGTGACGAATTCCAGCATGGATCTTACGCCAATGTGATTGATAGCCTTACAGGGCTTCAAGGGCCAGCTTTAGTAGAACAACAACACTATCGTGAGTTCCTTCAAATTACACCATATCTTTCAGTTCTCACTGCCTATTGAAGTTTACTTGTTCTTTTCGGCTTTCCTGGTTCAGATGCCCTTGATTCATGCGTATACCTTCACAATGGGAGCAAAATCGCCGGTGCTAGTGAAAGCTATGCAGGTGTGTGGCGCCCTCTACGTGAAGACTCGAACGGCATCCAGCTTCATCATGAAAACGTTGGCCGAGGCTCGAGAGTTGTTGTTCCAGGAGTTTGTGCGTATACAATTATATATGGTCATATGCAAAAGCTAACTTGAGTCTCACAGGCGAAAAGTTCTACGGATATTCGGGCGCAAACACATCTCGTGCTGGCGGTGGTCCTCATACAAGCCGTTGGATTGTTCCATCAGAATGCGGAAGAACGGGCGTGTTCGGGCCTTTACCACGATATGTTAATTCTGGTTAGTACAAAATTCAACAACACGTCTTTGTGTTCTAATTCAGTTCCGTGGCAGATGATTCGTCGTTCAAGACTCATTGCAAGGAATGCTTCCTGGGAACCGTCAATTGCAACTAACCCGTCGATGTACGACATAGAGTGGAGAGATTGGACTTGTCATGAGGCAACCAAAAGGTTTGTCACCACATTACTTCATGTATCTGACCTATCATGATTTACGTCGTTAACATTACAGGGGGTTTTTACTCTCTTATGTACATGATTGTACTCGATGTATGGTTGCCCTGCCGGCATCGTATACTGCAACTGAGGTCGATTTATATCTTCCATGTGACGATGCGTTATGGAAGGCAAGGTCAGCAGAGGAGTGGTACAGTATTCTCCAGCAACCGTCTCCATACGGAGACCCTCGATCACGCTTGATAGGTGTACACATGCTAAGCGCACTTGAGGCTTTGTACCCAACTACGAACCTTACCTCTCCGTATATGTGCCTTAATCCATACGCGCTATTCGTTCTAATTCATGCCATCCTACGGCGTCTATTCGCATTCGGTGTATCAACCCGTATGCCCGGTGCTCAGATCATCTCCTTACCTGAGGCATGGCAAAGTCATCCCGAAGCAGCGGATCTAGAAATAATGATGGTGCAGTATGCCCTGCATAGCTGGCTCAAACACTGGCTCAAAGCAACCGAAACGCCCGGCTCTACCGAGCCTCCCGAGGAACCGCCGTTTTCGTCAAATGCCCTGCCATTCTATTGGCTAGCGCAAGTGTCCATCATGGCGTACCAGGAACGCATACCACCGTTTGACGACTCTGCGAGGGACAACAGACCGGATGCGACGTTCCGTCTGGTCAAACAGTGGCTCAGACACATTAGGGACTTTCTGCGTAAAAGCGACCAAATGCCTACCTTGTTCTGGGACGAATTGATGAAAATGCGCTTGCAGAGTTGGCAGGAGGAGATGCAGGGAGGGATACCGGATGATCCGGAGGGGTTACTCGGCCTCTTCTCCAATCTTTGACGTCTTCAGTTAATTTGGTAAATCGCTTGACCGTAAATATCTCTTAACCTTGCAACAATTGTACCTATTTGGTTTTCTTTACAAAATGTCACGAGTACGCTGACGAATAGACATTGGTCAGGATAATAAAACCGTATTGAGGACTTGTCCTACCACTTACCTCGTGGTGCTTCTGTAGCGAAATGGATGAGTTCGAGACTACCGAGTATAAATCCTATGCTGCATGATGCTTGATTGTCCCGAGTCAGGTCCTTATAGTTCATTGGCAGCACACTCTGTTTCACGTTGGCAAGAACAGGGATAATCGCTAACCCAGCATGAAGTTAACTAACTTCAGAACCTACTGAATGACGGATAAAAACCGCTGATATCGACTGATCACTGTTGAACACGACGATGAACGACAACATACTTGGGACTTAGCTGCCATCATGCGCAGAATAATTCATCCCCAAAACAAACTGGTACCTCTTGAGTCGAAGGAAGGATGACCTGCGAGTCCGCGATGGAGTCCATTCCAGTCGATAGTCTGAATCCTTGAATTATTTCTTCAGTCTTAACCCATGGCCAACGAAATATGAATATCGAGCTATCGGCCAAAAAAATCCTCCGTGACGAAAACACCGACACCGCTTCACGATACACGAGCCAGCGAGAGGCAGAAAAAGCAAAAGGCTGCTGAAATTATCCATGTCATCGATGAAAAGATTAGTGAGGTTTTATACACGGGTTGAAGAGGATGCTTATTATGTCGATAAAATCACAGCGGACAACTGTGTGGGTCAATACGGTCCCCCCCTGGATTTCATTGTGGGGCCTACTTCCTGGAGCGCCAACGTGCAGAATTTATCCGGTGCTATTCCATTGACTAGCGAATAAAGGTAAGGCTGACACTAGCTTACCATCATCCCGAAACTTTACGAGGTGGGGCCTAGCACCCAGTAGCGTCCGCGGTTCCATGGCCACACCCAGACAGCGTGTCGTATCACTTTTGAAGCCTATACGTGTAAAAGAAGGAGCAATTACTAGACGTAAGTAGACAAGATAATGATTTGAAAGCTTGCTCTTGCCAGGAACGCATTGATAATACGTATGCAATAAGCCCTTTCCATGGAACTTATTGCCTTTTGTGGTCCACTTGACACTCCACGTAGTTTTGGCTCAGGGTATTATTAAGGCGAATAAACTGGCAATATATATAGCAGGCATCTTCCTTGACAGTGAAACGAACACAAGTGATACAAGGAGATCGTTGGCGAATGATTTTCTGAAGCACGATAACGGTATACTTATTAAGTATACATGGTAAAATATGTAGTTAGACATGTATTCATTCAAGCTATTATTAACATTTTACCTGTACACTGACACTGCGGATCATCCATCAACCAGTAAACCTCCATTAAGCTAGATGTGCACCATTAGAGGTCATGTTTCTCGGAGACGTGGATCGTACATACCCTGAGTGTGTTCCCTGAAACATAACTCCCAGCTCTCGACGAGAAATAAGTAACGGCTGCTACTGCATCTTCCTCATTCCCATGCCTCTCAGCAGGAATGAGACCTTTTGACCGCGCAATGAAACCGTCAGCCTTGTCAGGGTCGTTCACCTTGCTTGGTATGTTGGAAGGGGCAATGGGTCGTTCACGCACGCACTGAGGCCGGTGAGCCCGGTTGCGAGATTCCGCGCGTTCTCTGCGGCTGTCTTCGTGGCACAATACATATGGAGTTGAATAGGGGGCGGAGATGGATGTGTCGCTTCCCTCTCTTCGTCCATTACTGTTATTAGCGGCACGTGAGAGGACGAAGTGCACCCACTTAGGTATGAGTGAGTAAAATCGCGGAGGTAGGAGAGACTACCGGACTAACCTGGATTGAAACAGCATTGATAACAAATTGTTGAGCCCACGTTCCGTCCGAAGCCATCAGGACAATGGCACCCGGCGAGGACTGACACGTTTGGTGTGGCTTTAACGAAATCTTTTGCCACATATAGTCCAACACAAGAACTAGGGCCTGATACGATTGCGATGCGGTCTGCAACCGCGAAAATATCACCGGTCATACTGTACTGTACTGTTGGGTCCTACATAAATGAATCAAAAGTCATGGATCAGTGAAGTATCAGCGTTTGTTAGGTATTCGAATCATGATCAAAAGCTCCTAATGGGAATTTGCTTATCTAGTTCTGATGTTTTCTTAATGGAAAGATGATGCCCAGTCTAAAATAATGCTGACCAGCACTGACTGCCAGTGGTTCCACTGGTACGATGGGCATTTGCTTCCTTTTCCCCAGATCACGTGGGTAACCCAAAAGCCGTAAACAGATACAACTATCCCACGCGTGCTATGTCGCTGTTACCGTCACCAATACTTTCCAGCAGACGTCGCTCATTCCGACGAGACACACCCAACCCTTCTCTCCTTAACGCCGACTTTCTCTTTGGTCGCGCACGTATAACAAACCTCGGCGTTATCATCCTGTCAGCCCTCGCCTCGCTCTCATTCCTCTACAACCTTGCCTTCATATTCTCACCAACACCTACCATCCCCAACCCATATCGTACGCATGATTCATTGGCAGGTTACGAGGCACAACAAAGTATACTATCGACGATAAACAGGACTGAGGAGGCGGAACAACTGAGCCATCTCATTATCGTACCTGGCCACGCAATATGGACGGGTGTGTGGGCCGAGCAAACACTGGACGAGGACTATTGGGTGCTGGAGGATTACCAGAGGGGACATAGTGCAGCCCGTCTTTCGGCGTTTGTAAGTCATATCACACGGGGGTAAGTGCTGTCGCGTTTCAGTCTTATCAGAACGTCTGCATTTCGGCAGAGGATGACTGATTCATTTCAGAGCAGAGCTGGCGCTCGGTGATCAACGTTCATTGCTTGTCTTCAGTGGGTAAGTACAGCATCGCGTTTTGGCATAATTGTCATCATTATGAATGTATCTCATTTATTATTGGTAATTAATAGAGGACAAACTCGAATAGGGTCGACTACGACTGAGGCCGAGTCGTACATGAGGCTTGCTCTCACCACCAATGTTTTTCTTTCAGCCTCTTCAACGCCGTCCACACGTGATGAAATTCCATTTTCACGCGCAACCACAGAAAACTACGCCCTCGACTCATTCGAGAATCTCTTATTCTCTATCGCGCGTTTTCACGAATATACAGGACGTTATCCTAAGCAAATAACCGTTGTTGGCTATGAGATGAAAAGGCGTAGATTTACTGAGCTTCATCGTGCCGCGATCAGGTGGTCTGAGGCACGGTTTGGATATGTGGGGATAGATCCTGTAGGAGAAGGAGGCGCGAAGGCACTGGAAGGAGAGGTGAGTCTGCCTATTTCCGTTCTCCCCACTAGTCCTTGTGTGTGGCATTATTTACTGATACCCAAAATTTGTAACATTAGTTCCAGAATGGCTATATGCCGTATACAGTAGACACCTACGGCTGCCACGACTACCTACTTCAAAAACGGAGGTTGCGAAACGTGTTTGCGCGGTTCCACTCCTATTTCTCGTCTTCGCCTGAGCTTGGGGGACTGCTCAGTTGGTGTCCTGGTGGAGTGGGAGAGTCGATGACGAAGATATACGAGGGACCATTGCCCTGGGATATCCTTGGTGAATACATTGTGTAACCTGGTTTACATTGACATCTATTAGAATGAAGTGCTCGTTGGATATTGCATGTTTGGATTTTTACGGGGAGAGTATTCTCTCACGTAATTAGGTCGCTTTTGCCCTGGTGGTAGACAGATCATGGGTATTGCATATATTCTGGGACATATACTCCCATCCCTTCCACCACGTTTTCTTTCTTATACAGAGTTGTACCGCTAGATCTGTGTGAGAGTCTGCAGCTTGACACTCCCATTCTTGCGCTTTCCATATTGTGGTACGTCGTGATACTTATCACTGATTGTAACACTTATTGATGCGTTTTGAATTTGGATGCAGGTATGACTATCTTTCTAAATGTCAGGGAATTGAGACTGAAAATAATTTTCTGGAGAGGATACAGTAACTACGAGGCACGTGTCAGTAGGTTTGTATTATCCGTCTGTCTCGTTATGCTGCTTCTCTGTGCCCTCGACTTTCTCCTGGATATCACCGTTCAGGTCGGCATATCCTTCGTGCTCAGAGACATCCTTCTTCGATATCCTACGGGGCAGGCCAAAGACGGTATGCATCTTACCGCACAAATCCTCCTCTCCCATTTTAATTGCGTCGTTCAAGGCGGTCCAGCAAGACTGGCACATATCCTTCTTCGCTTCATCTGACAATATCGGCGTGCTGGGAAATAGGAGACTGTCATGCGTTTCTAAGCTGGAGTCTGTTTCTTGAGACGAAAATAAGTCGTCCATTAAACGCGTAAAGCCTCCAGAGCACGAGCTCTCACTTCGCCCATTCTGCTTGTCACAGCCGATGCGACGTCGCCCTTGCTTCTCGTTTGAGGCGACTTTTGTCTGGAATCGGAAAAGGACCTTCTGACGCTCAAGTACCAAGCGCTGTTTCCCTTCCAGGATGCGCAATCTTTCCAGCGGCGACAAACTCCTCGAGTTACGAAAGCGGATCCCAAACACCAGCGCGCGGTTGCTCAGCGAAAGAGCAGCATAGTAGTACGCCCAGGGAAGGAGACTAACGAGGTTATTTTCGTCTGCGATGGTGATAGCTTGGATTGGCCAGTACTTTTCCAATTCCTCTCCCTCGCCTTCAGGGTGAGAGAGACGAATGCGCGGTTTACGTCCTTGGTCCCGCTCGGCGAGCATGAATTTCTCGAAGTTGTCGATCGTTGTCTCGAACAGAGCCGTGGATTCCATCTTTCTCGCGTATCGCATTAACGAGCAATTTGCAGCCCAGTCCAGCCCAGCCTTGTTGTACAGATTCTCGAGGTATCTGTCGAATGATGGCACAATCAACGATGATGTCAACATGCACAACTTCACGAAGCACAGTACTTACCCATCGTAGTACATGGCTCTCAAATAATACGTGAACTCATTCGCAGTAACAGCACGGAGCCGGCACAGTTCCACACCCTCCAACTCAGCATCATGGTCGTCGCATTGGAATGGTCGATCAAGGATCGCAGGTTGGGTGGCCTCATAAACCTCGTCGAACGCGCCCTCCCATTTTTCAAGCGATTTGTGGTGAACGCGGAAGATTGTGAGGTCGGCTATGATCGCGATATCACCGTCGGAGAAGTAGAATTCGTCACTCTGCTTGTAGACATGCGTGCGTTTGGGGGTTGGGAGGGGTCGTTTGGGTAGAGGTGGGGGTGGCGCAGACTCTTTAAGTGCTAGGGCAGGGGTAGGAGTGTTACAGGTGGAACTGTTTTGCATCACTCGGGGGCGTTTGACTGGGCTGGGAGAGAAGGCGTATAGATCATTTGGATAAACACCCAAGGTGGCGATTTCAAGTGCTCTTTTGATTCCGCGGGGGAATGTGTTATTAGGCGTGTTGTGCAGGCAGGAAAGAGAGCTTATAATAGTAGGTGTGATCATCTTGGAGGTTAAGAGTGATATGTTGGTGGGTTTGTTGTAGGGGTGGCAGTGGCGATGTGGGATCAAGGTCTTCTGGCGTCCTTATAAAGGGCTTTCATGGTATGGCTTTCATTGTTGCCCCCGTGACGAGACGCTTTTACTAGCTGTGGAAAGCGTTGACCCACGCTTTGATTGTTGCTCTGACCATTGCTTGGACCTTCAAAGCGTTAAAGCGATCCGGATTCAATTGAGGTTTGGAGCACGTGGTGAGGCGGGTTGACTACATACACCTATCATGGTAGCGGAAGGTCGACGACGATCAATTTTAAGAATGAGAACGCGATGTGTGCCAGTGAAGCATGTGAAGGAAAGTGAACTCACTGTGCACAATATTGCCGAGATGGACTGAGTGTTTGCTGTAATTGCCTAATCGGTACGTTGCTATTTTCTTACTTCTCTGATGCGGCAGATATGACCTATGAATGATCTTTGTTAGACTTGCTTGCAATTGACTGATTGAAGGTGCACAAATTCTACCGGGTCAGCCGTGCTTAGGCTCTTTCCAAATATATCTTATGCTTGCTGTCTTATCATATTATTTTTATTTGCAGTATTATTGTACTACATCAAAATTTCGAGTGAGTAACCTTATCGGGTTACAAGAAAGTACAACACTCTGACACCGAATCCCGATAGCGCTTCGGATTCGAATTCGATAGCAACACAATGCACAATGCATAATGTATGCATAATGTAACGTGTAACATAGATGCTAGGGTGCCACTCACAAGTCGTATTTAAGCTGCTAAACTTCGTCTGCACTTCTTGCAAACTCGAGTCCTCAAATCATAGGTACGCACCTTGCATTGCGATCATGGACATGCAACTGATCTGACCTTGATATTACGATAGCTATGTCAGAGCTTAAGCTCGCTATCACTACTATCGCCATCTTCCGCCAGAATGCTACCCAGGATCAGGAACTGCGGCCTGCCGTTCAGAGAGTCCCTGCTGAAATCTGGCCAGAATGCTGGAACGAACAGTACTGTAGCAGGAATGATCTTCATCAACTCTCCCAGACCTGCTGGCTTTTCCGCCGCATCTGCCTGCCATTGCTATTCCGGAGGCTTGAGCACCGCACGCCCGACCCATACTATGTAAGGCGAACGAGCTGGAGGTTTTCCAAGCGTATACTGCAGAAATCAATTAATCGCTTTATTGTCTTGGCACTGAGTCCTTCTTTGTCTCAATTACGCTCTTGGGTACAAAGCTGGGATTTCTACGGCGAAAATTACTTGGGCGAAAGTTATACTTCACAGAACTACCAACACCAGCTCCAGGACTTCTATCTCCTGGTGGAACAAACTTTCTCCACTCTTCTCCCCTTTTACGGCAACTTGAGGTCGCTCACCGTCCATCGGTTTTGTATCGATAATACTTTCCGCGCATCGTTGGACCGTCTTGCCTTCCTCGAAACATTTGTCGTTGATGATTGCGAATATGAATATACTGGCAATGCTGGATCACCTCTCCCCGTGCAAAAATTCCGTTCCGGCGATCACTTCTGGTTATATGATACTTTCGTTTGGAAGATTTCTTTGCAGGCTTTGACCAATCTAGATATTACTGGACGTGGTGCGAGAGAGTATATCTCTCATTTCTCTGGCCTTGGTCCGTTAATCAATCTCACCCACTTGAAGCTCGACGTAGAATCAGGGGATTCTTTTGAAATTCTTCCCTATTGTCCTCAGTTGAGGTCGCTTGTCACCAGATTGAGCGGTCGCATTCCCAACCCGTCTTTCTCCCAAGCCGTATCTCCGAATGCTATCCCTCTTCTCTCCTCGTATGCCGGGCCACTGTGTTTGATGGAATATTTCGTTCAAGGCCGTCCTGTGACACACATCGAATTCAACGATCACGAAGTTGTCGATTATGACGTCCTTGGTTCCATGCTGTTCAACATCTCGTGTTGGAACCCCAACCTCAGGAGTCTGGTCCTAGGATTAGTTCCTTTGGGACCCGAGATATTTGGTATCGTGGAGTCGATTTTTGGGAGTCAGCTGGTAGAGCTGGAGATCATGTTCTACAAACCGCAGGTTGGTGGGCTTGCTCTGCCTCCTCCCGTGGTCCAACAACCGCAGGTTCATGCGTCTGCTCTGCCTCTCATGGTCCAACAACCGCAGGTTCACTTACATGTTCTGCCTCCCACCATCCAACAAATGAACGTTAATGTCGTTGCAAACGTTCCTCCTACGGCTGTGAACATCCCGGAAGAGGCATTCAATTCACATCACGACTCGAATTCTGATGATGGTTCCGACGTGTCCAGCATATCCGACGCCAACGCCGTTTCATCCGAGTCCGATTCAGATTACGAGCCAGATTCTGATAGTGATTCTGACGTGTCCGTATCTGACGCAGAAGTGGAGAGGATAGAGAGTGGAGAGGTACCGTACGGGTTGCGACCCCGGAACCTTCGATTCCCCAATATCGCTCAAGCTTTACAGGACTGGCGCAAAGCAGATCTGCCTACTATCTCAGTAGATGGAGACGGCAACCCCGTGAATGGGTCGGATACTTTACAGGTACAGTTCTTTCTTACTCCCATTCTCTGATTGAGATATTCAAAACTAGAGTCAATCTAGGGCTTGATGGACCACATTGTCCTTGGACGGGTGCCCATGCCCCCTGCGCTTACACATCTCCGATTGATGTGTACCAAGGCTACATATATGACGCAAGAGGTAAAAATGAAACCTTTGGGACAACAACCTCTCGTCTTAATACTCTCGCGACTTCATCCGTCCCTGCGAGAGGTGATCCTATTCCACTCCGAGTGGGCTTGGGAACTAAGGAATGATGCTTGGTGGTTGACTGAGATCCCGCAAGAGTGATCTTGAAATGAAGCAAAACGTATTTTTTTTTATGAAATAAATAGAATAATGTAATAAGCAGTGTACCTTAGGTTAATGTTATAATGACTTTTCTTATATAGTGATCTCGACGACGACTTCCTTCCTTCCTTACGAGTAAGTATGCCACTGCGCTCAAAAAGGTAATTTTTGTTGTACGCGTGTCTACGGCAGCCACCAAGCTCAGAATGCAGGAAAAACGGCAACAGTAGCCTATAATGCTCACCTTTCTAGCTTCTCTTAAGCTGAACCATGAACAGCTCCTCGTCAGAAAACGTCTCCAGTACCAAAGGTATTGCTTCTGCACACGAATCTGCCAACGTCTCACCCCAACTGGCACCAGCAGCACGCCACGAAAAGTCCGAGCAGCCTGCACCAGCGTATAAGGACTGTCTCTCTTGTCGAATCGTTGGGACGGGCGCATTGGCTGGTACTGGATTGTATGCGCTGAATATGTCGAGGGCGCGCGCGCCTGGTTCAGTGATGGGGAAGAGGGTTATGGCAGGCGTTGGTGTTGGTACGCATTACTTTTCTTTTTGACTATCAATCTATTTTCTAATGGCTTTGTTAAAATTCTTCCGTATTCACTTATGATATGTTGCACAGGGTTCTTGATTGGAAGTGCTCTTCGATGGACAACATGATGGTGGGTCCTTTGATCACGACTTTCAACAACAGAGAGTATCGTTGCTCCAAGATGTATCATTGATGTAACAAGGATAATGAACATTATGCTAGTATACATATAGTACAGATATGCGTCCTTTTTTACATATCGACGAACACTCAACTGTGAGTGAAGTTTGGCTTTCTCTTCTCGACAAATGCGTTCATACCTGTGGTATTAAAATAGCTTAACCAACCATAGACGAATAATTCAAAGCCGACATACCTTCTTTCTGGTCCTTTGTCGCGAACATGGAATGGAACAGCCTCTTTTCGAAGTGTAAACCCTCTGCCAAGGGCAATTCAAATGCTATAGTAGATAGACGTATCAGAATCAGACATGCCCTAATCTTGAGAGAAGTAGGGAAACATCGTAGACAGTACTCACAAGCATTAATAGCTTCCTTACAAGCCTGCACCGAAATTTGTCCTTTACTCGCAATCACTTTCGCCATCTCCACCGCTTCTTTGACCACCTCACCCTCGCCTTCACCCACGACGCGGCTGACCATCCCCCACTTTTCAGCTTCGTATGCGGAGAACATGCGTCCAGTGAGCATGAGCTCCATGGCGCGAGATTTACCGACGAGGCGCGTGAGCCGCTGGGTACCACCTCCACCTGGGATAACGCCGATGCTGATCTCAGGCTGACTAAATTTGGCGGTTGGTGAGGCGAGGATGATGTCGCACATGAGTGCCAGTTCGCATCCACCACCAAGCTAAGGGCCGTGGAGGTAAGCAAAGAGTGTGAGGTGGCTGGTGGGTGCTTACGGCGTATCCGCTGACAGCTGCGATGATAGGCTTTCGCAGCTTTGAGATGAGTTCCCAGTTACTCAAGAAGTTGTTCTTGTAAGCATCCGCGACTGTTCAGAGTAGACAAAATAGGTGATGAGATTTTGCCCCTGACGAAACTGGAAAAAGCGAGATGAAAGCAGGTTACTCACATTCTTTGTCTTTCATCTCCTTAATATCCGCACCGGCTAAGTAAACAGCCGCATCGTAGGTAGTCTAGTCTTGATTATAAGGTAGAACTGGACGCAGCACATACCCGCGAAAGCCTTGTCCGACCCCGTCAATACCATTGCACCGACAGCATCGTCGCGGTCTGCTTCGAGCAAGGCGTCATATATATCGTTGAAATGAGCGGCATTCAGAGCGTTGAGAGCTTTTGGGCGGTTGAGGGTGATGAGAGCGACGGAGGGGTCAGGACGGGAGGTAAGGACATTGGCATAGGTGGTGGACAGCAGACGGACTCGGGCGTGGAATGAGTACGGGTGAGATGCTGTCTTTCTCAGCGCAGACAATACGAGGTTGGACATTATAGCTATTGCAGAGATATGTTTTTCACTTTAGTATCACAGTCTCTTACCAGGTAAGATCCCACGCTCGCTTTACATGTTCCGTCTCGGCTACCGCATCGTCCTTTGCTCTGGGCGACATCGTTCAGCCATCGTTCATGCCAGAATGTTCGTTCTTGAAGCCAGGCTCGCCGTCGGCTGGGATGTTTACTTGGTTTGTAACAACCCTCGGGTGAGTAGATAATTGCTGGGCAATACACGTTGACAACGTGTATAGGAATGAGTTAGGAATGAGTCTGATCATCTTCGCTATAGGACATGAAGTATCACATAATGCATAATCGGTGTGTACATGCGTGTGTATTTACCCTCTTTTCTATACAGAGAGGGATAAGGGAGATAGTCTCAAGGCGGTGACATATATCTGAAACAACATCTTCGTGGAACGAGCCAGCATCTATCATTATCGCTCTCCTCTATCCACAGATGCAATCTGTTTTCTACTGTCCACGGTCCACTGAATTGATAGCGCAGTGCAGGGGGTATGTCATCTTCACGGTCTGCAAATTGAGTGTGATGTTACTCCGCTGAACAAGGAAGGAGGTTAGCCTGTCATGTCCATACCGCACTGCAAAGGTGTAGTGGTGAGTCGCCAATTTCATCTTGTAAGTTCGCCTGATGTCAATCCTAGAAAGTAGCTGTTCCACAAGGACCTCGTTTCCAGTTTTTTTTGCTACTAACAAGAGTATCCTCCACGTTCTTTTCCCCAGTTGACGTCATCTCTTACAAGCAAAAGCCTTAGGATCGCCTCCGCCTCTAATTCAAGTCTCAGGTCTCGATATTCGTCCTCTTGGGAAATGTCACTGTAATGATTGCGCTCAGCAACACGATTACTTCTAGTGCCCCCACGCCGCTACCTTACTCACCGTCGATTGCCATTGCCAACCACGCTAATGCCTTGATTTCTGTAGGAGCTTATGTTCATATCAATTTCAGCGTCGGTCAACTAAACTTTCGCCATCCTTTCATCGCCTTCTTTAACAGCTAGCCACAGCAGTGTCAAGTCATAATTATCTTTCCCTTTGACACAGAAGTTTTTGGATGCCCACATAAAGAACAACCATGCCAATTCTCTGTGATAAAGGGCACAGAACGAGTGTGAAATTTGCATGTAGATGTCGGTGTCAAGCGGATGCAGTGCAACGTCTTCCCTCGAGAACAGGTACCGAACGCGTGATGCATGATGAAGGTGGTCCCTTGAGCTGACATCCACCTCGTGCCGTAATAACAGCAGTTTAACGACGTCCAGATGCCTCTCCTGGACAGCATATGAAAGTGGCGTCCGACCACCTTCATCCTTAGAGTCGACATCCACTTCGTGTCTTGCCAACAGTAATTTAACAACGCCAATGTTCCCTCCTTGAGCTGCATATGAAAGGGGTGTTCGACCACCGTTATTCTTCGAATTGACATCGACATCGTCCCTTGCCAAAAGCAATTCAATGACATCAGCGTTCCCTTCCTGAGCTGCATAGGAGAGCGGTGTTCGACCATTCCGATCCTTCGAGTTGACATCCACGTCATATCTTGTCAAGAGCAGTTTTATGACATCCGTGAATCCCCTTTCCATTGCGTATGAGAGTGGTGCGTGGCCATGGTCATCCTTCATATTCACATCGACCTCACTCCTCGTCAACATTGATTGAACGATATCCGTGAATCCCCCCTCAGCTGCAAGTGAGAGGGGCGTTCGACCTTCCCGATCCTTCGAGTTCAAGTCCGCGTCACGTCTTGTCAACAGCAGCTTCACGACTTCCTCGTACCCGAGTATGGCTGCGATCGAGAGTGATGTCTGACCAAACTTTTCTTTTGAATTGACATTATGGCCTCGATCGAGCAGTAGTTGTACCACGGCTACATGCCCACTTCCTGCGGCGACGTGTAGCGGCATCAAACCGTTGCTAGTTCTTTGGTCTCCATTATCGCCATCTTTCAACCGATAATCAATGGTTTGAGCTAGACCAAAAAAGGCACACAAATGCAACGCTGAACCTCCCTTGCCAAAATAAAAATCATAGCCTATCGTTTGAAAAGCATTTGCAACTCTCTTGTCACAGCTTAAGAATTCTTGTATCATCGCCTGATTTGTCTCCTCGACAGGCCCACGCGCGTGATGGGCCCAATAGTCTATGGCATAATTGAGAAACCCATCTTTGTCGTTCGAGCGTTGGCCGCCCGGCAGGGACAACACTCCTAGGCATATATTGGTGATTTCTGCATGAGGATTTGGGAAAGGCCACCCTTCATATTTCTCAAAATATTCCTGTGCAGTGTAATCTTATGATGCCTAATAAGCGTCTGCCATGCATTGGACTATGAGGCAAGATACTCACGAACAAATAGAAACGACCTAGCAATGGAATGTGCTGGTTTTGTGGCCATGACTAGGCCAGCGCAGATATCCATGATAAAGGTCTCATCCACTAGATCATCGTCCTTGATATAGGGATGATCAGACGAAAAGGCTACGGCTTCTTGAAGTTCCCTAGTAGTCAGAGGTCGTAAGGCAGAAGCGATCAACATGATGGTCTTCAAAGCGAGTAATCGACGCTCCTCGTCCAATGTGTTGATACGTTTCATTGTGTCATCATAAGCATCATTAATGCCCTGTGGTAGACGGTCGAGGGCGTCCAGAACACCACGGGCTGTGAGCTTACATGCTAATGAATCCAGATGCAAGCGACATAGCAAAAACCTTGGTTGGTATTGTAAGACAATAAGTAAACATAATAATAAAGGCACTCACATGCCCTGCGCTTTTTTTGGAAGATATTTGATAATTTTTTGTTTTACGTGGGGATGTTTATCCAGGAGTCTATTCAATTGTGTAAGGTGACTCCCTGAGCGAATGCGACCATCGATATACTTGCACATATCATCTTCACGTGCGCGAATATCCATCCGTTCGTTGTTATAAAGAGCTGCCCCAATGGTGGGAATGTCACGAGAAGTAACCAATAAGCTTCCTCCTAGAGATTGGAGACTATGGAGAAGCTCAGCGCGACGGTTGTCCTCGGAAACCTCGTCCAGAGCGTCGGCGACAACGAAAACTTGAGAAAACTCAGTGATCTCCTTCCTTAAGGTATTGCGAACTTCCGACAGAGTTGGCCTGACATGCCTTTCTAGATGAGACTTGTATTCGGTTTTGACGCGCTCAAAGGTAGGAGGAAAATCTTGGACTAGTTGCTTCAAGAGGCTTGCTACGAGATTATAAACCGTCTGCGTTGATTGGTCTTTATAATTGCAATAGATATAGACCACTGCAACATTATTGCATTTGTGTTTCTTGACGAGGATATGTTTGATGATGTATGAGCTAAACGGTAGAATTATTGGTTTAAGGTAAAATGTGGCTACCTGCTGGTGGACTTACGCAAGGATAGTTTTCCCAGCGCCGGCTGTACAGCTCGCTCCATCAGGATATGAATATCGAGCATGATTTCATCGATGTACTTACGGATCCCAGGGCACCACAGGGTTTTTAGATCTCCTTTATGCCACCTCCGGAAGGTGTCGTCGTTGAGTATCCATTCACCCGTTCCCTCTCGCCGCATTTCGTTAACTTCGCTCTGCCTTTGAGGGAAATTCAGGGGACACAGCCAATCTGCGAGCCTCTGGCGTTCGCCATCTGAATAGTTGGGTGCATTAGCGTACAACATGATGAAGACAAGCAATAAAACTTCGTACCAACATCCTGCTGGTACTGATGGACGGTGGTGTTATTTATTCGAATATCACGGACTTGACCATTTACTTGAAAGCCCTGGTGGTGAACATCGTTGAAGTGACTATGGCGAGCATCAACAGTTTGGGACTGAGGTTGCGCCATGCATTGGCCATTGACACGCTCAGCCGAGTTTAAGATCGAGGAACCCGGAACATCCATGCTGTCTGAGTAGGTTTGAAAACGTGACTTGTCCTCGACACCTCGCGATGGGTGAAGATTGGTAAACTGGGATATATGGGTTGGAACGACAGTGGGGGTTGAACGCTACATATGATCAAAATGTCTCTTAAAAACTTGGGGGGATTTTCGAATTGCGCTCAGCCCTGAAACTCTCAAAGTCTGGGCACTTTGCAGGGTAATTAGACGCTGTTGGTTGAATACAAAAGGTAAAAATAAAAGACGCTGTCGGGCGCGCTGCGGACCTATACTTCATTACACGCACATTCTTGCTTGCGCCCAGAACCCTAAGTCCATGGCTTGTATAGCCTGACTAACGCAATCATTTTACCACAATATCTCTGATTCTAACACCCAGGGGGCCATATATCGCGGATTCGCAGCAGCACATACGTGTAGCGTTATGGTTGTCTACTTGGTAGTCGGTGTCAATGGAAGGACGTATTGGACAAAATAAAAACAAACAAGTGACGATCGAAACTCGCATAAGTTGTGTTACTTTGGACCCTGGACATGTTGGACTATGTCGATGCATTTATGAATAGCTCATATCTATAAAACTTAGAATAAAATTTTAAGCATCAATCTTGATGTATCTAGGGGCAGTTTCGTTCAGCACACCTTCTAGACATTCACCGCACTCCATCTTGCGATTTGTCGAGTATTGTTGCGTCACGCGAACGACGTCAGTCCGAAATCAAAATTAAATTGAGGCGTTGTGATAACTATACATTGTAGATCTTGCACAGATGATAGACGGCTAACATCAAGGTAATGGCGTGGCCATATTGATCGGCAAAATGACCAATTTCTCCTTGTCCCACTTTGAAAATTGGCCATGATTGGCCATGAACACTATGAAAGTACTGCTTGAACAATGAAACTTACCACGTTTGACTTGTAATAAATGTCCTCCTCCACAAGCTTCCGTGCAGCAGCGAGACTTTCAGCCTCGTATATCAATGCTGATCCGACCAACTTTTGGTTTGCCGCTTCAGCTTCAAGCGATTCAGGAGTGAGCAAACCACCGGCAACTTCTACAAGAAGAGAAAGAGAAGTGAGTAGAGAACACGACAAAAATGCCAGCGCTACTAAAGATCTTATGATATAGATGATAACTTTCAGCGTACTTATTATTCCCTGACCGATAAGGTTTCTAGCACCTTCTAAATGTCGTGATCTGACGGAAAGACGACGACTGAGGGCTTCTTGGTCGGTATAGTCGGGGGCCCATACCATGAATTTGTAAGTTTTTGAACCTGACGGCGAGTCGGACGTCGTAGACATGAGTCTCGAGAAATAGGGTGTAGATATTCGTCTTTGTATGGTGGCGAAGACTGGAGCTTGTCGAAGGAAAAAGTTGGATACAAGCATGAAATTGGATGGAATACCTTTCCAGTGAATCGGTGCAAGTAAACGATCGACGTGATCGACAGCACTCAGTCGGCTTTCTCCGAAAATGGATTTCAAACATTTTGCAGGGTAGCAATCCTTCACTCTGTCAGGCTCGAGATTGTTTTACGAGCAACGACAAGGGAAGAAATAGCAAAAAGAAAAGACAATTTATTTAATACCCTGGAATCAGATCACCTTATTTGTACAACTTGAAAGTCTCCACAAAAACCACAACAGTACAACACCCGACGGGAAAAGAAAAGTACACACTAGAAATCATTAGCACATACAAATCACCATCCCAACTTGAAAGAGTAGGTCCGCATATGAAAAATTCGTCATCCTGAAAACTCGGATGTCAAAGCTGGGAGATGGAACTCGCAGCATTATTACTCACTTATCCATTATGAACACTACCCAGCATTACAATGGTGATAGCTCGTCATCATCAAAGATGGCAGTCTTAGCTACACCATCTGGACGAATAACACCACGGTACATGCCGCTGCAGTTAAGTGGAAACGCGACTGTATCAAGGAAACGCGTTAGCGTATGAAAAAAAGAATATAAGGAGCTTTATAAAATCGGTCCGAATTTGAATTTGATGTAGAGGGCACGGAGGGACTTACCATTGCCGTCAATATCAAGCGCAATCACACCACCAAGCCCTCCATCTTGAAAAAGATCCTTGACGACACGATCTGCCGCCTTTCCAACAGGCTCGTGGAGAAATTGCATGCGACGGGCGATAGTAGATGCTGCAGCCTGTCGAATGAAGTACTAGCCCCGATTCAAATACGTCAACACAAATTTCCAGTATCGCTGATCCATAAGATGACTTACATCGCCATCGCCCGTACCTGAAACGCCGACACCTTGCGCTTTGCCTTTACCTCTAAAACGATTCCAGATCCGCTTCACCCATCCTCCCTTGCGATGCCATTCCTCTGCCCAGAAACCACACCCCATCACAGGGGTGTCTCCGACGCGTCCCACAAGCTTATTCGTGCGTCCACCAGTAGACGTGACTGCGGTGATGCAACCACGTACATCTAATGCGACAGCTCCAACTGTCCCTGTTGGCATTAAATCCAGCGGAGTCCATTTCTCATCCACCGATTCGACGTCTGTGGTCGAACCCGCAAGCGACTCCGGTGAATGGGGACGGGGGTATTGGACGGGTTCCTCCGGAAGACCGAGGCCACGTCTGTGTTCGCGCCAGCGCGCTTCCGTCCAAAAGTACGATGGGTCAACTATATCCACACCGAGGTGTTCTGCACCAAGGGTCTCTGCGGCACTACCAGAAAGCATGGGGTGAGGCGCGAGGTCTGGGGCGAGATAAAGAGCACGAGCGAGGTGGGAAGGGTTGCGTGCGCGGGTGAGAAGTGTAAGAGAGGTTCCACGACGTGAGGACGGGATCTGAGGGTGTGAAGATGGAGGTTTAGATACCATGAGAGAGGTTTCGAGCTCAATCTAGTTGAAAATAAGGATATAAGATGAAAGTCAAAATTGCATTGAGGTTTATAAGCGTTCACACCTTTCCAGCTACGTTGAAGACAGCACCCTTGCCTGAATTGAATAATGGACAATCTAGTTGAAGCAGCAGATAAGTGAGCATGATGAATTTGTGATTTCGAAGAAAAAAACCCACCTTCCATAGAAGCAACAGCAGCAACTGCCGCATCCATAGACTCCCCACCATTCTTCAGTACTTCATAGCCCTTCTTCAACGCCTCACTGAGAGCAGCCTTGTACATGGCCTGCTTTTCAGGAGTCGAACCCTCGCGTAACATAGTTCCCGCTCCTCCATGAATTATCAAAACGTACTTCGAGTCGTGCTTACTCTTGCGTTTAGGTTTCTTTTCTCTGTATTTTACATCGCTTTTGGGCTCCAGAGCCTGCGACGAGACCTGTTTTTCGTGAAGAGACATGATAGGACGACTTGAAGTCTGAGAAAGGAATGAATATAGATACGCGTCGACAGTCATTCTTTCGTAAAAGTTTCGTAAGACCTGCTTGCTTGTTGGGGGAGACTAAGAAAAGCCTGAGAGGCCATTCGTCCGCATCGCTGTCATCTCCCCGATGTTCCTCATGGTCAGGGCAAGATAACAGCACACGTGGACTGCAGGGAGTGTCGCGGACGGTGACAGGCTGTCCAAAATAGGAAGGCGTCGTGGTTCATAAATCGTTTGATGGCGGCCCATGCTTTCGACAGCGCAGTCTATGAGGAGATGAATTCATAGTTGTATGGACTTGGAGAGGATACAGCATATAACCAAATACAAAGTATTAGATGAAGATTGAAAATTAATGACTTGGCCCTTCTACGGCAGCTTTCAACCGTTGCCTCAGAGAGGTCCCCCTGTTACTACTACCCGAACTACCCCCTCCTTGAGGTTGGGATTGTGCCGGCGATTGCGCCCGAGCTGAAGGTTCCCGTTCATGGGATTGCTCACTTCCTTCCCTCTTCTCCTCTACTATACCCTCGCCTTCATATAACGGTGACGTATTTTCTAGCTCTCCGATAGACGAGGGAGAAAGTGAAAATGCAGAAAGAGCAGGTGATGTGACAGTGCTAGGGCTTGTCGGGTCAACAGTCCCATGAGCGACACCAAACTCGCCTGGTCCCACTGGTTCAATGACTTCACTCAAGACCGCTACGCGCGTCCAACGGCGATAGCGAGTATACTATGTATGAAGTATGTCAATCACTCGTAAATCTCCAATAAAAAATGCTGAATTTATGCCACTTACCTTACCCATCCCTCCTTTATTACTTAAACTTTCCCATTTATTATCTCCGTATACCCAGCCATCTGCATCAGTCGAAGGTTCTTCCTCTTCCACAGTCTCCAAAAATGACTCATCTGCATGTCTCTCCGTATTCCTCTCCCTTTCTGGGCTTCCACCAAGTCCACTGAAGCTCGGGCCTGCCGTCCCGCTCCCGCTTCTCTTTCGCGCAGCTCTCAACATCCTTACAGCAGTGCCGGCAGCATCTTCACCGATGTCCGTATCTCTCTCTTGCGGTGGAGACCTTTCAACTCTCCATGCCCCCTCTTGTCCCTCTCGCCTCACAACAACCCGCCACTCGGGCTCTTCCCAGGTCCATCGGGCCGTCCGGCGGATTCGCCCACCATGCCCATCAGAGACGTAAGCAGTGGTAGTTGAGGGAAGAGTAAACACCACAGGAGGCGGAACTGGTACTTGTGTATCATTGCACCAAGATGGACGCTCTCCAGGTAGAAGTGCAGCAGTCCAATCGAGAGCCATCCACCAACGCTGATTCTCGTATATAGTATACAGAAAACGGAGGCTAGGGGAGGGTTGAACGCTTGAATCCGCTGCGTCTCTGTTGGTGGAAGTTGCAGTATAGTACGATGGGGGATTGGGAGTCAATGGTGGGGGGAGAGGGACACCGGAGATAATGGAATATATGCGATAATAAGACCAACGTAGGTGGGCACTGCGAGCAAGAGAAGAGCGGGTGTGACTCGCCCATCCTGCACGATGAGTTATAACGAGCGTTCCCGCTATACCTAAGCAAACTTGGAGTGGGACAAAGTAGGTGATAAGGAGGTATGGAGGGTAGAGAATCAAGCACATGCGAAGGAGAACACCAGGAGCGGGGGGCGATACGGGAAACGTAATGGAAGGAAGAAGAGCGTGTATGGCTGTAAGATCAGCGAGTATAGATTGCAGAGTTTTTTCAGTTATCGGACGAGAACCATGTGATACACGAGTTCGAGATGGATGATGCGTCCAATGTCTGATACCCAATGTGAAGAGCACACCTATTGGTAGAAAGTATCTACACCGTTATCGAAAGAGATCAGTAAGCACACAATAAATGGAATATAAACATACTTGAGCATAGGCTCGGAAAGCAAGCAAAAAGCCCACCACGCAGCAAGCGCCAGCCAACTTTCATCCCATTTTGATTTCCAGCTGACCACTTCAGCTATACGCCTAGCGACATAGATATACGGTGCGAGCGCTACGAGCTCTGTAGTAAGTGCCGGTGGTACAACGTTGATAAAGTCGACCAGCATTGGGGTTGAGCCTGTAGGCGAAAAGATGGTGGACGCTGTGGCAGGACTAGGAGAGGCTGGCTGTTGCATCTTCTGCAATTTCTTTGGCTTCAGGCTTTGTGAATCAGAAACTCCACGGGCATGAGTTGGCATACAGGTTCGCTGTTTTTCGATAGCGAGCTCGACGACGACGATAGTGACGGCGGGAAGAGAGCACGATGGTCGTGAGCGCTGGAGCGTGCGACGAAGGCGCGTGTTTTTCGCTCCTTTCGCTGTACCGCATAATGCAAGCTTTTTTCCCTTTTTCTTTTAGCTCGTCGTTTGCATAGGACGTCCACATTGAAATGTCCCCGTCGTCGTATTCAACAGCGAGACACCTTCGCATCTTACTGGTTGGAACGTTTCTGAGCCGACTATACACATGCATCCTCATCGTGCTCTCAGCATCGTTTCTGCCGCTCTTTGACTCTTCACCGACAATCTTGCTTGGAAACTCATGGCAGTCCTCGTTTCTCCGCTGGGATGCATTTTATTTCACTCACATCGCCGAGAATGGTTATGTCTACGAGCATGAATGGGCATTCTTCCCTGGAATACCACTTCTAATGCGCTTTGCTTCACAGTTCCTTACAGGCCTTACCGTTCATGGCGATGTTTCTTCAGATTTAACTACGAGTTTGGAATGGACCATGTTGCTACAGGGAGGTGCGCTAGCTGCCCTAGCATGCGATTCGACGCGTACGCTCTATCATTTATCTCTCCATCACCTTGGCTCCCCCTCTCTCGCATTTGTCTCTGCAGCTCTTTCTTTACTGCCCAGCAGTCCTGCAGCCTTGAGATTTGCAGCATACACTGAGCCGATCTTCACCTTCATGTCGTACAGAGGCATGCTATACTGCACCAGGTCCCAGTGGCTCTTTGCTTCTGCGTGCTTCGCGTTCGCGAGTGTATGTCGCTCCAACGGAGTGATGCTGAGTGGGTTCATCGTCTGGGGCATGTTGGTTGAACCATTCTTAAATGGACAATATGAAAAGGTAGTGGTTTTCCTACTATCGTTCTACCCGTGCATCTTCCTGGCTAACTATACTTCAGCTCTCCTTCACCCACATACTCTATACCATCCTCCTCACCGCATTGCCCATCCTCCCATTCATCTACCATAACTACATGGCATACCTCGCGTTCTGCAGCACCACTGCACAGCCTGCGGAATGGTGCACACGTCGTTTCCCATCCATCTATGCTCATGTTCAAGATAAATATTGGAATGTCGGGTTCCTACGCTATTGGACTTTTCAACAACTACCAAACTTTATCATATCTCTCCCTGTCCTCTTAATCATCTACATATTCGCCTTCAACTATTTCTCTGCTCTTCCTACCGTCTTAACCTCTTTCCCTCTGCTTTCTCATACCCGCGCTCCAAAACCAAAACCGCGGTCACCCTTCCTCTCCTCAAGGCTACTTCCCCACGTATTGTATGCGACGCTCCTCACGCTCATTTTAACATTTTCTGCCCACACCCAAATTGCCCTGCGCACCCTCCCCGCGGTCCCAGTAACTTACTGGTCAGCTGCTTGGCTCCTCCTTGAACGACCAATGTTGGGCAAGGCATGGGTTGCGTGGAGTATGGTGTGGGGTTCCCTGAGTGCTGTTCTATGGGGCGTATTCTTACCTCCGGCGTGAGCAGCAAAGCCAAAATTACTCCATAGTCGACCAATCGCAAACGCATGTCTTTTCTCTCACATATCAGGGATATTCCATATAATGCATGCTATTTTTATTCAACTGCTACTACATAAAGGTAAGAAGAGTGTCGCTCGCCGTAGCATATAATCATCTCATGAATGAGTTCTGAAGGTAAGGAAAATAATAACGAAAAACAACAGTGGTATACCATGAACACACGAGATGGATGGAAAACACGAAGTAATATAAGGCGAACAGTCGAAGAAAGCAGTAAAAAGAATGGTTCGCAACAAAAAAAAACGCACAAGTGAATAAGAAATTAAGTCACAGTATTATACCGAAAGAAAGTCACATTTCACAAAACAAAGCGGTGATATGTGCGAGACAATGTATCCGTCTTGATCATGAGTTTGGGACTTTACATATAGTAACTACGGGGATATCAAAGAGACTGTGACGGTATCAGTGACTATAGTCCAAGTCCTTTCTGAGAAGATGTCGACGTTGGGGATGCAGGGGAAGAGGTGACGTGCTTTAGATAGATCGGTGAGTCAGCCCACTCTTTCCCAAAATCGGTTGGGTGAACTTACTGTGCTTGACCCTCCCGAAGATACGGAGCTACTTGAAGAAGGGCTCGAGGTGGTAGATCCATGCGCTACAGATGACGACGACGATCCACTTGCTGATGCTGACGACGACCCAGAACTAGAGGGAATCGAGCCTGAAGGCGACGCCGCCGCCGAAGATGCTGCTACCTGCAGGCCGGGGAGTGTAATGCCTTCAAGCTGGTACGTTGTCGGGACATTTAACTGAGTCAAGTGTAACCAGGGAATTTCGTATCCACCTTGACCCATCCTATAGTTCGATTGAAGTGTCAGGTTTGTTAGGGTACAGCACAGGACAAATATACTTGCCTAGTCGTAGCAACCGCATAGACATCCAGATAATCCAACACGGTGATTGGCAGTGAAGCTAAGGCACCCTGAGTAAGCTTCACGTTACCGAACATACCACTGTTGACAGTTTGGCCTGGTGGAACAACGAAATTGCTGAACGGTTGATCGAAGTGCGCATATGTCAAGCCGTTGAGACCTGCATCTGATTGGACAAACTCTATGACAAGGTCTGCTCCGAGAGGATTATAAATCTGGAAGTAAATATAATGAGTGCCCTGGATACATGGGGGGCAAATAAGAAATTTACATCAAAGCTGATGGAAATTTCATTTGTCAGAACACTTTCGAGTGTGATCTCAGCAGTAATGTGTGTGATAATTGGGGGAAGGTTGAGGCCTAGTTTACGCATCGCTGTGTCAGTCTAAGACGTAGATGAAAAATCTATAAGTATTACCTGTGATACTAGTGGATAACTGCAGGCCTTCAAGAGCAGGCTGCAATGATGCATAGGGTGTACTTGCGGCATCTCCTTTGATGGTAAGTGGCAAAACATCTGCGCTTTGGAGGAAGCTCGTGAGGAAGCCCTGTGCCGTAGTATCGTTTGCATTGGCTGGTTCATAACGGAACTGAGTAGGAACAATATTCTGCCCAGGTGCCAAATTGAAAGGCTTGAAAGACATAAATCATAAGGACATCGGCAGAAAGACATGCATATATTCCACTTACGTCTATTGCAGCCCTACCAACCATGACGTTGTTGTAGTAAACAGGAAGTGCGATATTGTTTGTCTCCAAAGATACGTTGGATGGGTTGTTGAGCGTTGTTGTAAGCGGTGCAACGACATATTCGCTCCCACCAGTACCGCCACTTCCAGTGATTGAGACGTTGCTAAGAGAAGCAGTACCTCCAAAGGCATTGATACCTGAAACACAAATGTAGCTTTCTTCCACCCATTACCACAAAACACGTACCTGCGAGGCTCGACTGGACGTCGAAAGCAATACCGGATATTGGCACATTTCCGATGTTCGTTTTTGCCGTGACATTGGCCGTACCCTTCAGTTCTAACGCAGCCGAGGATTTATCAGTTACTTCAGCAAACATGGCTTCAAACGCTCCATTATTAAGGGACTGGAGTGGGACGTTCTGGAAACTGATCGGTAAGGTAGCTAAGTTGCCTGTGGAAACACCTCCAGCTGCGTTCGAGGTAGGAAGGTTCAGCTATCAACCCAAGTCAGTGCCCCTGGTATTCTGTTTTAGCTATTTGCATACCTGAGCTACATCAGTGCCTCCGGAGCCGAGGATCATATTGACAGTGGATTGCACAACTTGAAGTGAAAATCCGAAAGGATTCTTATATTCTGCTGTTGTATGTTGGGAGCCAGAAAGTGGTGCAAACGCCTCGTCCTGATTTTGCATGGTGACACTCAGATCCGATAGAGAAATGGATTGGATGATCTGGAGCAAGCTTAGTTCAGTGCACCACTGTGCTGGTTATAAACTCACAGTATACTTCTGCCCGGGTAAATTGACATCTAGAGTCAAACTCTGGAAGGCTGTACTAAGCCAGGTAACAGCTCCACTAGTTCCTGGAGGTTGTACTGACACGCCCTTGACGCTAAGAGTGATATTGTCCGCGGCAAGATACTCTGAGAAGAGTTTCCCGATGGTGTCGAGACCTGAACCACTTTGGGGTACCATTTGTCCACTAAGCGATGAGTTGACCTGAGACATGGGGGGAAGGAATAGATTAGTTCCGGTGAGGGCTACGTCAAAATTAAATTAGATAGGTAAGTGTTGCAATGGAATTACAATTACTTACGTCCAACCAGCGTGTTCTCGAAATAAGCATCAAAGCCGACAGTCCCAAGGTCAATACCAAGCTCTGTATAATAACGTTGATTTATATGTAGTATCAAATATCAACCACAACGTACGAGCAGGGGAAGGAATGAGCGCATCCGTCTGGATTGTAATTCCTCCAGCAGGATCATCTGAAGGAAGCTGGAAGTTACTGATAGTGACACCAGGAAGACCATTGAAAGCGTTGAGGGTGATGTTTTTCGTCAACGAGACATTATCGAAGATCGTGCCAAGAGCAGTAAGTCTGAGCTTTGTGGTAGAAATAGTCCAGTCGAAGCTCGGATTATGCATGATATACGTCGCATAAGCAGTAAATCTAACAATAGGAAGTTGTGAGCTGCATCGACCTTGGCATTTGTTTCTACTTACTGAGCTTGGTCAGTGATTGTTAATGTACCCTGCGTCTGATAATTGGGCACCCCAGTATTTGCAGCAGCACACACTAGCAGCAAATTAGCAGATATAATAATTTCCGATATAGTAAGAAAGCTCACCAGGTGGAAGTGAGATTGTAGCAATATCATGACCTTGCCAGGTGACTCTACAACAGTATATCAGATATTATTCATATATAGATATGCTTACTCACGTTACTGGTTCGACAAACTCGATTAACGCATCCAGAGGGCCTACATTTGTGAGGGAACCTTGCAGAGAGAGACTGAATCCGCCATTGGTAATATTACTGAGAGAAACAAATCGGTATATTGGGGAGGAAAAATCATGCGAATCTCATACGTGATATTTGCCTCGGTGAATTTCAGGTCAGCACCGTTGACAAGATCCTGGGCAACAGGTGCTGCAACTGCTCCGATCAGGTAGAGTGCCGTGTTGTCGGTCTAGAGACAGATGCTAAGAGCTCAAGTCGCTGAAGGGATGGAATAAATACTCACAATAGCTGCCACGTTAGTCTGATTAAAAGTCAATTGAGTAGCATCTAGAAAGCAAACTCAGTATCTGACAGACATATGTATATATGATCAAACCGCGAACAATCGTCCAATTTCACTGAAGAATCGACCGCCAGAGTGACCTGGAGGTCCTTCATCGCATCTAGAATCGCATCGTTGATATCAAATTGATTTCCGCTGAAATATGGTTATGTAAGAATGATGCGGCTAACAAATATAACGTGTTAGTCACCTAACACAAGTTGGGGCACTTGTGTCTACCGAGGTGTTCACCTAAAGCAAAGTGTTTGACAGTCAATACTAATTAACAGCTTGGTTGACTAGACTTACTGGAGGATGATAGCTAGGGTTCGACGTGACAAGTCCAAATAATTCCGGTAAAGGTCCAAGATTGACATTATTCTGTTGAGCAGCAATGGTGATTAGATCGATGATAGTGATTGGATCCATATTGAAATTGAATGGCAATGAAGGCGATGTGATATTGCTATGGCCATCAGCATGAATGGGATCTGAGGAGCGATCAACATGTTCAATGGCACCCAAGGTCAAATTGTGGAAAGTTGCAGTAGCAGTGACTTCAAGTAGATTGATGCTAGCAGTGAAGGGATTATTGAGCGTGAATGTGGTAGATGCGATACCAGTTTGAACTATATCCGTGGGGAACTCGAGAGAAGCGCTTCCGATAAGGTTCTGATGTAACGCGGGAATCGTAACTGGCGACAATTTCACTTCAGAAAGTGCTTCCTGCAAAGACTCGATTGGCGTAGAGTCCACGGAACCTGCAATGGTTGTACTAGAGTCGATTCCCTGTAAGTAGTTTTCAAGGAGCATTTGGCCAGCTGCAGTTTGCGCACTACCCTGAGGTGAGAAATGCACATCTATGCATATAGTGAGTGGTGAGAAAACCCCTACAGATTACGATGTGCATACCAGTAGCATAGGATTCGTTCCCGGGCGTAATTATCAATCCGCTCTAGAGGCAAAGTAAAGTCAGTCAGTCAGCATTGCCACTACATGAGCTAACATACGATGTCAGCAGAACCAATGGTCTGATCCCTACATCATAAATGTGAACAGGATGTTTTATGATTAGAGAATTTATCCATACTGGAATTGCAAGGAAAATGAGACGTCCCCAGTGCCTGAAATAATCAATTATAGATCGCAAGAGACGATGATATCCGACTTCTAGCTCACCTATTGTCAGGTTACTAAAAGCGTGATGAGATACATGAATTATTTGTGTCAAGACGAAACGAGTAAATCCTTACCTGGGATTGAACAACGCAGTGTCTACCGTGATAAGTAGATAATCAGTGTATCCATGATTCACGTCCAAGTTGGCTACAGAGACAGGTTTGGAGTCCAACCCTTGCAATCCCTCTATTGACGACTGGACGGAAAACTCGATATCGGTTAGAGACAAGACACCAATGGCAGTGGAGGCATCAGCATTAGCTGCGCCCGAAAGGGAAAGGTTTTGCGTCTGTCCCATAGTTGTAGCGGCAAGGAAGTCCTGGAAAGCCTTATGCTGATCGGAAAACACGGCAAAGGGCACATTGTCGAATGTAAGATGGATTATCCTTGTTTCCACATCAGTAGTGCTCGGAGCCCAGGGAAGGACAAGTTCAGCAAATGATTGTCCATTGTAACCGGTGGTGATGTTTTGCTCTAATGACGTGATGTCAACAGGGAAGGCGAAAGGCAGAGCGAACGCTGCCGTAGTCGCATTACTACTGGTCATCGGACCGTATTCAGTTCCTTGCGTGAAGAGAAGTTCGAGTTGCTGAAGATCGATTGACTGAATGATGTTGAGCTTGCCCTGGTTCGGTAAACTTGTCTCCACTTGCAAGACCTGAATTCCTTCGTTGAGCCAGGTCACCTAAACATCAATGTTAGACACTGTTCAATATAAACCACATATATATGTGTATCACGCACATCAGTGGGACCAGCACTAACGCCCTGAACTACAACGTTACTATCCAATCCGTGGATGAAGTTGTTGAAGACGGAGGAGACGGTAGCAAGACCTTCAGAAGAGTTTTGCGGGATGAGACGACCGACCAATGGCAACGATGAACTGGAGTTCGGAGCAAGCGTAACAGATGATGTGGATGCAACAGGAGCGATGCTTACACCACCAGCGTAAGTATTGAATGCGATGGAACTTAATTCAATTCCGACTTGAGAAGGCTGTCAATATAGATAAGCTTCATGGAAAGCGGATTTTCGGAACACGCTTACATTAGTTACCGTGGACTGAATCGTCAAATGGACTCCACCAGCAGGATCGTTCGAAGGCAGATCAAAGGAGTTGATTGTGACGCCATTCTTGAGACCATTGAAAGCTTTCAGGGTTACCGACTTGGTGGGCATCGAGATTCCCGAAACTTGGATACCTGAATGGTTGTCAGTACAGCTACAAAAGCCAAGTTCCCCAAGCACGAACCGAGAGCTGATACTATAGAAAAAAAGTTGCGTCAGAACTATAAAGGCTGATTACTTGGCATTACTCACCTGTGAGATTTTCGCCTGTGATATCCCAATCAAACGATTCTTCCGTCAGTAGTACCTGCAAGTCACGTTAGTTAGATTGAAAGAACCTAAAAATACTATGACAACCTTTGTGAAGTTGGTTAGAAGGTCAAGATCAGCAACCTCGAATGTGGATTCCACATTCAAAGTGGCACCGACATCTCCCACGATGTTGACGTCCTGCATCTTGAGAGAACCTAAAGGCTGACCCGACCACGATACAGTCAGACCAGACCCAAAAGATATAGTCGCGTCGACTATGCTGCTTGTAAATATATGAAAGAAAATTACACCTGTAACACCTACATGGTCCGGCGTTGGTTATGCTTCCATTCAACTGGGTTACTATGAAATTGATAAGTCGATGGTGTTCTTAGTTAAAGCAGAATATTCTTACCGAAAGAGGTTTGCTGGGGGCTGCTGATCATAACTGTTTCGATACTAACGAACTAGGTGAATAAAAACTTAACATGGACAAGGATATGGATTTTACCCCAACACAGTTCCAGTCACAATCTTTTGGACAATTGGCTGAGCCAATATTGGCAAAATAAGGTCTAAAGTGCTATCAGTGCTGATAGGGACATCTTGCTGTGTGTAGTTTAAAGTCGTCTGATATTCGCCTACAAGGCATGAGAATAGATTGGCAAAAGGCAGCAATATCAGGCTGTACCTATAGTGACTTCGGAAGAGAGTTGAACGTCTGAGCGAAGTTGCTTGAAAGCTTGCTGAACGAACGATGGTAAATTAAATCCACTACCTGACCGTGTGAGCACGTTGGTGTATCGTGATTAATCAAGATCCTCACGTATAGATGTTATCTCGACGTTCTGATTGGTTGTTTGGCGGTGTAGAATCAGCATTCGTAGCAGTCAAGTATTGAATGCCTCCAAGCTGAACCACCCCATCTAACGGCGCAGGGTTTAAACCCGCTTCGACTGCTAGGACACGTGTCAAAGTAAACAAAGTTGCTGGATCGAAGTTCATATCCAGATCAAGAGCAGGCGATGTCGTCGTCGACTTTCCTGCAGATGTGAAATTCGTTGCCGTGTCAATGGTACCCAGATTGAGACCATGAGAGGTAACAGTTGAGTAGATCTTCGTGATATCGAGTCCAGCTGTGAAAGGATTAGCAAGGCTCACTGTAACCTGGCTAATGTTGTTTTCGACACCAGTAGTCGGGAGGACTGCAGAAAACGATAAGGGGTCATTCAACGCAATGATAATTATGGCACGCACTTGTAAGGGCCCCTGTGGTTAGAAGGCTACTGTTCAAACCAGGAAGCGTTGTAGTGATATTGACGCTCTCGAAAGCTGGCAACAAAGAAGAGACTGCTGTGCTTCCACTGAATCCAGATATAGCGAGTTCCACATCTATGTATGGTTTGAGTTTCATCCAATTTATTTCTACAATTCAAGATATACCATTTCCACCAACAAATTGATTCAAGGTGTCAAGACCTTGGGGACTGTTATTGGGCTGGGGTATAACATGAGATCACAGAACATCTTTGGAAAATAACTGCCAGCGTTACCTCGAAGTTCGACGACGAAGTGAGAGAGTTGTTGCCCATGTTGAGGGTAAAATTGGGCATCAATGCGGTGCCAAGGACAGCACCCTCTCGTAGGAGTTGCAAAGCTACATGAAACGTAGTGGTTAGCACTTTGCCTTGAATATCTATCTACGTGCTTACTCAGATCGCCTGTTGCCAGATCAAGACTAGATGGGTTATAGATAGACACTAAGATATGGGATAAGTAATTGCTGCTTCTAATAAGAAAAAGAAATAATATACCGTCAATGGATAGATTGATCGCCTGTTGCGTTCCACCAACCACATCAACACTTGCGATTGTTGTGTATCCCTTTAATCCCTGTAAACCATACATAGTAGTGGAGACATTGACTTTGATCGGGTTGAGGGTGATCTGGCCGATACTCATGTTGGCAACAGCGCTAGAGTTGCCCACCAGTCGGAAATCAGTGGTCTGGGAGTCAGTGAGCTGAGTGTCTAGTGGTGATATGAAATCAGTTATGACTGTATTTTCTGATAGTGAACGACATACTGAACAAAGCAAAGTTGTTGTGATCTTCCGTTGAGCAGTTTAAGACACCATTTGCGATGGTTATATTTATCTGGCCCTGTGTATCTGTGGAGCTCAATACAGATATGGAAGACGTGGAAGCACCCAAAGGCTAAGAAGTTTTCAGCAACAACGCTAAGACATCTACATCTGGAAAGGACATTACCGTAGCAAGACCGGCAACTGTTGAACCATTGCTCATGATATTGAACTCGTTCTGGATTTGAGCAATCGAGAGACCAAAACCAAATGGTAATTCTGCACGTAACATTCGTCTCTATCACTTTAGAGCGAACCTCAGTGAAACACTCACTCATCGATGCCTGCACAGAGTTACTATCGGCCTGAGGCATCCATGCCGTATCAGCTGTAAAGCCAAGTGCTAAGCTTCCAATCTGAATGGACTGGATAGGATTGATCGGAGACGTCGATTTGAAGGGGACATTCAATGCCAAACTTTGTAATCCCTGGCTGAGCCACGAAATGGTACTCCCATCGCTTTGAAGTGTCGACTTTCCAGACGCGATGACGGGAGAATTGTCGAAGTTGATATAATTAGTGAACAATTCAGATACCACAGCTAAGTCGGAATCGGAAGTTTGTGGGACAAGACGGCCGTTTAGAGTAATATTGTTAGCGCCAGGATACTAGTCAAAGTTTAAACATTCTCTGTATAAAAAGAACACAAGACAAGGCTTACAAGATTGGTGTTCGTCCCTGTTCCCGTTCCAAGGTATACACCTTGGTATGCTAAATCGAATACAACAGTACCGAGATCCAGGGCAAAAGGACTTGATTGAAATAATCAGATACGACGTGATATAGAAAGTGATTTCACCTCACCTAGTGTTGTTCAACGACGTGACCGCAACAAAGTTTATACCACCATCTGGGCTGTCGCTTGGTAGCTGTAAGTCCTCTAAAACGACATTTCCAGAAAAGCTATTGATGCCTATAAGTTCGAAAATCAAGATACAGATCACAAATCATGCTTATCCGTTAGGCTTACCATTCAAAGTGATCTCCTTGTTGAAACTAATGCCATGGGCAACTGGGAACTTCAATGCCTGGACACGAAGATTGTAACTTTCCAATCTCCATGTAAAGTTTTGGTCGGTAATCATATGGGTCGCAAAGAGACCAAACGCGGCTTCATCCTGGATGTAGAATGTAGTCGTGTCGTTGATAGTAGCCCGCTTGTGTGAAGCGCTAAGTGGTGACAAGCTCATGTAACCCAGTGGAGTCTCGCTGGAGCCATTGATCCAAGTGACATTGACAGGCTGCGTGAAAGCGATGGAAGCTGAGAAAATTCCGGTATGCGATACCTTGGACAGAATTGTAAACACGTTTGAAAGGTGAAAATAAACGAAATTATACTCACTATTCCAGCCAGAGCCAGTTGGAAGCTAAGGCAGCTCAATGATGAGAGATGGTAGACATGTGTAGGAAAAGCAACACTCACGAGGAATTTTGTGCTTGAGAGATGGTCGCCTGATCAATGTTGAGAACAGAAACATTGACAACATGTTGCACGATAGCCCGGACAACAGGGAATAAGATAATAAACAGGAGGGCGATACCGAGGAGGGCGCCAATGATTCCAGTGATGATGAACCAGCGTCTTTTGTAAATGGGTGGACGAGGCGCAGCCGATGCTTGTGCATCGGGGGCAGCGTCGCCCTCTGTCTGCTGTTCTGGAGCTGTTCCACTACCTTCAACTGTCTCCCCTCCAACAGGTACTCCTGCTGCCGTGGTGCGTTGGACTGGGTCAGCGAAAGGATCCGCACGGTCTTCTGTGGTCTGAGCTCCCGCAGCGTCCGCGGCATTACCTTGAAGAAGATGAAGTCAAAAGTGCGAGAGACAGAAAGGAGAAAGAAGCTTACGCCTCAGCGATGCATTAGATTGAGTAACAAAGCTGTGATTGCTGTCCGTAAAGTTTTCATTGTAGATGCCGCTATTGCGCCTAGCCGGGGTAACTTCCTCCATGTCGCGAGCCCACAGTCGCTACGGGAGAGGTGATTATGGCTGAGACGCAGATACGAAAGAAAGTCTGGAAAGCGAAAGGAGAGGGAGACTAAGTAGGTACGTAAACAAGGAATGTTCGACCAAGTCTCCACAAGTACCGAGCCGGGACTGACGGGACATAACTTCTGGACCATTCTGCAAAAATACGAGTCTGGAGAACCAAGTTATGTCGGGTGCACATGGCACAACCACACTGGGGCAGATGGGGAGAGTCCGCGGCTACTGTCGACGCCACTGTGATTGATGGATCTCTGAGAAACTGTCACGAAAACCTAGATTGGCGACATATTGCATGACTTTTCTTCTGCGAAAAAAATGTTATATTGATGGCATGGCGTAAGGGACAAAATAAATAAGGCGACGGTTGCAATCGGCTTCTTAATTGTATCCGTCATGTAAACTCGCCCCCACATCGGATTTACTGAGGACCTTCCATTGCAGCGCCCAATGTTAAATGAATGTTATTAGTATGTGGTCATTATCGACGTCAGCTGTACGAAAGATTGTATAGGGAACATCCACTCACAAATTCTCGACTTCATTAGGCTATGCTGAATTGCATCCACTCAAAAATAATCATTATGATTATGCGCCCTGAAAATGTGAACGTTCGGTGTCGGTTCCTGTATTTTTGTCACTTGCAACATACACCAGTTGCCGATGCGGTCGCTAAGGATGGTGGCAGGACCCCAGATAGTACTTTTGGCTGGTGTCTGGAGGTAAATAACTCTGAGCCCAGGTGCTGGGTTCAGATAACTGACTTTACTCGTCAGCGAACCAGGATCTGGGTTGAATTATCAGCCGGTAATTCAATTCTTTCATTCCTCTAAACTTCCGTCCGTATTTGTTTAGATAGACTAACGGAATGTAGAGGAAACGTCACTTGACAGTACGGAACTCACGTAGTCATGTAAACAAGGCTAGATCCCGCACGACACATTAACGACGTTCTCCACTGGCAGGTTTATTCTGATGCGCCTGATGCTGACCCCATATTTGCATCGGGGTGAACCTTGGATTTGTGAGTGGCATCTGTCTGGACTGGGATCTTGGTAAAAACATGAAACGATTCATTTGTGTCGAGACGTGCACATGGTTCTTCCGGGGTCCTGAAGTGGCGTGGGAATTTTAGATATTTCTAAATTTGGATTGATATCATGATCGTCGTTGGTTCAGCGGCCTGATAGAAACTTGAAAAGTCTACCAAAGTCTACTTTTTTCTTGTTTTGTTTTTCCTTCAACCGCCCTGCATTGAGTTTTCTGTATACTAGTATACAATTAAGCTCACATGCACTCCAACACAAGGCACAATTTTTCCATCATCTAACGCAATGGTCTCAGAACTGTAATTCAAAGTCTCACCGCTATCAGTGTCTCCTGACCTTTGCGGCTGCAGACCTGCCAATCCCACTTATACATTCGGGGGAGACGTGTTTGGGGTCTGGAGTATTCTGGAGTACGGTATGTTTCCCCGCATTGAATGTGGAAAACAATATTGGGCACGTATATAATATGGCACACGGCACCGACGTGCAACTGGCTCGTGATATCCGCACTTTGTCTACTGCGACTCTACCGGTACTCTCTGTTTTGCCAGGCGCAAAATCACATGCTAGAGAAATACTATGTAAAGGATCTTTGGCTGACCCCCCAAGGTCATGCGACACCTCAGCTCCACGCTGGAAAAGGCTGCTTCACTCACACTATTCCTGTCATGTCTTCTATCACGTTGCTACGAGTACTTATCATAATAGTCCGTGTTACGTGGACTTCATCTGGTATAAAACGCTCGTAAGTGTTCTCAAGACTTTCGTTGTATCCTATCAGTGTTGATTGATATCTCCCAGAAGCATGTCACGCACTGATTATTTTCAACTTTAGTGATTGCCTTTCTCCTTCTACTTTTTCATGCCTTTCCCAGAGGAACGCCGCCAGCGCGATTCTGTGCGAAAACTCGGTCGTCCACATTGGTCTACTACGTCAGTTTTCTTTGACTGCGGAGTAATATCGTCATCTTCTCGCTATCCCACACCTTACGGTATTCGCTCTATCCTATTCCTGTTTATTGTTATTGGATGGATTTCACGAGCCTGAGCATCTGGACCCATTTCACTAACCTGGAGATGGTGCCTACAATGTGCTCCACTCCGTCATTCCCGTGATCATTCCCATCCGATTAGGATTGATCCTTTGTTAGTTACCATATCTGATGAAGTACTTCCATGAAACAGTTCGTAGCTCCATCATTCTCCACTTTGAGCAGTTGCTTGTACCGGATGCTTGCAAATACAGTATCCCCCAATCAAAATACTTGAGTCAATTCAAACGTGGTCTAATTTACAGTCAACGCTCGGAACATTCAAATTGCGTTTTAGAGTGTCGTAATACGGTGACTTCATGCGATGTCTTTCAACGGTTATATGGAGTTAGGGCCGCCTGCTTGAGTGTTTCATTCGTTTTTTTCAAGTTACCGTTATTTTCTACGGGAGACTTGTTCAGCATGCAGAATTACAAGCAATCTTAAAACTTATTCCGTGGCCAGGTATAGTGTACCCAGAAGTAGGATCAAGACGGATGCTCATGTAGTATGGTAAAGTAATGTTACATCAGTGGAAATGAGGTAGTGACGGCGATTATGCGCAAGCCAGATCCATGAGACCAACGATACAAAAAAAATACGAAAAATCAAAAAGCGAAATGCGACGAGAGAGGAAAATCCTGCCAATACAAATTCCTATGGTTTCGATATCTCTTTCGCAAGTTACTCCTTTCGCTGTCCACTATGTTCTTCCTTAGATTCTGCATCTTGTCCGATAGCCTCGTCACCTTTATCCAAACTCGTGCGCGTGGAGGCGACCTGTACTTTGACGCCTCCATCAGCAGGCTCAGCAGCAGGTAACTCATTGGGTTTATCAGCTTCTGTGGTTTCCTCATTCTTTTGCCTGGCTGCGACAGATACCGAAACCGAAGTGACAGTAGCTTCGCTAGCACTTGAGTCTCTCCGAAGCAGTGCTCCACGTGACCTGGTAGTCCTCCGTTCAGGCTTCTTCTCCTCGGGCGCTTCAGCAGCGCTGTCAGCTACACTGGGTGACCCGGTAGCTCGAACTACTGATTGGGGCGGAGAAATGTCTGAAGTGGGTGTGCGTGCAGTAGTAGATGTGGGGGCGGCTACAGCACCTCTGGGGTTTCGAGTTCGTTTGGCGGGATATGTCGCGTCGCCGTCATCTCCCTCCCTCCGCTTCCGCTTGTTCCCTCCACCACCATTGCGTCTTCGTCTTGGACTTTGTTTCTCTTTTGCCTCGAGCGTAGAAGTGTTTGCATTGGTAGCCTGAGAAATGGAATCGTTTGTTTCGTCAGCGTCGCGTACTTTCGCTGCAGGGCGACGCGCACGTCCGGAAGATCGACGATTAGCGTCATCAACCACAAGTGGGGCAGATAACCCAATAGTAGATGGATCAAGTTCTGGGAGAGAAAGTGCCAAACGTCCCAGTGGGTGATATAGAGGGAGTGAAGATCCCGTGGCAAACTTGTCCCTCTTCCTAGCTGAATGAGCTGTGCCCTTCCCCGACGACACCGGACGTACGGTGGAAGGAGGAGGGGGCATGCTAATTGGTTTCGGTGATGAAGATGATGAGCCATATCTAGAAGAGATTGTACGTGAGAATGAAGGCCTTGGCCCTTCAATGCGGAGTGTAGCGGGAACGTCTGCTGAAGGAGACTGGTAAGTGATTTTGGGCTTCCTTCGGATAGAAGAAATGACAGTGGTGGATAATGAGGATGTGGAGTTTTTTGAGTTGGGCATCGTGTTGGGAGCTGGCGGAGGTTTCTGGGTGGGTAATATGATTAAATCGCAGCTGTGAAAATGAAAACTGTGATCTACAAAAAACGATGATTAGTTACGCGTTTCATATGCTGGAAATGACCATACGTGTTGGAATGAGCGCCAAATATCGCTCAATGGTCTAGGAGTGGTGACGATCCAGACAAGAGTAGGGTTGTATGTCGAGGTTATCCACCCAAACTGCCCAAGAAATACGATTTGCAGGTTCAGGAATGATGTTTTCCGGGATTAGGCAAGAAAATCAGAATGCAAGACGGAATCTTGGTGATGAGACTCCTGAAAGGTTATTGAAGCTGGGGAACGCTTGTTGCAGAAGTAATACCATTGCATTCGCCGCTGCCAGTGGCTAACCGACGTCAAAGTTGGACGCCGGTCCGTAAATCGCACGTGACCCATCTATAGCTTCGCCCAAGATGGTAACCCACTACGGTCAGACACTATCCCAACTTAACAGCGATTCTGTCGATCATCGAGCTGCTAAAATGACATTTAACAAGAGGTTACGCTTGATTTCTGCGATCGCGTCGTACTAATAGTATACATACAAGAACAGTACAAGAATTGCCCACTGGCATGAACTTCACTGAGTCATAGGCATGGATTTTGAAAGGATTCGACAGACGGGAAATTGATGGCGAAAATGTTACATTGAGATGATGTCGACGAACTGAATGTTTTGCGTGAACTAGAAAAGAGACTGTGTACCTTGCAATGAATTTCCTTCGGGGGATGCGAGTTGAGAAGGTGAAGTTGGCTCAAGGTCGCGTGGATGGAATCGACGATCCCCCACTCCTGCGCCTGCGGCCACCGCCACCGGATATACCAGGTCCTGAAAAGCGATGCGAATGTTCGTTGCCCCTACCTCGGCCTCTAGACAACGGATCCCCATTATCAACTGCGCTCTTTTTGCCCCTACCTGTCCCCGGGAGACGGTTCCTGGTATGTGCCTCATCGGAGCCTGAGCTTGATTCGGATATCGTCCCTTTGTACATGGTCCCAGTAGCCGTACGGTTTCTTCCGCTGACTGCTTCGCCAGGAGTTCGACATGGTTCTGAAGGGGATCGTTTGTGTATAGTGTAATATTCATCCTCGCATGTACCATCCACCGAGAGGTCAAGATTGGGACTTCCAGACGAGGACGAGTTCGAGATCTCCGAAGACGCAGGTGTCAATGGGGTGTACGGCATCTCAGGAGATCGTGAGATCGAGGCCAAACTTTGGGAAGGGGTTAGAGGTTGACAAATGTCGCCAGAATCAGAAGTAGAAATTGGAGGCAATCCAGGTTGAAGTTTCGGGATGTCACGTAATTTACCTGGTCTGTCCTTCGCGGTCTTTGAAATATTACCGTCCTCCCTGCTGACGAAAAGCTTTGCGTATGCCTCAGCTCCTTCGCCGGTCCAAGCTCGGCCTACTCTTTCAATATCATTTGGGCTCCAACCTTGTTCCATGGCTTCGTTGACATCTTCCTCACGCAACATTGCTCTCCAGGCTTCCTCGGTAATGCTGGGAGAGTGATATTCGACTGAAACGCTCATACTGATTTTGGAAGTTGTCGAAGGGCGTGTGATTACCCATGTCCCTCGACCATATTTCCCATACCACTCTGCAGGCTTAAGTGAGTTCGATGAAGTATAAGTTGACAATGGACGCACCTAAGTTAGTGAGTTTAGGGCACCTCCGAACAAAGCGTTTAATATCACGTAGATGAGGCATTGAAGGATCATCCATTACGTCATTTGAAAGGCAAGTTTGTGTCTTCATTTGATCAAAGTCGAGTAGCTGAGGTAGTACAGATTTAGCTCTTAAAGTAGGGGACTGGGCGGGCGTCGGGAGAGAAGAGGTTATTGGTAAGGATGGACGTGGAGGTTTACCTGGTGCGTGAATGGGGTTTACGCATATCGAAAGCTTCTGTAACTTAGAAAGCGATGAAAAGGTGGACGTGAGCGTCAGGAGTTTGGTAAATGGTGCATCCAAGCATATTCGGACACTCTACGGAGACGATCGATGAACGAACGGTGTCAGTGAGAGAAAACGAATTACCTCCAGCAGACAGCAGCTTTCGAGGACAATCCGCAGGTCTGCGATTCCCCAAGCCCACCAGTCACACTCCAATGTCGTCAGCTGACTACACTCCTTGACCCGCTGAATGAATTCAGCTGGAACAGGCTTCAGTGCAACTGTATCGTCTAATGTTGTATCAAACGTTACAAGACCGTTCTCTAACCGTGGAGGAGCTTCCTGCCGAATAATGGATAGGGTCGAAAGCGTGTTAAAAGGAATAGCATAAAGCGAGCTCAGATGATCTGTAGTCCAAGAGTGATGTGGGCCATGTTCATTGATTATTACCTGGAAAGATTTCATCGTTGGGGAATGCTTGCTCAGCTTGGACCAAACATGGCGAGTAAGGCGACCTGCACGATATTCAGCGATTAGCCAAAAAAAAAAACGCCAACTGTGTGGTCAATACCTTGGACTCCATCCAACGAAAAGTCTTCCAGATTTTCGCAGCCCTCGACGATAGCAATGATACCTCTGTCACTCAGCTTTGTGCCATTCGTTCCTATCTTCAATCTGCGAATTCTTTTACCGGCTTCCACTAGTTTCTCACACAAATAATCATCCAACCACACAAAGTCTACGTGAACTTCCTCGAGAGACGAATATTCTCCCACAGCAGATAAAAGGTGTGCAAGCGCTTTGGAGCCCACTTGAGAAAAGCGTGATAATTTCAACGAAAGGACGGGTAGGTTGACTAGCAAGGGAAGGGAAAGGCCGTCCCACTTCGGAAGATTACATCTTACGATCGAACTTTCACAGCGTGATTTTGACGCTGGACTGTAAGAGAACCGCAATAAGCGGGTGTTGTGTATAACAAGAGTCTAAAGCAAAGATTATTAAGTTTGGGTGTGGATAAGATATCCACTAATAATTACTTCGCATAGCCCATCAGGAGGGAGGAAGATGCTTCGCCAGTCAAGTTCTTCAAGGTTGGGGCACGACTTGAAGATCATGACAAGGTCTTCAGATTGAATGGGATGAAATGCATTGAGAGAATCTGTTACACGTGTTTTCATTTCACCGCCATGATTAAGCGGGGAAACGAAACGTGGAAATGAAGTAGACGCGACCACTGGATCAAGGATCGTGATCTTCCGTACCATTGCGCCATACTTTCGTGGATTGGAGAGAATGGGAGAGATAACTGAACTTGATGTAGATGATCCCAGAGTTAAAGCACTGTCTGCAATGGATATGGCACCAAACAAGACGCGTATAGCCGACTCGTGAACCCGCGAACCGAGTGAGGATAGGAAAGTTGATTGGAGAGAAGGGTAATAATGCAAACTTGTGGCTACAAGTTCTGTAGACATCCGAAGATAGTTCAACATTCGATTGGGATGACTGACAAGAGAGTATTCGGTGCTTACTATCCAATAAAGAGTCGGGTAATATATCCCAGTATGAGCTCTTTCCCCCAGGAAGTACAATAGAAGTATCTCGCGTTGAAAATGGGCTATCCATCAAGATTCCCTTGTCTTTGAAAAGTAAGAAAAGTAAGCAAAGAAGTGCTATCACATCAAAATGTGAGCAAACGACTTTGGCAGCTAGCGATGGAGTTGCCAGCCAGTGCTAAAACTCAGCAACAAAGTGAAACACGGTAGCCAGAGATTCCGATAAACTGACAGGTTTTATGATTTTCACGGGCAAAAGTGAAACGAGACTTGTTTCAGGAGCATAAGACGCTGAACTTCATAACCCTCAGACGTCGAGGATCCTCGTTGTAACCGTGACAGTGACGATGGAGGAGAACGCATGGACTCGGAGCTTTCCTTCGAGGATAGAGTGCTCGCGTGTATGGTCCTGTTATTTTAGTTACTTCTGGGCAACCATCATCTGAGCTTTGCTCATCAATGTAGCTTGAAGCTTGAAGCTCGTCAGGTCACTGGGGAAGCACAGCGAGAGAATGCGATGACTACTCAAGGATTCAAAATGAAAGACATTCTGCAGCCCGTGCTTGTGCAATGATGGAAACCAGTCGCGGTGCTATGTGACTCGTAGAATGGCTTTGGCTTCGAATTCTTGCGTGAGTGCCCAGTCGTTTTCAATGGCACTAACTAATTATAACCTTGTATTCTCAGCACACAGCTGATATTCATACTGACTTGATATGAGTTGTAGCCGGTCACTGAAGAGTAAACTTCTTTTGTTGCTGAGATCATTCAAGTAATATTGACTTGATATGTCTTCCTAACCATCATTCCACTTGAGAGCTCTCAGAGTAGAGATGTTATAGTCGCTGACTAGCTGCTGTCATTTTGTCCTATGTAGTGGACCTCTTTTCTGTGTATCGTGGCATATGAGGCCTCAGCATGATGTTGTCAAATTCATTCAATGCATGCCGTGCCCTTATCCCACCAATTCCGTCGCATGTAACAAAGACTCTTTCTTGTCGATCGGACCCGTCACCATTGCCAGAGTCAATACATGCTCTTTAGCGCAACCTCGGATGGGTACTCCAAGCCTGTTATACAAACGGTGTCTTTTTGGGTATCTAATTATCCCGTGAGTCGTCCGCTCCTCTCACGCCTAAGTATAACTCCGATTCACTCTTGTCGCCGAATATACATTTCTGACTTTCATATCTCACGTAGTTTTTGAGGATCATGCATCGATCATGTTCGAGGCTACCATGGACTCCGCAACATCGTTCGACAAATGCCCATCTCACGGGACTTTTCCTCCCGGATTACGTACAATAGCATATTAGAGAAGTCACCAGTGGTAAAGAAGGAAAGGAGGCAAGATCGGGTCAACTTGGAGTGTTGTTTGAATGCAGGTATTACCGGTACCTATATTCAAACAACCACATCGAATGGACATACAAAGACTCAAGGCGGCTTCATTTGGACCGGTGAAAAGAAGGCAAACATATTGTATCCCCACTGGCTTCTTTTTGGATAATCAGCATGACGCTCTCACTCCTATCAAGCTAGCCGGAAACCCGGACAGATGTTTATAAGGAAACCTTGATTATTTGCTGAGGCATCAAGCTTCGTTATAACTTAACTGACCTTTGCTATCACCCCCTAGATTGGTGACTGCCGTGGAAATATGCTGCAGCCCACTGTTACTGTTGATTCGAAGGCACTCGCTAGTTTGATATGTGTTCTGCTTATAGGCGGTGCTCTTGTTAAGAGGACATTACGTATCAAGTCTACTCTGCCCTTGCCACCCAGCCCGGAGAAAAATCATTGGCTTTGGGGGCATGTTCTGCCCGTTCAATAGTGAGCTATCTTTTTCTGGAACGTTCCCATTGAATGCTCTGAATCACTGATATCTTTTGACTTCGCAGTGGTTTTCTCCAAGTCGAGCAGTGGATCAAGGAGCTGGGTCCTGTCGTACATGTTAGGTACGGGAGGGAGTCGGTTGTCATCGTAGGGCGTCACCAGGTGCTTTGTTATGTTTCGAGAGACTCTCGAGTTTTTACTCATACTCAAAAAAGGCTGCCATTGACATCATGGAGAGGCAAGGAGGGTCGACCGTTGATAGACCTAGGTCAGTTGCTGCAGGGGATATGCTTTCTGGTGGTCTGCGAATGTTGTTCTCTCCCAGCGGCGACAGGTTCAGAAGAATGCGCAGGAAAGTCTTTTTCCTTTCGCCTTCACTGATACAAATCCTTATTTGGAGTTAAACCTACAGGGCGGTCCATACCCATCTGCAACCCAAGGCTGCCGAGACATATGAGCCAATCCAAATGGACAATGCAAAGAACACGATATTTGATCTCCTAGATAGCCCGGATAAATATACACTTCACGCACGTCGGTACGATTGTCCACTACATGTCATGACGGCCTATCCAATAAACTCACCTACTAACAGGTATGCCGCTTCTGTGATACAGAAAGTCGCTTACGGTAAAACAACACCAACATCTGGTACTGACCCTGAAGTACAGCACGTGCGGCTCTCGCTCGACAGGTTGCGCCATGCTATGCGGCCCGGCCAATATTTTGTAGATACTTTCCCCTTCTTGAAACATCTGCCTTGGTATGGCCGTGAGTTGAAGAAGTGGCATCAGGATGACTTGAGACTTTATACCAGTCAGCTGGGTAAAGTTCAGAAGCAACTGGCAAGTGTGATCATCCGTCGAAGTTTTCGGTAATTTGATACCGTTTCGACTGATAGGAATCAAACCAAGATGTAGGGCCTTCGTTCGGAAAATACCTACTAGAGAGTAGCACAGAACATGGATTGTCGAATTCGGAGATGGCCTATCTCGCGGGTTCATTTTTTGCTGCGGGTTCCGATACAGTAAGTTCACCTAACGACTTGAAAACCGCATCTGACGCCCTCATGATCCTGCTGTGGTAGACTGCTGTAGCTATCTGTGCCATGATCGTATCTGCAGCGGTTCATCCTGAAGCTCAGGCCAAAGTGCAAGAGGAACTTGATAACGTGATAGGCCGACAAAGAGGTGATCATCGTCGTAGTATTAGCCTGATCGTGATTGAAGTCTTGTCTTTGTAACGAATAACAGCGCCCACATACGATGACGTAGATATGCTACCCCAGCTGCAGGCATTCATTCAGGAAAGCTTGCGTTGGAGGCCCATTGTCCCGCAGGGTAGGTGCATGGTTCTGTATCATGGACTGATGCTGACGAATTCCACGTGGATAGGTTTGGGTCATCGAGTCAACAAAGACGTTATCTGGGTACGTGACTGCTGAAACACCTTATGTCCGTCATTTATTCTCAGTAAAGGGAAATTATCTTATACCTGCCGGTACTACTGTATTCGGAAATCATTGGTAGGCCACGAAGTATTCCTCCAGTAATGTGTCGACCGCTCATCATGCATTGAAGGGCTATTTCGCGTGATCCAGACGTTTATCCTAATCCCGAGAACTTCGAACCTCAGCGATGGCTGGATAGTCAAGAGAAGGTAAGAGAAGACTTGAAATTTCCTACCTTTGGGTTTGGGAGACGGTAAGTTAGCATCCTCGTCTGCTCTTGCAATGTGCTCAGGGGTTATTCATTGCAGAGTATGCCCAGGACAACACGTTGCTAATAGGTCAGTATCAGTGGATCGTGTGCAGTCATTTTGATTTTGACTTAGACTCAGGTCGGTGCTCATCAACACCTTACTAATCCTTTGGGCGTTCCGGTTGTCTCTGGAGCCGTCTGAAAAGACCAACGACATGGCATTCATGAACGTGGTTATCCCCAAGGATGCGCCCAAGGTACATTTTGAGAAGCGCATCGACGAAAATCAGTTGAGGTTCATGATGGAAAGGTACTCTGAGCTCTAACTTGAAGTATGATAGTCCTTGATGCAGTTGTGATATCAATGCTCGCCGTTGCTTGTTTGGCTAGTCCAGTCGAATGGATGGCGATACCTCATGCATGTTTTAATCGAGTTAAACGTTAAATATTGACCACAATTTTCGTGTCTGCTGTGTGAGGGGTACTTAGGTTGATGTGCTTACATACACACAATTTAAATCCCGATGCGGCATTTGGCCGAATGACATATTGTCAACAGCCCCAAATCACAGGTCTGCTATTGGAGAGGTCACACCGACTGTATTTGGTTCATTGGAGAAGCCTCAAAGTTGTTTTGCTATTAGAATTGACTATCGTGGTCTTTGTGTCATAATGCATCACGTTCCGGCGAATCCTTCCTGAGCTACGTTGGCCGGTTTCCCGAGAGCATTCATATAAAGTTACCATCATTGCTTGCCTTATATCTGCTACTTTTCACCTCTTCGAAATCAGAATACAGGATCAAACGATGGAAATCGACCCCAAGGTTGTGGGAGGCTTGGTCTGTTTGTTGCTAGTAGGAGCTGGAATCAAGGCAAAGCAAAGCTCCAAAGCTAGCGGGAATTTACCTTTGCCTCCCAGTCCACCAGCGACGCATTGGTGGTGGGGACACGAGGTTCCTGCCCAGTAGTACGTTTTCCACCGCAGAAAAAAGTCAACGTTACTTACGTGTTGCTTTTGCTATTCTTATCAGCGGGTGGCTCAAAGTTGAAGAGTGGATCAACGAGTATGGTCCTGTCATATCTATTAGGCAAGGGAGGGAAACAGTCGTCATCGTAGGCCGCCACCAGGTACAACCATTTTCGTATCGTATACGAATAGCATGACTATATGCTAATTGTTTGGTCTATAAGGCCGCTATTGATATAATGGAAAAACAAGGGGGCTCAACACTTGACCGTCCCAGTACGGTTGCCGCAGGAGATATACTGTCTGGGGGTTATAGGTTTGCTTTTACGCCTGGTGGAGAAAGGTTCAGGAGGATGCGTAGGCAAGTACACGCTCTCCGTTGCCTGTACTGTGACGTTTTAGTAACTCCAGAGTATCCGACATCGCAGAGCCGTTCACACACATTTACAGCCTAAAGCTGCTGAGAAATACGAATTAATGCAGATGGATCACGCCAAGGACACAATCCTCGACTTGATCAATGATCCAAGCAAGTATGGTCTTCATGCCACGAGGTATGTATGCTCTACTTTGTAAACTTTGCGATTCCCCGTATTTAAATTGAACTTATCCACAGGTATGCGTCCTCCGTAATACAGAAGGTTACGTATGGTAAAACGTCGCCCACCTCCGCCGATGATCCTGAGGTTCAACAAGTGCGACTATCACTGGACAGGTTACGTTATGCCATGCGACCTGGTCGATATCTAGTAGATACATTGACATTCTTGAAGTATATTCCTTGGTACGGTCGCGAGCTGAAGAAATGGAATGCGGAGGATCGTCAACTTTATACTGGCCAGCTTAATAAAGTGAAGAATCAGTTGGTCAGTTATTTCTTATACAAGTATATCCAGTCTCTTGAATGTGTGGAAATCATCAGGACAACAATGAAGACACAGGACCTTCGTTTGGGAAATATCTACTTGAGAACAAGACAGAGACCGGACTGACAGAAATGGAAATGGCTTATCTAGCAGGTGGTTTCTTTGCTGCTGGCTCTGATACGGTACGTTTTGTCTTCATTTATATGTATTTTCTCATTAATTCATCCGTTTTGGGACACAGACAGCTGTTGCTATCTGTATTATGATTGTTTCTGCTGCAACTCACCCAGAAGCCCAGGCGAAAGTACAAGCAGAGCTTGATTCCGTAGTAGGTCTGCAAAGGGGTGAGATTTTTCGTCGTCATGAGTGTATGCACCCTTAACCAACGCTGTGGTTACTTCTTTGTAGCTCCTACGTTTGCAGACATTGATAATGTTCCACGACTTCAGGCATTTATCTTGGAAAGTTTCCGGTGGAGACCTGTCGCTTCTACAGGTATGAGATCTTTTCTAGCTTCTGCATCCTTTCTTGTGGATCACTTACGTTCGCATTAGGTTTGCCTCACCGTGCCAACAAAGACATCATCTGGGTATGTCTTGATTACATTACTGCTTGGATAGTATTTCACCGTAATATAGGGGAATTACTTCATCCCTGCTGGCACAACTGTGGTTGGAAATCATTGGTATGCTGCGAACCTTATGTGGAATCAAATGACGCACGTCTGATCCACTGCCGCAGGGCTATTTCCCGCGATCCTGATGTATATCCCAACCCGGACAGCTTCCAACCTGAACGGTGGTTGGATAGTCAAGGGAAGATAAAAGACAACATCAAGTTCCCCACTTATGGCTTTGGAAGACGGTAAAACTAATATTATATTTCTTCCTTTTGCATGGACTGATAGCTATCAATGCAGAGTATGTGCTGGACAGCATGTCGCCAACAGGTCAGCATAGTTTCATTATACAGACTTTATCGCTATCGCTCACATTGATTTTTCAGATCGGTATATATCAACACTGTACTTATCCTCTGGGCCTTCCGACTTTCTCTTTGTGATCCCTCAGAGGCAGTCGATGACATGGCTTTCGCGGCCGGAGCTATCCCATCAGTAATCCCAAAAATATCATTCGCAAAGAGGATGGACGAGGACAAGCTGAGATACATGATGGAAACATACGCAGAAGGACTGTAGTCACGTTTAGTTCCATTATCGTATTCTTAGTTTCATCTATGTTTTTCTCAGCCTTTCGACTCAGAGTTGTCAATGGCCCAAAAGAACTGCCCTTGTAATAATCAGTTTCTTGATGTGACTTAGGCCTAATCTCGGTTCCAGATTCTAGGTGGGCGGAATTTAAAATTTGTGCAGGATTTTCTCTCCTAAATTGAAACCTGGATCCTAGTCCAGGAATATGGCCCGTCCTCTTTCTGTCATCAGCATCACGTTCCGGCGAATGCCTCCTGAATGATGTTGGCCGTTTTCCCGAGAGCATTCATACTTATACGGTGGCCACGAATGCTAGGATGCTTTCTACATATCTCATCTTAATTCTCAGCTCGTATCTGCTACTTTTCACCTCTACGAATTCAAGATCAAACTATGGAAATCGACCCCAAAGTTGTGGGAGGCTTGGTCTGCTTGTTGTTAGTTGGAGCTGGAATCAAGGCAAGGCAAAGCTCAAAAGCTAGTCGGACTTTACCTTTGCCCCCCAGTCCACCAGCGACGCATTGGTGGTGGGGACATGAGGATTCTGCCCACTAGTACGCTTTCTACTGCACAGTAAAGTTGCACGTCATTCATATATTGTTTTTACTATTCTTATCAGTAGGTGGCTCAAAGTTGAAGAGTGGATCAACGAGTATGGTCCTGTCATATCTATCAGGCAAGGGAAAGAGACAGTCGTCATCATAGGCCGTCACCAGGTATCATCGTTTCCGTCTCGTGCACGAATAGTATGCCGATTGTTTGGTATATAAGGCTGCCGTCGATATAATGGACAAGCAAGGGGGCTCAACTGTTGACCGTCCTAACATGGTTGCAGTGGCAGATATCCTGTCTGGTGGTTATCGACTTGTCTTCACATCTGGTGGAGAAAGGTTCAGGAAAATGCGTAGGCAAGTACATTTTTTTCGTTGTTTGTACTGCAACGTTTTAGTAATTCCAAAGTATCTGACATTGCAGAGCCATTCACACACACTTCCAGCCCAAAGCTGCAGAAACATACGAAAATATTCAGATGGATCACGCCAAAGACACAATTATCGACTTGATGAATGATCCAGACCAGTATGGTATTCATGCCAGGAGGTGTGTATACTCTGCTGTACACACTATGCGATTTTCTTCATTTTTAAATTGTCAATTAATCACAGGTATGCTGCTGCTGTAATACAGAAGATTGCATATGGCAAAACATCGCCTACCTCTGCTGATGATCCTGAGGTTCAGCAAGTGCGATTAGCGTTGGATAGAATACGCTATTCTATGCGGCCGGGCCGATATCTAGTGGATACATTCACTTTTTTAAAGCATATCCCTTGGTATGGTCGCCAGTTGAAGCAATGGCAAAAGGAAGATTGTCAGCTCTATACTGGCCAGCTTAACAAGGTCAAGAAACAGCTAGTGAGTGCTTTCTTATGCAAACACCCGATTCTTTGAGTGCGGATATTATCAGGATGACAATGTAGACGTGGGGCCTTCATTTGGGAAATATCTACTTGAGAACAAGTCAGAATATGGACTAACAGAAACCGAAATGGCCTACCTAGCAGGTGGCTTATTCGCTGCTGGCTCTGATACGGTGCGTTTCCTCGCAATTCACCATATTATGGCATTCATCCATCTGTATGGGAAAATTAGACTGCTCTCGCGATCTGTATCATGATTGTATCTGCCGTAGTGCATCCAGAGGCTCAGGCTAAAGTACAAGCAGAGCTTGATTCCGTAGTAGGTCTGCAAAGGGGTGAGATTTTTCGTCGTCATGAGTGTATGCACCCTTAACCAACGCTGTGGTTATTTTTGTGTAGCTCCTACGTTTGCAGACGCAGATAACCTTCCACAACTTAAGGCATTTATCTTGGAAACTTTCCGGTGGAGACCTATCACCTCTTCAGGTGTGAGACTTTTCTTTTTAAGCCTTCACATCCGTTCTTATGGATTACTTTCCATTAGGTCTATCTCACCGTGCCAACAAGGACATCATCTGGGTATGTCTTTATTGTATTTCTGCTTGGATAATAAGTTTTTACACGATTATAGGGGAACTATCTCATCCCTGCTGGCACAACTGTGGTCGGAAATCACTGGTATGCTGCGAAGAGTTTTTAAAATGTAATGTTACACATCTAATTCGCTGCCGCAGGTCTATTTCCCGCGATCCTGATGTATATCCCAACCCGGACAGCTTCCAACCTGAAAGATGGTTGAATGGTGAAGGGAAGATAAAAGACGACCTCAAGTTTCCCACTTACGGTTTTGGAAGACGGTAAACTAATATATCTTCTTTTGCGTAGATCATGGACTGATAGTTATTACTGCAGAGTGTGTGTTGGACAGCATGTCGCCAACAGGTCAGCATAGTTTTATTATGTAGATTTTCTCACCATCACTCACGTCTATTTTTCAGATCTGTATACATCAACACTGTACTTATCCTCTGGGCCTTCCGACTTTCTCTTCGGGATTCTTCAGAGCAGGTCAATGACATGGCCTTCATGATGGGAACTATTCCACCAGTAACGCCAAAAATATCTTTCGCAAAGAGGATGGACGAGGACAAGCTGAGATACATGATGGAAACATACACGGAAGGACTGTAGCAAGGTTGTAGTCACGGATTTCGTCTTCTTAGTTTCTTCTATCTTTGTCAGAACTTTCGACTCAGATTGGTCAATAGTCCAAAAAATTACCCTTGTCGTTATCGATGCCATGCTGTATCGTGAATTCCCCATCTACACACTACGAGCATTCGCCGAAATCACTTGGTGCGACATACCAAAAGCACAGCGCTGACTGAAAGCCTACTATGGCTATGCTCCGGACCATAATTGGGAGTGAAAAGGTAAACAATGGGTCTAATATCGCATAACTATTCCTTTATGGGATGAGCCAAACCATCCCGTTCTAGGATATGACCGTAACATCATAATCACAGTAAGCCTATTCTTTGACTGTTGCAGATAATTTTGGCTGTTCCAGAGCTGCCACTTATCTTTCCCTTTGTGCGACAGGGAAATGCAATCCCACAAAGACTAGCAGTGAAGAATAGATAAAGACCAAACATGTATATTTTTACCTTTTGATTCTTTGTTCAATCTTGGAGCACACCGGTGAAAGTTTTCCATTTGCATCTCTGGTGTTAGACTGTTGCAACTTGCTATTTTGGCAATTGCTCGTAGTGACACTACCTATCTGTTATAAAAAATGTACGTCACATCCTAAGTCGTCCTACCGAACCGGCATCTGTTTCGCTACAGTGCCGCGCTTGTGCCAGTAGTTACACTTTAACTTCCATGAGTCTTCCATGATGCCTGCAGTGAAATGTAAGAGCTCTGCACTATCGCTAAATTCAAGCTCACAACTAATTTACGTTTCGGTAGGATGATGTCCTGCAACCTTCCTCTGCATAATGTAATAAGTTCTTGTCAGAGGATTTATTTAGATCCAAGCGTTCCGTTTCAGTCGCTTGCTAGCGCTCCGAATCACTGCAAGGCCTCGAGGCTTACCTTCTTCGGCGTTCTATCACTATCACGATGCAGCTACGCATGCACATGCCAAAATGACATGGCCATTTGGGCTTCAAAACTCGGCTTTTTATCCAGTCTTTTAGGACCCACCTTTAAGCCATCATGCAAACGTCTATCCGCGAAATATTCGACGACTACATCCATAATTCATTGCCAATATACTTGTTGCGTCTACCCGACATCTCTTTGATGAGCAGGGATGACGTGAAGGAAGAAGTCACACCTTACGTTGAACAATTGGAGGCAACATACCATGGCAGGAACATAGACGACGTAGAGGGTGAGATCAGAGAGCATTTGAAGGAAGAGCTCGGGTATGCTATTCTATCCCACAGATGGCTCGGGAGAGGTGAACCTACGTTCCATGATCTACAGTCGGAACGGTCTGTAGAGAATCTGGTCGCGGGTGCAGGAGTCGAGAAACTTCGGACGTTCTGCGATAAGGCATTCAAAGATTTTGGATGCAAGTGGGCATGGTCGGATACATGCTGTATCAATAAGAGCAGCAGTGCGGAGCATGAAGAATCCATTCGCTCCATGTTCACTTGGTACCAGAATGCGAAGGTGTGCATTGCATACTTGGGCGATGTAGAGGAAAACAATTGGCATAAGTCTACTTGGTTCTCACGAGGCTGGACTCTCCAGGAACTTCTGGCTCCCCATCGTTTGAAAATCTTTGTCAGTGGCTGGAAGCCGCTTACCAGCACTGGCGACAACGATAAAAGTAATGGTCGCGTTCTACAAACTTTATGGCATGCCACCAGTATACCGATTGGCGATCTGCAGAAGTTTGAGCCTGGTTTGGACAGAGTACGGGAGAAATTGGCTTGGGCTTCGAAAAGGAAGACAACACGGACAGAGGATATGGCATATTGTTTGATTGGTATCTTCGACATCAGCCTTCCAATCTCATACGGGGAAGGGAACAGGGCTTTTTATAGATTGCAGGCCGAAATTATGCGGAATTCCAATGACTGGGGAATGTTATTATGGAAGGGAGAACCCTCCAGATACAACAGCGCTATTGCTGCCAGCCCACAGTGCTTTACGCCCATTGATGCCAATTCTATCACAGATGTTTTGATTAACGTTGCTGCAGACATTGCCCCCGACATAGTCACAAGCGGGTGGCAAACATTCCGTGACAACACTCGCGTGAATGTTCGCAAGATCATCTTAATGTACGAAGGTCGATCCGCTATCGTTGCCCAGCGCCATGACCGCTATTTCCCCGGATATCGAGAAAGGATACGCGCACCTTCTTCAGCCTCCAACATCAACGAAATATATGGTAATCAGAAGAACTTCATACATCTTTCAATGGCCGAGAGGTAAAATCTTGTAACCTTACACTTTTGTTTGTTGACCAATGGTCTCTATTTAGCAGCTCTGAGGGTAATCGTACTCCGGAAAGCATGCCTAGTGGCTGGTCACTAAGACCAAGTACCGGCAATGACGCGAACGTGACAACGTATCGCAACGAAATTTCTGGAGACCAATACAACCACGTCTATGCGGTAAAAAGTGACTGGAGTACACCTGCCCCAGGGCTTGTGAGCTCAGCAAGTGCTCGAATACGTAGTCTCGCTCCCAAGCTCCTACAGCCCACACCCCTAATCTATCGTAATCGCGTGTTTGGCGATCAATTCAATGCTCAAGTCACACCTGCAGGCCTACTTGCAGAAGATATAACAAGCAAAAGCTATGTAGGCAGATGCGAGTTAGAGCAGCGACGGGCTTTGTCAAAGCTCTTAGATAACTATAAAACCTTGGTGAAGGTTACAGACGATGGCGGAATGAACCTGGTAGATCTAAGCGTGGATCATGATAACAAGATCTTGGGTAACCAGTACAATTTTACACCAGTCATGGTCTCCGGAGATGCGCATCGTGGCCATGATTTTACGTTGCATTGGAAGGATAGCCAGCATAACTATATTTATCCAGGTCAGCTAGTAACTTTCGAAAACAAGATTCAAGGCAATCAGCACAATGTTACGGGCGACCCCTTTTTGGAGCAACAGACCGTCCGTCGCAATAGAATTCAAGGGAATCAATATAATACCATTCATATGGATGTATACGAAGATTCGTTCTACCGGCCCACTGCACGTCTAGGAGATTTTAACGATATACAAGGCGAACAAGAAACATGTTTTCTTCTTTCACAAGATAATGCAAATGACTTACCAATAACAGTTGTGTGCGGCGACTTGACCGCAGATTTAGCTGCTGTCTGGGGTATGGGCTCCGCTATTGTCTCAGACTTGGATGCAGATTCTGATATCGATCGAGACGACGATCTTGTCGGACATGTCCGTCATCATATTCAGCACGCCATTGATCATGCCATCTACGAAGCTGCTCGACAGATTGACGATACACTCCAACAACTCGACTCATCCCTAGCCCAGTGCAACTTCGAGATACAGTCGCGAGTCCGTCAGTATCTACACGAGTATTTCAACTCAATCAAGCTTCCTCCATGGATCTTAAAGGCGTTACGCGAACGTACAATGACAACAGTCAGCGCGCAAACATCATTTATGCTTAGTCAAATGGGATTGTGTCTCACACTCCCATTACTCAAGGTGCATTCTCTTCGGATATTGAAGGTCGAAGGCACATTGCGCACATACGAGCTGGAAATAGAGATGTTGAACCCTCTGGTGATTGAAACTACCCAGGAACTATTATCGCCGAAAACTTTGAAGGTCGCGATGTTAGACTCGAGAGAATACGCTGGCTTCAACATTTTGAACGATCTAGGGCCCCAGGAAGATCACCATCACCAGGCGCTTCTGCTACGGCTAATACGTGCCGACGTGAAACAGTACAGGAAAGTAAGAACGAATGATATCATCCATGTGCAGCACCATAGGGGGAGGGACATTATAAGTCGTATAGATACTGTGTACGTGAAGTGACAAATCCGACAGAGCACTGTAGTTTTTCTCTATCGATCTCATTCGTGTCGTGCAGCCCCAATATTTTCTCTAGCATCGAAGCATCATGCGTGTTTCTCCTACATATATCATACTTACAGCTTACAGTCAGAGACAGCATCAGCGAATGAGCTTTCGAACTATTAAATGAAAACGCGTCATGCCACGTGATTCGGTCCAGTAAGTAAAACGAGTTCAGTCGATAGCTGAGTGTTACCGGCACCAAGTTTGCTATGGAACATGATAACCTCTGTAAGGACATTTTGTTATCTTCCTATAGTTTGGTTTAATTGATGGCGACATTGAAGGGTCTGATGACCTGGTTTCAGATAGTGCAGAATCTGACATAGAGCAAGAGGATGACTACGATTCTACGGAAGACGAAGTTGGACCACCTGAAGGGGCTGAAATAGAGATTGAGGGTGACTTTGAGTATGTTAGCACAGTACCAGAGGTATAAAGGCTATCGTTGAACTTGTCACGTACAGTCGGCTTGTGCAGACCATTCGGGGGACTGAAGGTAGCTCAAGTTCCGGGATGTTGAGCAAAGATTGGGATTTCAACATCGAGGAGCACGATGTCGAGTTCAAAGATGATTTGCGTGCAGCTTCTGGCATTGGAAAAAGAAAGAAGAAGGCACGTACTTATTATTATTGTTCTATGTTTCGGTGTTTCACCATTGTTCTACAGGTTAGTCGGCAGCATGGACCGGTTTTATCACACCAAGTGCGTTCGCTGATTGGAGAGGGTAATCAAGCGTACGTCGACAGTGATCTACCAGAGGCGATACGAATCATGCAGGAGGTCATCCGTATCGAACCTCGTGCTGCGTCGGCATGGTCTGTTCTGGCACAGTGTTATGAGGATACGGACGAACCACAAAAAGCTCTTCAACTTCGCATTATGGCTGCGCATCTTAGACATGATGCCGAAGAATGGGATCGATTAGCAAGACATTCTAAGTAAATCTAGCCAGGACTATCGTACAAATTCAATGAAACCTACTGACTTGCATTCCAATCACTACAGGGATCTGGGGTACAACCAGCAAGCTTTATATTGCTATCGTAAATTATACCGTTTGGATCCTTCTAACGTCGATGCCTTATGGGATCGAGCTTGTTTAGCTAAAGACATGGGTGAACTTCGAACAGTGCGTGATTTCCCTTTTTCTCTACGTCTCTGACAAGTTCACCGTGTCCTTCCTTAGGCTCGTCACTCATTGGTTGCCATCCTCAAGCGTTTCCCTCACGATCTTACTGTTCTCAACGAAGTCCGCCCTATTCTTATAGAGTTGTCGGAGTTGTCCCTTTGTGCGTCACTATACCAAGGTGCCTTTGATCATCATCAGCAAAGCAATTCCCTGGGACGAGCGGATGGTACTCGCGAGGACAACGAGAAAGCTGCGAATCATTTCGGTCTCTTGGAGGTTCTAGTACTGGCCGATCTATACAATTCGTTAGGAGAGTACGAGCACGCCATAAACACGATCCGTAAAGGATGTCGGTGGCTTCAGGGTCGCGCTGCACAAAAATTTTGGGACGTATGTGACGATGATCGAGAGTACGATCTACCAGGTGATGACGGAGGAGACATATATCCCAGAGCTGGGGATGTTAGGCCAGGCTTGTATACTCTGGATGTGAACGCTAGACACCGCTTGGCTATCGCAAGACTCAAGTTAGGTGAAATTGAAGAAGGGAAAGTACGCTATGCCTCGTTCTATAGTCCTGGATCCCTCTAACCGTTTGTCACGCCCCAGATGCATGCAAATATCGTCCTTTCCCAAGATGCTTTCGATTATGGCGCTTTATTCGGAGAAACTGCAGACGCCTTTTTTGAGCTGGAGATGTATGCTGACGCCGGTCCTATATACGAGCTCCTTGGATCCGACGCAGCTGTGAGTTGATTCTTTGAATACAATGTCAATCAGACTGATAAATTTCCCATAGACAAGCAGCCTCTATGTTCTTCTTCAAGCAGCCGTCTGTCGTCGAATGCTTGGAGACCTACGCGAAGCGGTGGACGTATATCAACAAGGTAATTTTGGCTTGAGACTTACTATGCACAAGTGTTGTCGGGCTTAGGAAAGCTGCAGTTATAGATGCTGATCCAACAAACAATGAAGCTAAGATGAAGCTGGCTGAATTATATGAAATAATGGATGAACCAAGGAAAGCGCTCGAGTTGGTGTACCAAGGTCTATTGAGTTCATTCTGGAGTAATATCAGTTACTAACTTGTATCTGTAGTCATCGATTCCCGGAAAAGACGTGCTGTACAGCGAGATGAAGGCGTCAAGGATCCGAGTGAGAATTCGCAGGGTGCTTCCTTGTTCGAAGAGAAGTCGAAATCTAAGGCCAAGGCATCTACAAATAAAAATCAAGGCAGGCTCACTATTGCTCAGCTACGTGACCTAGAAGAACAGAGAAAGCAAGAAGTGATGAAAAGTTACAAGCGCGTGGAAGAGTTATGGCCCCTGATTCTTACCAATACGCAAGGGGAACATGAAGAAGCCGAGAGGGAATGGGTGCTGGAAGCTGAAAAGCTAGTGGAAACATTCAGGGAAACCCGAAATCTATTTCTTACCACGAGGGTACGTCTGATTGTCCTCGGACTATATAATAGCCTCTCACAAATTCCAGTAGCATAATCCATTTCGTGGTATGTTCCCGAGATATCGATCCAAGCGGCTCCATGAAGAAGCAGAAGAAAATCGTATGGTATCGCGACTGGAGTTGATTGGTATGTGTGTCTCCATTAGATAGATCAGTGTCAATTTAGCGCATTTCCCTCCTACCAGAGCAGGGAAACCTTTTACGGAGGAGCAAGGAGGGCGAGGACTCACGAGCGAAGGTCGACTTCTATCGTGGACTGTCTTTCGACAATTGGTTAAGGATATTCATGCAGGTTTGGCTCAATCTTCTTATAGTGGTGATAAGTCCTGATTTGAACACCCGTTATGTGCATGGTAAATCTCTTAGTATGCTTTCATTTTGACGAAACGCAATCAGTACGAACTTGCTGATGAAGTTCTTCGCCATATCATGATATCAAACGCATATCGAAATCCTGATCTTCAGGATACTATTCGAATTACACTAATAAGTGGGTTTCGTCTAACTCCCTTACATCATGCCCTAAATATGTCTTACATCTTCTGATTTTTGGTAGCATGTGCCATGATGAGCAGACGTTATACAGTCGTAGTCGAACAATGTCGCAAATTGATCAACACCCATCAATTCAATAATGAACCGTTTCGTATCCTAGTTGTTGCGTTAGCGAGTGGTCTACCCCCAACTGATTCTTTTATTTCTTCAACTCTTCAAAAACATCTCTTCAGGGAGATCAAGCTTAATGATGCCGCAATTAAAAAGCCAGATACGCTCAAATGGAACGCAACAGGAGGACGATACGTACTGACTACTAGTAAAGCCGTGGAAGGTGAAGACATGGCAAAACTTAACGAAGGCGAGGATATGTTAGAAGAAGAAGGGGAGGAGGTACTTGCAGAAGAACCCACAGACGCAGACAAAAACAAACACCCAAGAATTCCGATCAAGGACAACCCTATGATAGTCGCGGTATATGGGCAAGTATGTATTGCAGCGAAAAGTTACCAGAGCGCAATATGTAAGTCTGTGGTCTTTGTGCTTTCTTTGGCTTACTCTGAATGATGTTTCAGTTTATTTACTACATGCATACGACTACTGCCCAAACGATCCTACGATTTGTCTGTGCTTGGCTATTGCTTCCATCGGCCGTGCGATGCAACGCCAATCAGACAACCGCCATCACCTCATTGCTCAAGTAAAATATATTAGTCTTCACCCTTCATGTGGCTGAAATTCAAATTCATTTGATGACAGGGAATGGCCTTTCTTTCTCAGTATCGCACCCTACGAAAATCCTGTCCTGATGGCTTGGCTGAAGTCGAATTCAATTTCGGAAGAGCATTCCAGCAATTAGGTACTTCAAATGAACTTTTGTTTATCGTCCTCCAAAGCACACTTATCCCCCATTTTCAGGCCTACATACTCACGCTGTCGTGCATTATGAGCGTGTGCTCGAGCTAGCTGAGACTAACCATGCTGTCAGTCATTTCTTCTTACGGCTTTCGTACTCGGCACTGAGGATTTATTCTTTCTAGGAACACGGTCTTACAAAAGAGGCTGCATATAATTTATCTCTAATCTATGTGACGACTGGGGCCATCCCTTTGGCTGACGCTCTCTATCGCCGCTGGCTATCCCTGTAAGAACACGAACTGTAACTCGATCGGTATGTGCTGTACTAGTAGAGTAGATGGAATACAATCAGAGAGGCGGATCATGGTAGAAAACCATATGTGGAAGACCCGTATGCTTCTGACTAGCCCGTGAGTGTTTGAAAAATTCTGGTGAGCGTTGGCGTAACAAATGCCAGGGGGGGCAGGACTTGACTGGTTCTGGGGTATACTTCGCAGCCCATGGAGTGACTTCAATGTCGAGGAGCCCAGCGGCATGTGGGGAACCCTGGGTGATATGCGAATCAGCCTTGTTCGATCCTATCTAAGTCTATAGCTAGGATATATATATATAATTTATAAACACGTCCACGTCAAGCCCCTATCGTACATTCTAACAGTATCAAAGTCGCCATTGCACCAGTAGCTTGTTTTAAGTGTTTTAAAGATATGTTGCCAAGAAAGTGCATTCGTATCGTCCACCCTTGAACAGATATACGCAAGTGTGGGGGGGGGGGATATGGGCTTGAGCTAATACACCCAGAATATCGTAAAGATGCACATGAAAAATCTGTAAATATTCCAGGAGTGTGACAAGATAAAAGGACAAAAAGAGAAAATAATGTGGAATAGAGGATATCAACAACAGTAATAGTACCGATTCTAAGATTTCAGCTACACACAAACCCACATCCCCCTCACACACACACACACACACAGAGAGAGAGAGACAGACACACACGAAAAGACAAGAAAGAAAGAAAGAAAGGAAAAAGAGTAAACAGAGTCCTTAAAACTTCCCTCCAGGGTCCAACGGACCCAACGGCCCATACCTCTCTCCAGACCCCGTCCGTCCCCCACCTCGTGATGCATCGCGTATCGGCGTCGTGAAAGACATGGGAGGTATAGCCGTCGGCGTCACAGGCCCGCCGGCACCAGGCGACGTCGAGCGCGTCAACGGCGCATACCCATTCAACAGCTGCGCCGACGCGTTATCCGCAAGCTGATATCTCGCGCCAAACGACGCAGACTGTGGCGTCCGCTCCGGCGTCGTCATCGTCGTCGGCAGCTCCTCCTCCCCATCCTCAAACCCACTCTCCAACATCGCCTCCAACTCTGCGCCGTCTAGCACTTTCCCACCCTCGATCGTGTCTGCGGGGACGAAGAGGCCGAGGGGCGGAGGTGGGTACTGTGAGTTGTACTCGTTGTATCCCCCGATCTGCGGACCCCAGTGGTCGTCTTCGGAAGAGGTGACGGAATAGGTATCCGAGCCTTCCGACTGATGGCTCCTCACATCCCTGCGCGCGCTCAACAGGTCGTTTTCGCCCGTATAGTACCCCCCATGCATCCGCTCGAAATCTCTTCTTCGTCTCTCTTCTCGTTTGATCTTTCGGAGCCGAGAGCGCTCCCAGTCTTCCCAGCGACGCAGAGGCACCGACGAGCCGTCAAAGACGCCTTCGCCGGCGCCGTGTCCCTCCCCCTTCGCCTCTCCCTCCACCTTCCTCGTCTCTCCCCACGAGAAATCATCGAAATGCCAAAACGCGTAGACGGGCAGGACGAAATTCCATATAGGCAGCGCCGCGAGGTAGATCAGCATCCAGAACACGTACACGATCTTTCGCGTCGTGATCAAGATCAGGACGGCGGGGAGACCGAGGACGGAGACGAGGAGCATGAGGGGGATGGCTTCTTCGAATGTTTTGGGCGGTGTGAGGATCATGTTGACGATCAGCATGTAGGTGAGGCCGATGGCGATGGGAAGGACGACGGTGCCGAGGAGGTCCATGAAGACGACGAATTGCATGCTGAGACAGAACGTCCCGCAGAGGTTGCGCACGAGGACGAGTTCCATGAGATTATGGATAGTAGAGTTGATCCAACGCCGGCGTTGTGAGAGGAGTACAGAGAACGTATCAGGAACGACCGTTCGGCATCGAGCCTGGGGTAAGAACAACATTTTGCGATTCGGAAACGTACGGAGGAGGATGGTGGTCAGGAAACGGTCTTCGCCGAGGAGGAGGAGGTTCTTCTGGTGGAGGGTGTGGACTTCTGTTTGACTGTATTCGCGGACGATCTCTGGTTTGGTGATGAGAGGGACCCAGTCGTTGCCTGAATCTCTGCGGGCTTTGAGGCGGAACATGGAGAAACAGCCTGGTAGGCAGGAAACACCTCCGAATACGGATTCAAAGGCTTTGGCGAGGTGGTGAGAGATGAAGTACTCGAATACTTGGATGGCTGTGACCCAGGACTGTCGTTTGTTGGCTATACGCGTCTCACCGCAGACGCCCATGATGAGCTGGTCGTGATGCATGCAGTTTACCAAGTACTTGAGAGAGTCGGGGAACACTTTCGTATCGGCATCCACCTGCAGCCAAGGTAAGAGAAGAAAAGTCACGGATAAACGACGGTACGTACCATTAAACAGACTTCAAAGAAATCAGGGGTCACGCCCATAAGCACGTGAAGCTTTCGGAATAGGTCAAAATCCAAAGGTGTCATCCGATCGTTGTAAGTGACACGAGAGAAAAAGTTCATGAGGATGAGTTGACTGTCCCGTTTACCGCGATTGCCTGGTTTCTTCTCTGAAGAAGCCTCTGCCTCCGTTCCACATTTGACTATGATCACAGTAGGAGTCCTACGGCCCGCAATGGCTGGAAGATAACATCAAGGATTTGCTGCAGCCCATGAAAAGAAGCAACTTACTGTAATGACCGGCATAGATCATAGCCCGGTTTTCCCTCTTGGAACTGAGCCGATGGCAAAGTAACTCATCGGTGTGGGGTTCCCAAAGCGAGGATCCGCTTCCAACAAGCTAACACAGATATCTGGCGTACTCTTCTTTTCGCCTGCTCCCGTGATCATGCCATCGGCAACGATGAACAACAACTTGCGCCTATCCGAGTACTCCGTCAGCGATATAGAATCCAGGGTCGTCCGTAGCGACTCCTCGCCTTCCGAATAACACGTCACGAGGCAGATTGCAAACAACTCTGCACCGATCTGAGCGAGACTCATTACTGGGGGCGCGTTGTCGGTCGAAGCGATGAGCGTCGTGCTCGAAGACATGGCGAGAGACCGCATGGATTTGTTGTTAGTGGCTGGAGGCTTTGCGAGTTTTCCATTCTTTGGCCCAGCCCAAGGAGCCGTCCCTGTTTTGTTGTCGATCGAGATATTAGCGCCCTCCGGTAACACGGCCGGACTGATCGCGGACCGGTTAAGGTGCATCGTATCGGGTGGACCAGCGAGCCTCTCTGACAAGAACCAGTTGAAGACGCAGGCCATGGCGAAGCGGACAAAGACGAGGGAGAGGATGACGATGAGGCCGACATACAAGAATAGGGAGGAGATGAAGCATCCGGGAGTGACTTTGTCGATGTTACCGGCGTAGTAGCGCTGAGTCAGGCACGGGATGGCGGATTTGATATCTGATCTGGCGTAAAATAGCATGGTGCCGTCTTTTCCACTTGAAGGGTCTTGGTTTCGCAGGACTGTGCGTATGGCGAGGTCGAGGTCGTCGCCTGGGATGGGGTTGTGGTGTAAGCTCATGTAAGGACCCATGTTGAGTACTGCGCCGTCGATGACAAAGTAATTTGAGAGATTTGCGACTTGGCTCCAGTCGTAGCCGACGAGAAGGGACATGCTGAGGATGTCCAGCTGGGAGAAAGTGGAAGATGAGTTGAGGGGACCGAGTGGACAGGGCGTGGCGGTGTTGCAGGGTGCGTCGAGGGCGGCACGAAAGCTGAGTCCGTCGCAGGCGGGGTAGTTTGAGGCTGAGCGAGTGAAGTAGGGAGTGATATCCTGGCCTGGCTGCTGGGAGGTGAGTTGGAACAAGTCGACGCCTGTGGGAGACTTTGCAGCGGTGATGTTGAAGAGGACGCCCTGTACGCCGAGAGACTCTGCGACTGAGCCCATTGTAGAGTACGTTGCAGGGTTGTTGCCCGAGTCGCTGGGACAGAGGACCTTCTGTGTTCCGACGGTGATGAAACCGACGGCGAGACAGAGGAGGACGATGATGAAGCAGAGGGCTATTTTCTCTCTCCAGGCCTGGATCATGGTCTTGTCGCGCAGACCGCCTATTGAGCTGAGGACAAAGGAGGGTGCCCAGAAGGTGATGACCTGCGAGAAGAGACGCCATGCGTCGAAACCACCGCCAAAAGAAGGGACGGGGATGGAGCCAGAGGCGGAGGGGGTGAGGGAGGAGGGGGGATTTATGAGGGGGACGGGGGCCACACTCCGCTCTGGGCGAGTGAGCGTCTTGGTTCTGCGGACAGTGGTGCCCGACGAGATGGGTGCACGGCTGGTGGGTATGGGCACGTCGCTCCTGCCATGTCGTGCTGCAAACGACGAGGCCATGTCCGCTGTTTGTGATGCACAATGGCCGTAAAAGAGAGACGAGGGAATGTCAGGAATGTCGGGAATGTAAGTCCCATGTAAAAAGACGTCGGGTGAAGAGCCGCC